GCCATAGGAACTCAAGCTGAAGGTGCCAGGTAGAGAGACGTGCCCGTATCTGAGGCGTCCGGATAAGAGACGTTTGAGTGTACCAGTGTTCTAGCCAAAGGGGGGGTAGGGGGGGGGGGGGTGCAGTGCCCCCCTACTCTGTTTGCCCCCCCCCCACCCCTACTCATTTGTCGATTTTTGTGTTTTTTTTCATGCCATTCAATGAAAATGCAGTCGATAGCCTCTACTGGAGGGTCCATAAAGGCACATTTGTCTGGAGTGAAGTCGGGGGTTCGCCCTGTGCGTTGCATTTTTCATGGCAAAACGATTTTGGAATATGGAAAATGGGTTACGGGGTTACTGTTTCCCATGCCTGCCCTCCTACTAGTTTGACCTGGCTAGAGCCTTGCACACACACACACACACACACACACACACACACACACACACACACACACACACACACACACACACACACACACACGCACAAACACACACACACACGCAACAAACCAGACAACGGACGAAAACAACAGGGAGCCATGTGCAGTCGAGAATTACATTAATCTGGTGAAAGATGGTAGTGATGCTGTCGTCAGATGGATCATTTATCACTATCATGGGCATGTCGCCATATTCGATCTTCACAATGACTGACAAGCGGATAATTGCCGGTATTGAACCCCCTCCCCTCCCCTTCAACTCCAAGCTCATGTGGTTCACAGTCTCTCTCTCTCTCTCTCTCTCTCTCTCTCTCTCTCTCTCTCTCTCTCTCTCTCTCTCTCTCTCTCTCTCTCTCTCTCTCTCTCTCTCTCTCTCTCTCTCTCTCTCTCTCTCTCTCTCTCTGCTACACGGAACTACGTACCAAACTCCGTGTCAACTGCAGTGAAGTTTGACACGGATTTTTTCGTACGTTGCACCGGCTCTGCCGTACGTAGCATGCTCGAACCATGCACGAACACCCCGCCACATATACTCTGTACGCTCACTTTTCACACGGAGTCCGGTCCGTGTGAAGCGCGCTTCACACGGAAAACGATATGACAAAATCCGTATCAAACTAAATCCCGTACCGCGGTGAAGTTTCCATACGTACTTTGGCACGTTTTACCGTGTGGCAGAACCTCACTTCTCTCTCTCTCTCTCTCTCTCTCTCTCTCTCTCTCTCTCTCTCTCTCTCTCTCTCTCTCTCTCTCTCTCTCTCTCTCTCTGTCTGTCTCATGTAGCTTACCTATTGGATACAACGGGAATGGTAGTGGACGTTTCCGACTCTGGTATGATGTCCTTGGACTCCTCACCGTTGATACACAGCTGAGTCCAGTGGGAAAACAAGAATGCAGCGTGCATGTACACGTAACGTGCAAAGAAAAATCATTATGAAACCGCCAGGAATTCCTACTGACATTGGCAGTTGCACAGCAGCTGTGCATAGACAAACTAAACAAATATAGGAATGCACACACACAGTGCCACACACTCACAGCTAATCCTTACGGCACCAACACTGTACATGACAACGAAACTAACTTGTTTGCACACTACAACATGTACAGTCATGTGCATGCACAACGCGTCTGTTAAGATGCCATGGGCCAAGGTGACACACGAATGGCAACACATATAATCTAGTTCGGTTTCGGTTCTCTGTGCTGTGCCGAGGAGATCACGAAGGATGACACAGTTGCTACTGCTCCGGAGATTGAGCAAAGCCAGCAAGTACCAGTATGCTGACCATGCAACATACACATACAGCGCTGGCAACTGAAATCCGATCCCCTGAGCAGCGCGCTCACATCGCAAAGACCCGAAATAGAGGCCGCTAGAAAGTGAACGCGCCACCCAGGGGTCGGATTTCAGCTGCCAGTACTGTAGGTCGGTAGTACTAGCACTGTCGGTGGTGGACACTGCAACTGCACTGCCACTATGCTGACAAAGAGAGCAAACGTGAATGCTGCTAACACACAGGCTGCTATACGGATAGCGTTAACGTGTACGTACCCGATAGCCTGTGACTTGCACACCGCCGTAGGTCATGGGTATGTTCCAAGACAGCTCTGCTACTCCGTTTGATACGCTGCCCACAGACAGGCTGGGCGCGTCGGGGGGACCAGGTACCTACGATAGACACACACGGCGATACGCACACAGATTTAGAACATACACATGCACACATCCGTGCAGATACATAGACACACAGTAAACCATGCTACTTCTGATGGCAAGGAGTGATTCAATAGCCAACACACCTACAAATACAATTAATGTACTGTCATTCGCTGTGGTTTCAGATTATCTGGAGCGTATTTGGGAATGCAGTATGTCACTATGCTCTGCTTCCCCGCCCATACCAGCCCCATACCAACACCCATCCCTGGAAACATGTTCAAGTTTGGGTGGATATTTACTCCCAAAGCATGTACAAGTCCAAACACGCACACAAGTATTCATATGTACAGTTGGACTCGGTGAAATCCGACCCAAAGTGCAAAACCGGCACCCATACACCAGTTGCGATTATATCACTGTATTTGTTCATGTGTACGTCCAGCCGCATTCATACCACTTCCAGAGCGCCAAGGGCCGTGCAAGGTGAGGGTGCCTAATATGCACGTTTGGTTGGATTTCGCCGAGCGCAACTGTACATAGAAGTAGATTTGTAGGCGATGAGTGCATCATCTCGTGAGTAAGCTAACAGCTGGCCAGGCGCTGTGCAGCTCTAGCAGCGTCAGCTCTGCTAGGACCACAACCATTGCAGGGGCGTCGGACACGGTACGGTCACTACGGTATCAGGGCATAGCTTTCAAGGATTTCATTTAGCTCGGACAAATGTCCTTCCGTTTTGAAATCTGTGGACATGCCCGGACATTTTCCACAACTGCACTAGCAGTCCAACCAAGAGTACATAACCCTTGGTCCAACCCATCGATTCAAGTGCGAAGTCGACACCAACGGTCGAAAGTGTGAATTGACTGTAGCAACAACGCGTTGCTACAGGCGGATCAAGTACTCAAGTAAATATAGTGAAGTCTACGCCTGAGACTACGGTATACGTGTTAGTTGTACGATATGCAAGTCGCATTTGGCACGAAGCTCTGAAGAAAGCCCAACTCTGCATAAAAAGGTCGAAAGGTCGCTGCTCTTTTTTTTACTTTTTTGACCGGACACTATGTCCGGTGAAATTGAAAACGTCCAGTCAGTGGCCGAAAATGGCCAGAAAATGTCCGATGTCCGGCCGTTAATCTATGCCCTGGGTATTGACCGTACCACTTTTTGCTTCAGGTACCCCGTGAATCAATAAAATACACTCATCTGGGCTCTAAATTTCCAAAAATTTTGGCTCAGCCATCCCTCCCACACGAGTAAATTGTACTTCAGATGGCTGACCGTACCACACTAAAATACCTTCCGACGCCCCTGCATTGGCGCGTGCACTGGCGTACATGCTGCCGGCACGTTAGTTTATTTTTATTTTCGACTGGATATCATGCATGGCATCAAGAGTACATGAACAACCAGAGTGTGCAGCTCGGATGGGTGGCTGTCACGGCGGAATTCCGTGATTACATCATTTTAGTGATGTAGTGCGTACAAGCAGGATTCAAGCAGGTCTCTTTCTGCACAACTGCAGCTCAGTTGTACGCACTACGCAATTTCCCGCCTCAGATCTGCGCCAAATATGATGTAATCACGGAATTCCGCCGTGACAGACACCCATAGCAGAAAAGGCCCCAGGCTGCACACTCTGGTTTTCATGTACTCTTGATGGCATCTGCTCACAGAACTGAACACACACACTGACGTTACTGGAAAGCACGGCAGTTCAAGCTACTCCCAAGTACATGTAGTACAGGCTAGTTGAGGAAGGTCACTGGTGTGCTGATGGAGAGCAACGACACCACTTACCCGGCATGTGATGACGCAGCTGGGAATAGTAGTCTCAATGTCATCATCCAGGACTGCCTCCAAGAATATCTGATATGTTGTTCTGACAACAAGAAGCGCAACAACAGCAGAAGCAGAAGCGGCGGCGGCAGCCCAAAGAGACAAAGACGATGAGTGATAAGCACCTTCATTATGTTCTCCCTGTGGTGGTGGCCAAAAGCGCAATGTGGCGTGGTGGAATTACAGGTAGCTAAATTTATACAATGACCAGGTCACACGCAAAGTCCAGTGGAAGAGAATCCGCCTCAGCCTTTGCTTGACTTTGACCTGTCTTCAAGGTTATCCTGTAACGAGATCAGGTCTGTTGAAACTACTACCTATTCCAAGTGACTAGCACTTTATATTAAGTTCAGTAGTACCTAATATGTGACCGGTCTCACAGACCCGTCTTCAGAGAAGAGGTCAGATTTACTAATACGACTCGATACGACCCGATACCCCCCGATACCCTATACGACCTGATAAGCCAGACAAACGGACAGGACAAATGTGTGACGGTGGTGATGTGAATGGCTGCATGTGGCTGAATTCAATGCATGTGCATGTGCATGTGCAACCACATTCAAAGGCATTCAGCTTGGCAAGCTTTGACAACTTCTGCAGAAGGACAAGATGGACACAAGGATGACGACAACTTCTTTCCATGTATAAGAGCGTTTACCTTGCCTCGCAGTTCTGAATGACATACTCAGTTGCCGACTTGGGCACCGAGATGCGGTTTGTAGCCCGTTTGACTCTGCCTTCGCGCCACACGACGTCCACTCTCTCCGGAACATGGCTCTGCTCACTGTCATCACAGGCAGGCGATAGCGACCAGTTGATCTTGATAACACCGGCTACCTCACCGGCCACCTCACCGGCCACCTCACAGTACTTGGCAGAGAGCCTGGGGAAGTGGACACCATCTGCTGGCCGGCCAGGTAGTCGGATTAACGGTGCAGTGTCCTACACACATATACACACAATATCGGGGATATGCACAGACAGCGCTTCATAGTACTTGAAATACAGGTAACAGCACTGACGAACTACAATCAAACTAGAAATGTAGTATAGTAGAGTGTTATGAGTGTGTCACCGTGTACAGTATGCTGTGAATGCCTGAGTCTATTTGAGTACATGGTGAGTCCATACCAGTATGCTGTGAATGCCTGAGTCTATTTGAGTACATGGTGAGTCCATACCAGTATGCGGTACATGATAAGTTCCATGTCAGTATGCCGTATGTTACCTTTTTTTCAGACTTGCTCACACCACTGGCACAGCACCTCTCAACAGGCAGTACTATACTCTTGTTCTCGCCACAGCACCTCTCAACAGGCAGTACCATACATTGTACTTGCAGACAACACTAGTGGGTAGTGCTAGGAACCTGAAGCCTTACATCCTTTTCAGCATTCTCCTCGAGTACTGTGAGAACTGCTCCCATGACCCAGTCAACATCAATAGTACAGTCACTGGCGCTCCTGCTCGATTTCAGCACCTGGACAGGAGAACCGTCTCTTTCCACCACCATCGTCTTGTTACTCTGGCTGCTTGCAGCCTAGCAAGGAGATGTAGATACACATAATACAGCCACATACTGGTGAATTAAGCCACAGCAGAATACAAAGTGGCTATAACACACACACACACACACACACACACACACACACACACACACACACACACACACACATAACACACACACACACACACACACACACACACACATAACACACACACACACACACACACACACACATACATACACACACACACACTTGTTGCTCACTGCCAAAACTGGTCACGTGGGTCTCCCCGGGAGAGGGGAGAGAGACTCAAAAGGAATCTTGGAAAGATGACTCAACTGGCTATTGAACCGCCCAACGGCCGACACCCCCTGACATCTCCAAAACTCTGGGTGGACTTGAAAGAGATCCCACTTATGGGCTCACCACTACTCAGTAAGTGGGTGTGGACAAGGTGCAGAAAAGGATTGACGGCATCAGGGTATCCGTCCAGGGATCCAACTGCAGGGTACCCCTGCCCCCACTGAAGGTAATACTTGCTTCTAGTGTGGGTGGCTAAACCAGAGTGGATCTGATATAAGCTTCACTAGCACCATTGATTACACAAAAGTTAATCTAGCCAGAAGCAGTCCATGGTTAAAAGAAAGTATATGAACCCTGGGAACCAAAAAAGGTGGCAGGTACAACATTACACCTTCAAGCAGCCGAGCCCGTGGGCGACAGACCCAACACAATCAGGCATACCGTATTATCTCTAATATAAGCACGGTCCTTTATTTTTTCAATGTACCTCCGCCCCGTGCTATTAATGGAGACGTTCCTTTATTGGAGACTGTTCCATTATTATTTCAACCTCATTGCAGAAGCAAGTTGCCATGCCAATTTCATGTATGACACACACATTTCAGGGTTTTTTCGCCGGTACAGATAATGAATTTACACAGTGTGCTTACAATGGAGACTGAGCACTTTATTTTTTGAATGCCGCCCCAAGGCGTTCTATTATTGGAGACGTGCTATTATTGGAGACTGTGCTTATATTAGATTATACGGTAAGTGTACCCACCGACCGAACTAGCTGGCACACGCACACACCCACCCTCGCACGCACGCACGCACACACACACACACACACACTGTACTTGCAAGTACTTGTTTGTACATGCATTTCCTGGAAAATAACTGACAAGGTTTAAAAGCACGGGGCACTAAAACCCTGACAGGTGAAGCCGCAAAACAAACTCGGGTGCACACACACACACACTCACAGATACACACAGATACACACACAAACATGCACATATGCATACACACACGTGCATGCAAGCGCATATAGGTACACACAGACACACACACAGACACAGACACACACACACACACACACACATACCCCAAGCATACACAATGTAGCAGGCATATGTCAACAAACTTACCTCAGCTGGTGACCACTTGAGTTGGACAGAAACCTCGTCATAACTTGACAGAGTAAGACAAGAGTTAGAAGTGGTATCATCGTCAAACTCTTGGATAGATTGCAATGACACCGCTGCAGATAGGGATATGGGTGAATCGGACACACTAACAGGGGTATCCACAGCCATCACGTTGACCTTCTTGCTGGCAGGATCATCAGATGCCGGATGCAACGAGGACATCTTCTGACGGCTGCGCACCGACATGTCGAATCGCTTTGTCAGCGAACTGACCGTAGCGCAATCGTCCGCAGCGGCGGCGGCGTCCGCTGGAGCTGCCGTTGTCGCTGCTGCTGCCGTTGCTGCTGCTGGCAATGCTACATTAGCTGTTGTGGCCCGTTGACGTTCAGACCACAGGTGGAATGTGTAGGGAGAGTTGCCCAGTGCCTCCAGACTGCTGTGCAAGCTGCTGAGCGACGGTCGCTGAGAACCGCTCGGTGTACGAGGATACTCATCAGCTTCCGACGGGCCACGGTTGGAGACGACAGCCACCACTGCAACCTACAGAACACGGTGCATACAAGAACATACCGTATTTTACCGGTTGTAAGTCGACCCCGGTTATAGGTCTCAATTCTGCGTTTTAAAGTTTTCACCCAAAGAAGCACTACCAACCACTCCCTGCTACTAACATATCAACAAATCATGTAAACATTCCTTATTGGAGGGTATAACGTCCCAATCCTTGAAAAAGGCCAATAAACTGGCAAAAATGTGTACATATGATGCAGTCGTGCATGCAGGGCAGGTCATGTTTTGTAAGATACTGATAGTTCCCGGTTGTAAGTCGAATCCCGGTTGTAAGTCGACCCCCGCCCTTTCTCCTTCTATTTTTAGTCGTAACAGGTCGACTTACAACCGGAAAATACGGTACATGTATTAAAGGGCACGAAACGGATTGTGACCTTGGCTTGAAATAATCAAGTGCAGAAATTGTGATCAATGACAGTGCGAGAAAATCATAGCCATTGGGACTAGGATTGCGCATGTTTAACATATCCCGCCCAGACAAGTGCAAGCAAGCAGATGGAAAAGTCACCCATGTAGCAGGCAAATGCAGCACAGAGTAGCAGCAGCAGGCTGTCAGACAAGCATGGGCAACTGCTCCTTACTGTGTAGCGCTGGTTGGGCGACAAGTTCTTGATGCAGCAGCTGGTGGTGGTCATGGCATGCTTCTCGCTCTGCCAGGCACGGTTCCTGGCCATGGCGCTCGCCGAGATGGTGAGGTCGTCATCGGGTGCGTCCAGCTGCATGTCCTCATCCAGTCCCCACTGCACGATGTAGTTGAGCAGTGTAGAGTGAGTGTGCAGATCCTGCATACACCAACTGACTTCTAAGGATGCATCGCCAGTAACAGCTGATACTTCCACCTGCAGTAACGACAAGCATGAACAATGAACCACTGTCACGTGCAGAAGCAGCAAGAAGCACATCAGCCGCAGCAGTCCAAGAACGCCCCTCCCGCATGCTAGACAATAAAGCGCCATGTGAACAATAGAAGCGTGACAAACATCACTAGCGATTTTCAGAACCCACCGCCATGTCAAATATACACACACCAGCGTAGTACAGAAGAGCAGCAACAACCCGAGCAATACGTGCGGTCAATGTAACCTGGATGTCTTACCACGGGTGGCAAGCCAGGGGGAGGTCTACCGGAGATCTCCGCCACTGCCATGTGCACGGGACTGGAGACTAGCGGACTATCTGTGCCACCGCGGCCCTGGCAGGACGGCTCGGGACGCGGTAGGCTGATGACACGCACCTGATATCCCATACACGGTGAGAGTGGAGATATCTAACCATACCAAGAAAAAAGATAGGAACAGGACGAAAAGCAAGATACATGTAGCCACGATAGACATGTACAAGCAATAGAGGTGGTACCCTTATAGTGACAAGTCGAGAGGTCTATTTGTGCATCGGTACAATTTTCATACATCTGTTTCCTGGCAAATGGGTCACAAAACAAATCACCATAGCATAATGCTAAGAATACCTGAGAGCACATGGAGACTCTGAGCGAGTCAACCAATGCCAGCAAGTATTGTTAGCGTGAGGCTCTAAACGTAGCCTGTATTTCAGTACAATTCACTTTATGCACACGGACTATGCCATTGTAAGCCTCAAACATCAATACTAAGTGATGGTCGAGGAGCACTCACAGTGACTTGACGACTCTTGGCAGGGAGGTCTTGTCGGTAGATGCAGTCCAGTTGCGTTGTAGACTCCGGCTCTCGGTAGAAGTTGCTCTGCGGCTGGTTGGGAAAGATCGTGGTGACGTCAGCCGAGGACACATACGGATGTACTTCTACACGCACGAGCTCCTTGTCGCCGAACGACACCGGCACATCCCACTCCACGGTGAGCGAATCAAGACTGCACGAGGCCACACGTAGTCTTGCAACAGGCCGCGGTGATTCGGCAGTGGTCACCTCGAGTACGACCACTTCCTCTACTGGTTGTCCCACCAGCTCTTCATCAGCCGCTGAGTAGAGTAGCGTGGAGGAGCGCGTCTTACCGCAGCCTTGGCAGTTGGAGACGGAGACAGAGGACACGCGGTGATGTTGCATGTAGTTGACAAACGTTGACTTGAAGTTGTCCTCCGAGCCGCAGTAGAGCACTGCAGTGTATTCAGTGTCTGGAGAGAGACCACTGATCATGTGTGAGCCACTCTGTGCCTCGGAGTCGGACAGCTTACGCATAGTCTTCTCACTGAGGCCAGCGTCGGATTGCCACCACATCAGCTTCCAGCCCTCGGCGGAATCATCTTCAATGCCTTCGATCCTCAACTGTGGTGCCAGTAGTTGGCCAGTACCAGATCGCTCTGCTGCCGGCCGACCATCGAGTATACCCTTGTTCTGTTCCGAGTGACTCATCTCCCAACCAAGCACCAGTGAGGTGCAGCCAACGGAGGTCGCCCAAAGACGATCCGGCAGGTGAGACGCTTGTGAGCGATACTGAACAACAAGCGGCGGCCTACAGAAAAACGCACACACACACACGCACACAACCAAACACGCAAATGCAAGTGCACAAACACATGCATACTTCAACTCAGCGGTTTCAGCTATAGAAAGCTGAAGGTGAGCAGTGGTGTCGTTCCAAATACAATACTGGTACGTAACTGATTCGTCATGTACCAATCCTGTATAAATAACATTGGTACCTAGCTTACAGGCAGAAAGCTACTTGCAGAGATACGTTCAGAAAGCTACATGTTCGTTGAACAGATTTCTTGCTCTCCCCCCCCCCCCCCCTCTCTCTCTCTCTCACACACACACACGCACAAACACACCCCTACCCCCACACCCACAGACTTACCCTGCAGCAGATTGATCTGGTTGTGCAGATGCATCCTGTACAGCAGCTAAGCTCAGGCTGTACACTTCGTCACCACCGGTAGCTGGTACCATGAAACTGGCCGAGGAGCATGGCAGAAAGGCGCTGGCGGCACCGTTGACGAACAGATGATACCCCTGGCGGAAGAGAAACACCAGAAAACAGAATCAGTACGCAGTGGGGCAAGGGTTTCCCTTGAGCTCCTTAAGTGTGAAATACAGCATTCAGTGCAGTGACCGGGGCACAAGCATGCAGTGCAGATACCATGCAGTGATTAAACTGCAGGCGCATAAGTCATCATGGTCATGCACTGCCATGTTACACAACATGCAGGATCAGCCTAGGATCAGCCTAGTAGTAGCCTGAATACGCCCTAGCAGAGAAAAAAAGGGGTATACATCATGTACCAGTACACATCCAGAACTTCCTATAGAAGAAGTGACAGGGTACAATCCCTGATGCAAGGCAATACCAGTGGCGGTGTAGCTTACAGCGAACTTGCACGACTCTGGCGGCTTGGCCCAGCTGATATGTATACAGCTGTTGCCGACGCGCACAAGCTGTAGCTCTGGACACACCAGGCCAGAGCTGCCGTTCAACATCAGAGGCTGTGTGGCGGCCATCTTCTGGCCTAGCCAGCCCACCACGGCACGGCCATCGCTGGTGCTGAGGCGAGACAGCATGATCGGCTCGACTGTCACTGAGTAGGATGCCTCATCCTCGATCTCTTTCACTACAGCCTTCAGAGAGTACAATAGAACAACAGCACACACGCACGCACACACAATTATTTCACAGACAAACAAAAAGAACACAAAGCTCATAGCGGATTGACCAGGAGTGAAATGAGCACACCCGCACAAACATGGATTATTCCCGTAGCTATGCAGAAGACGTTACTTCAGTAACGTCTGGCGCTAGCCAGGGTCCACACAGCTTTAATTTGGTGTTTGTGTGTTTGTTTGTTTGTGTCCCGCCTGGCGCTATCCCGTATCTGTCCCGTACTGTACGGTACCAGCAAAGACAGCTGGCCACAATATTTTTGTTTGTTTGTGCCATCGACATGCCTGGCGCTATCCCGTACCTGTCCCGTACCATCAAGGGTACGGTACCATCAAGAGAATGAGTATATATGCGAAGTGTATCGGGGGAATGCATTCAGTGCAGTAATTTGTGTGCGAGGCCGAGATCCCACTAGCAGGCTGGCTGGGCCGCCTGTCGACCAGCCCGGGAATCGCATGTAGGCCGATAGCATAATAATTATAACGTATATACAGTCATGTAGATGTATAGCAGGGATTCATATTATGTAAACGACTCCCTGCTGTATGGGGAGATTTTCTGGAAAGAAATACGAAGTAGGGAGACGAGTAAATGCAATCAGAAGAATTAGTTGCCGTCAGTATAATAATAAGAAGAAGAAGAACGCCCGTGATCGGCAGAGTCAGCGCCGGTCCCAGGAAACGTCAGGACAGACATCCCGTCGACTCCAGAACGCCCGTGATCGGCAGAGTCAGCGCCGGTCCCATAGCTATGCAGAAGACGTTACTTCAGTATCTCATTGAAACGTTTTTGCAATACAATGATGTAGCTAATCAAAGGAAAAAGCATTTCCATCAGTTCTAACAACATGCACGATGAGCTAGGCAACAAAGCATAGCGCAGGGCCCTGAGCTTCCAAGCTCTCTCGTTATGCCACATGATTCAATTTCTTCATCTGGCCTCATACAGGTACAGGTATGCCACATGATTCAATTCCTTCATCTGACCTCATACAGGCTTGACAACAGTGTACCCCTGGTAATTCTAGGTTGCTGGCTCTAGAGAGAGAATCACAGCTAGTATGCAATTAGGACTCCACACAGCTACGTTTAGAAACTCTGCAGTTTCAGCTTTACCTCAATCGGATCCACGTCCTCTCTGAAATAAGCCACGTGGTGTCGAGACGACGTTTCGTCGTCCTCGACACTCTGCGCTTGTGTGCTCCGTGCATCGCTGTGCAGTACGCTGGTGTGGTGAGTGCCGTTCACAAATACACGGTACTCGTCAACCTAAGGCACACGCACGCACACACACAGACACACGCACATACACACACACAGGCACAGACACCGGCACAGACACCGGCACACACACAGACACACACACAAGTAGGATAATTGAAAGCTGGATGTAATGTTGAACAAGTGAGTTCAGAGCTATGATGATCACTAACAGTTAGCTGGGGTGAAATAGAATCTTGCTGGACAAAGTGAGCTGCTGCTTGGACCTAATCCATTTATAAAAATCAATAATATGCCAAAAATGAACAACCTGCTGATTCCAGCACAGCAGCTTGTCGCATGCTTGTGTGTGTGTGTGTGTGTGTATGCGGTGTGTAAGTTCGTTCCGAGAGCCATTCAAGAACAATCGTATGTCGCAGCCTACCCGGGCACGTCGCTTGGTCTTGATCGCGGAGCGGTCAACCTTGACTGGCGACCAACACAGCTTAAGGGCCTGCGAAATACGGCACTTAGCAAGGCGAGGGGTTTGGAGCGGCAAGCACGGCAACGGTGCATGTAGAGTCACAAGGTTGCTGCAGGACAACGGCTTGGCAGGGCCAGAGGCCATGGAAAACACTTGCAGCGTGTGTATCGCACCTGCAGACGAATAGGAAAGAAGCCGTGCACACCATTCAACACAATACAACAACAACACCGATACTGGCGATAGGTTTCTTAATGGGAGGTATGTATCTAAGATGGCCGTCACCTTTTCGCGGGGCAAGTTACCCCATACTTGGCAGGTACAACTCGTTATAGCACATTTATGAGTATGACCTCACAAAGTTCATGACCGTTTATGCAGAGCTGGTATCAAGGTGTGTACGGTTGTAGTGGACTTGCCCCGCAAACCAAATGACGGAAATTGATGCATACGTCCGAGCCACCATCACGTTGTCATGATCAGACGAACACCAGCAACACCAAAATCAGCTAGGACATCCTTCTGTCAACTCAGCACATCGCAGTACGACCCTACTGTCATGAGATTGACCTAAATCAACGGGGCCATGCTCAGGTCTACTCACCCGGTTCCAAGCCAGTGACTTCCATGGTCTGAACGTCCTGGCCAAACGCAGCACCGCCACTGCCGGTCATAGCGCAGCTGCGGAACACCTTGCCATCCACTGTTAGCGTGTACTCCTTGGCTCTGGTGGCAGTGTCTTCAACTGACCATTCGATGATGCTCTTTGCAGGGGAAATAAAAAGTTGAATGCACATGCCGACAAGAACACAGGTGAACAGACACATAAACAAACACAAACAAAAACAGGGACACACACTGAGCACAGTGGCGTATGCATAGACTCCATTTTGGAGCTGTACTGGACATTCAGCTAGTTGTACTGACTTAACAGATAGGAAAACATCAACAACAACGCCAACAACGCCAACACCACCAACAACAACACCACTAACAACAATCACACAGCGCTTCTTCTTCTGTGAGGACGCAAACACACAGAAAGGATATACACTGTATTGTGCACTCCACAGTTAGCATGCGAACCAATGCAGAGTTCAACTACCATCACTATTTATCACTACATGCAATACCAGGAGTCCATAAACCAGAGTATGCAACTGTGTGTGATCTCTTTTCTATGGGCCAGATGCGCGGCGGGCTGCCTTCATTACATCTTTCAGCTGCAGTTCGTCCACTGCGGAAAATCAAACACCGCACTTTCCGAATGGTTTGAAATGAACTTTCGTACGCAACTGGAGTTCACGCGCCAAACTTTAGAAACCGTGTAGGTACTGGAACAAATCGAGCAAATACGGATGGGCTTGTACGAAAAATTGTGGGTTTGAGTGAATGCTTTCAGAGCGTGCTGGAGGCAAGTTACGTAATGAAGGCAGCCCGCCACGCACTGACCCATAAGCACAGTTGCATACTCTTGTTTATGCATGCTTGGCAGTACCCATAGTAAGCTAGTAGCTACACACACATACATTGAGGTAACCCACCTTCTCCTCATCCACTGAGGCAATCCACAGTGAGAGATTGTCAGTTGGCAGCGAGAACGACAGCACGTCGCTCAGAGTATCGCGGCCCACAACGACGATAGCCCTGTGGTGTTGACGAGCACAAGAACAGACACAGCATCCAGGCACTCATGCATTTCGCTTCCTCCTTGGTCATAGAGGCAGAGTACACGTACTAGTACATGTACTCTCACATTTGCGCATCGGAGCTTCAAGCTTCGATATAACAGTGTAAGCTGTTATATCTCGCTCTCAGCTCCTAGCACAACTTCCACTTCCCGTCACAATGTACCATTGCTAGCGAAATGGGAAAGTCTTTGCTGTTTACGCAATTACTGAGCCTGCAATAGAATTATAATATGTACCGAGAGGGGGGGGAGGGGGGAGGGGAGAGTATATTCTTTGGTGAATACATCTAGATCATTGGTCACGGCATGCGGCCAGCTTGTAGTCTGCACAAGAAATGGGGATTTCGATTCTCCAAAATGCACAAAACTACAAATCCCCACAGCATAAGAGGGCTTCAGATTCTGAATGACGACACAGGTATAACTTCACACACAGGACTGATGACCCAACAACCTGGTTGTTGACGAAGGAGATCGCCAAAACAACACGGATGTCGCAACCTCAGCTTTATGAACTTACATGTAGTGGACTCCTGGCTTGCAACCTTGCACAACAACAGACGTGTGCAGCCTCTCAATTTGCCACATTAGGCACTCCATGTTCTGTGGTCAACAACAACAACAAAACACCATAAAACAGATCAATAAAACATGGGGAATAGGAGGAACAAACAATCCCCAGCAACAATGAATGACTGTATATACACATAAGGGTGAGGAACAATTAGGATAATAATAATAATAATAAAACAGGTCGCGTAATGAAGCAGCATAACGATAGATGTGCAAAGTCACGATGCCTGGTCTGCTTCTGTCCTGGGTTCACTACCCCGTGCGTTGCAGCCGCGAGCAAAACCAGCTCAGGCTGAGAGTTCTCTCCATGATTGCTTGTCCAAAGCGCGCATTCTGAGCCCACTCAGATCAGTCATGGTCTTCAGTGGCATGTCTCTGCCAGCTGTGCTTGCCTTGACTGCCGTGGCCAGGTTCGATTTCGGGCGTCCACGCACACCGGTGACATCTCGACGGAAGTAGTTGTCCATTGCCTGCTGTGGCGGGGCATCTGAGGGCATCCTCAGAACATGACCCAACATCCGGAAACGGCGGACAGCAACGGTGTGCGAAAGTGGCTGTGTGCGTGCTCTGGAATATAGGTCTTTGTTGGAGATGATGGCAGGATACCTAATTCCGAACAAGTTCCGTAGTTGACGTCTATGGAAGGCGTTCAGCTTCTCCAGTGCAGCCTCTGTCAGTCCCCATCCAACAATTAGGATGGAAAGTTGGAAACAGGATACACTAACAAGGTAACAGTGCATAGCAAGTAACAATGCATCAACGTGTCCGGGCCACGGTGCTGGCCAGTGAAAGCCATCCGCGAGCGCAGTTTCCGCGCCCTGAGCTGAGCAACCACCAACTAAACTCAGTTCACATGTCCACCGTTCAACTCGACATTGCACACACACACACACATGCGCTACGTTTTTTTGTATAAGCAATCATCACTCCAGGATGAGCATGAAAGTCATGACGACTTACGGGATCTGACGGGAAAAGACTTGAATCAAACTCTTTCATCATGGACTCGGTGAGGCGTGACATTCTACAGCAGCACAGCCAAACGGCAGAGTCAACACAACAGACTATGGTACACGGACAACACCACAGATACATCAAGGAAACTAGCAGCACATTGATACAGACAAGCAGTGTACTGTAAGACATGTATATATAACGAGGAAGCAAATCTAACACTTTAACGGATGACATTTCTTCGTTATAATAAGATCCGTTGAGGCCGTACTGCTTCATATATGCTGTGTGTGGATATGGCAGAATACTGCAAGATCGTTAACATATCTTCTCGTTAACCTATGAATTTTGGACAATCGTTAAATTTGCGACTCGTTATAATAACATGTCTTACAGTACAGTAAAACCTGTGACTAAAGACCACCCCTTGCCATTGGGGCCAGCGAAAGCGGTCTTTAGTGGCAGGTGGTCCTTAGTTAGAGGCTTGCACCGCACAACCATATATGAATGTGAGACCGTCCGTGCCTGGCGAAGTACCAGGCTGGTCGCTAGTCACGGTGGTCTTTAGTTACAGGTGTTACTGTCCTTGGCATTCACTGTCAGATCAAATCAAGCCTTGGTAACTTCAAGCAAACATGACTGTGTTCTGCAAGAGCAGCAGAGCCTAGCCCATCGGCAGCAGGCATGCAGCACGTGCACGACATACAGCATGGTCTTGTCATCCCTGAGTGCACCTATGCATGGTCTCGCTGTCCGTGCGTGTACCTAAACAGAATACAAGTCGTACAGCATGCATGTGCCAGACTGTACACTCACGAGTTGTTCTTAGAACTGAATTCCTGGCCGACAACCAGCAGGGTCTTGTGAACAGGTTCATCTCTTTCCACGGCAGTGAACGTGACACTGTCCTCCGCCATGGCAGCAAGCTTGAAGCTGACGGAATCGATGGCAGTGAAACAGCTGGATCTTGATGCCGAGGCCGTCATTCCCGTTGAGTCTAATGCTATGCGGTACGTGCCGTTAGCCGACCGTTCGGCCTTCTTGCGCATATTGCGCTGCTGCCTCTTGCCCCTGAAGTCTACACACAAATAGAACGAAACGCATGGTCAGGTCAGATCCACTTACTGTAAGTCGACAAGTTTTCGGCCCATTCAAATTTCGGCCTCCCCGGGCTAAAACACATTTCGGCTGCAACAAATTTTCGGCCTGTACTGCTGCTGCCACTGTCACACTGAACCTTGCAAAACAAATTTTCGGCCAAATATGATCAGGCCGAAAATAGCCGAAAATAATTAGGCGCTGAATATCTGTTGACTTACAGTATAGATAGGAAATTTGCACACAGTGAATTTGGTGATATAGTGAACACATTCCCATGTCCGTGTGCCAACATTGACCCTATGGCTACACGCTAGAATGGTTCCTCTGTTCCTGCACACACAGTAATCCTTGCCTGATGACATAATACTCTCACACAGACTGTGACAGAGTGTGAAGCTGTACATATACATGTACATACTGCCGTGCGTGCACGCACCCACACACACGGACACACATGCACACACACACACGCACGCGCGCACACACACACACACACACGCACGCGCACACACACACACACACACATACATACCAGACCCGCGGCCAGCTCACCTGACAGGGTTCCCAGCGCCAGCACGAGGCTTTCCTTGGAGCTGTACGTTGACTTGTTGTAGAACGTTGTGTCCAGCAAGTCACCATCAGTGCTCTTGACACTGATGCTGTGGGAGCGGAACGGTGACAGAGAAAAGTCATCAATGTTGATTGTAATATCCTGTGATAGAGGTCCATTCTGCACCGGTGGAGTTTCCAAATCTGAATTGGGAAGAAAGGAACATGACAACGTGCACAGCACACCAGTCGCGATTCAAATTGCAAAACGTCACATCATAAATAGATTGCTTCAAGCAAAAAATGAACGCATGATTCCTCATAGGATATGTAAAAAGTTACTAAAAACTTAGAAGAAAGCATGCAAACATGGGCTCTTGGTTCCACTGTACAACACAGTGTACAGTGTTGCCTTGCCAATCGCCACACTCGATAGTGCATGAGAACACGTGTTGTTATTCGCGAGTTGCTGCAAGCATGCAGTCAAATGGCCACTAGGTCTGAAGATCGTGACGTTATTCGCAAGTTGTTGTTATACACGATGTCGCTATTGACAAGGTTGACTGAACAGAACTGCACATGTAGTAAATAAATGTCACGGTTCGCTTGAGACCCAGTCAGACTGAGTTTTCAGTATCCATAGCAACGCCACCACTCTGCAAAGATCAAAAGCGCAGATGCAGCTCCTAAAGCGGTGGTGGGAGGTGAGTAGATCAGCCCACCAACAAAGTGTTCAAAGATCAAAAAAATCCCATTCGCTGAATCCATGCTTCCCTCTTCCCAGGTGTAGTAACACTACACGTTAACGCTACACTGATAGCTGCCCAGCTGACTATCACTGACCTTGTTCAGCAGACACCACTAGGATGTAGCTGCCGGGGCTGAGATCCTTGATCTCCACCTGGCACAGAACAGGCTTGCCATCATCAGTTTCCGTCACAGACGGTTGATGAACCTGCACAGACACGCGCAGACACGCGCAAATACGCACACAGTACAGAGCACAGACAAGAGAAAGCACATTATCAACCTGCACACCAATACCGATGCAGCAAGCAAGCAAACAAGCAAAATGACAGGTCAACGTTGAATGATAAGCTACCTTGAAGTGGATATGCAACAAATAACCAAAGCAAACTGGCAGTGTCTAGTTTTGATAGCCAAAAGAACTGGAATTGCACATCAGAGCTTCTGCTCCTCATACAAACCTCAGTTCACATCACCATTACCCTTGCTGGTGAAAAATGCAATTTTAGAGCTCTAGAAAGAGTTGGCCATGTCGCTGCAAAATATATACTACTAGCAGCACCACCGGCCAGCGTTGCCTGGCCGAACGTGGCATATGCGCATGCGGCCGCGCGGGTGATCATGTGAAGCAAGTACGTGAACAGCACACGTGCTCAGCACGTGGTGGTGGCCAGACCGCTGAAGTCCTGGTGAGGGAGGTTCTTCATCGTTGGAAGAAGAAGGAGGGACGTCTGTTACGCCTTCAGGAGGCTGGTCAGGGTTGTCCATCACCTGGTGGCGGATGAAGCGGCTCAAAAAATTCATAAACTTACGAACAAATGTGCGATGCGCTCTTCACTGCAGATCAGATGCAGAGTGCAGTCAGTGCAGATCTTTTGTATCCTTTTTATTTGTTGCAGATGTTTCTATTTGCAGAGAACGGTTCACGTGGTCCGCAGCGCTTGTGCGGCTGCTAGTGCTACCTGAATAGTATGGCCTAGGCTAGGTGGCTACATGATTCGCACGCTTCGCGTGCTCAGTGCTTCTGCGCGCGGCTGCTACTGCATGCTACTCGTACTGATCGTGTCTGCTACCACCTACATGTACACTGTTCGCACACTTCGCGTGCTCAGCACGTGGTGGTGGCTACACGATTCGCACGCTTCGCGTGCTCAGTGCTTCTGTGGCTGCTTCCGCTAGCTACACGATTCGCACGCTTCGTTCGCACGCTTCGCGTGCTCAGTGCTTCTGCGGCCGCTAGCTACACTGTGCTACACTGTTCGCACGCTTCGCGTGCTCAGGGCATGGCAGCGCTGCTCCGCAGCGCTTCAGCGTGACACAAAAACAAACGTCACAGGTGCCTCTTCTTTATAAGGAGCGTGACACACACACAGACACACGTCACAGGTGCCTCTCTTTTATAAGTAAAGATGTGACTGACACCCCACCCACCCACCCACCCACACCCACAGCGAGAAAGAGAGAGAGAGAGAGAGAGAGAGAGAGAGAGAGAGAGAGAGAGAGAGAGAGAGAGAGAGAGAGAGAGAGAGAGCTAGAGAGAAAATGAGAGAGAGAAAGAGAGAGAGAGAGAGAGAGAGAGAGAGAGAGAGAGAGAGAGAGAGAGAGAGAGAGAGAGAGAGAGAGAGAGAGAGAGAGAGAGAGAGAGAGAGAGAGAGCTAGAGAGCTAGAGAGCTAGAGAGAAAATGAGAGAAAGAGAGAGAGAAAGAGAGAGAGAGAGATGTAGAGGTAGATAGATAGAGATAGAGATAGAGATAGAGAGAGAGAGAAAGGTAGAGGTAGATAGAGAGAGAGAGAGAGTGAGCAAGCAGCAGTAGCAGTACCTGGCAGCACACGGTGTTGTTGAGTGCCACAGCGTAACCCTTGACCTGATAGCCATCACTGTCTGGCCAAGTCACGCACGGCCAATACACGACAACACAGCCCCCGCCCAGAACATCCGCGGCAATGTCCGGACCACTCAGCGGTGTGAACTACAGCACCAATGCAAGATATACACAATACAAAAGCATCTAATGTACTCAACTACCAGTAAGATGCTACTTGTAAGAAGAGTGTACTCTAAATCAATAAAATTTCGCTGGCGATTTAATTTCGCTGATTTCGTCGGTCAATGCCAATCGGCCAAAATTAATCGCTGGCCAAAATTTGTCACAATCTAGTACACTGACCTTTGAACTACTACTAGTACGTGCGCGCACAAAACATTGATCATTTTTTTGGACTCCTTGTGCACGCGCACGGCGAAAGTTTATTGGCGGCGAAAAGTCTTTTTTGGAGATCGGCGAATGTTTTTCACCGGCGAAAATTTGTTGATTTACAGTATATCATTTCCTACAGATTAGTTTACACCAGGGTGTAGTATTTACTATTACACCGATTCTCTGACACTGAAATATGATGATGATGTCATATCCAAATTTGCCAAGATGTCTCCGAATATACAGCACTGAGCACATTAGCAGCAGTATTTAGAATATCTACCTAACATGCGTTTAGGAGCCCACATGATTGGGTATGGATTCAATGCACGCTCAACAACTCGCTTTGGTCCGAGAAAAGGCCGTCGTCTAGTTCCAAATGTATCATCTTCAAATCACCTGACTTGTGTTCCTGACATTGTGTTCAGGCCAGCCAGCCTTGTCAGCACTAAGAAAAGCAGACTGGGACAGAAAAGAAACCTACTTCATTCCTGACGGGCACAGGAGACGATGTCATTGACAATGAACCTTTGCGGAAGCCTGTGTACCAGTGGCGCACCTGGCTTACAGCGGCTTGTGTCAACAAGAGGCTACATCAGAGTAGAAACAAGAACCAGCAACAGGGGCTCATAAGACGAGTTGAAGTCGCATGACAAAAAGGGGGTTAGCCACCCTGCAAATTGATTGAAGGCAATAAGCCCATTACGCAACGACGTAATTTGTACCGCGAATGCCCCACACAGCCACCCGGGCATGGTCGTCTGGGGGGGGGGGGGGGTGTTGAACAATTCATTGCTGATCCCAGTGTACTCACATGCACTACTCATGCAATCCATATTTGGCAATGTGCAATGGACTTATCAGTGAACCACGCGGGTGATCGATCTCACTCAAATTACACTCCACCTACCTTGTCGTCATGATCTCGCTGGTTTGCCCATTGCACTTGGCAATGGCACGTATGCAAAACAAGCCATGCTTGGGTATTTCAATGCCTTCATTCGGATCAACACGCTGAGCAAACAAACAGCATAGTACGTGACGAGAGCATTGTAAGGGCACAGGTCAACAGGAACTGTCAAAACACACCTGCCAAGGGTTAGTTGGATGTGCAATACGATATATATATATTATGCACATGCATGTTCAGCACATCAGCGACAGAGTGATCTCCAAGAAAAAAGTGCAGTATGAGGCACACCAGCAAAAAGTAATGACTGCTATAACTCCACTCTCCAAATTGAACTGTACAACGTGAAGTCACAGAGTTCTGCCTTTCCCAAGCCAAGTAGCGCCTACCCATGCATTCCAGGAGCAGAAGTTTGAGCAACCCTTTATCTTCTCTCTCTCTCTCTCTCTCTCTCTCTCTCTCTCTCTCTCTCTCTCTCTCTCTCTCTCTCTCCCTCTCTCTATGACATACCTTGGTATTCTCTGCTCCTTCACGAGGCGCCGAGAAGTCGGTAGTGTAGAGAACAGTGGCACTTGGTGCACTGCCCGGTGGGTCCAGGAATATCTTTGTTGTTGCACAAATCTAACAATGGGAAATCACCCAACACATGCAGTCATAAACGTGCATATACACACATGCACATACACACAACAGAGAGTCATGATCATGACGGGGACTACCAATGCACACATGTACACGCACACACACACACACACACACGCGCGTATGCGCACGACTCCCCCCCCCCCCCCCCCCACAGACACAGAGACACACACAAACACACACATGCATGCCCACGCACGCCCCCCCCCCCCCCCACACACACACAACACACAACACACAGTCAGGGAGAGAGAGAGAGAGAGAGAGAGAGAGAGAGAGAGAGAGAGAGAGAGAGAGAGAGAGAGAGAGAGAGAGAGAGAGAGAGAGAGAGAGAGAGAGAGAGAGAGAGAGAGAGAGAGAGAGAGAGATCATGACATGCTGCATTCACCATACCATGAGACTGTTTAACCGTGTCTGCATGATGGGCTTGTCCAGAACTGATCGTACATCTGCAAATCAGCATAGGCACAACACATTTTACTGTTATAAAATAATTATACCCAAAAAAAAGTTCTATTCTGGCCGACCGTTTGAGGGGTTGCCGACCTGAAACAAGTTTATTTGTTCTTTTATCCTTATGATAGCAATAATAGCAGACATAATGTGACTGAAGCAGATCAAGACTTGCGCCAGGTAACTCGCCAAGCTACGTGAATCGTAAGTCTACTAAACATGAATCTTGAATAAGAATAAAACGGCTAAGACAGTTACCTATGCACGCCCAACACATCGTACACACCCCCACACACACATCGTACACACCCCCACACACACATCGTACACACACATCGTGTACACACATCGTACACACCCACACCCACACACCCACACATGCACCCACACCCGCACCCGCACACACATACCCATACACGCACACAAGCACACACACACACACACACCTTCAACGGACGGCTTCCATTTCGGAATAGGGTTGTTGCTGTTCTTGGTCACCGACGGCACGGATGCCACCTTATGCGCCAGTCTGTTCATACCACGGGTTGTGGAGGCCGATGAGAAGGTTCGCTGCCGAATGGAATTCTTCACTGAGACTTTGCTGATAACCTGGACCAGAAATAACACACAGCACCGGTATATTATAATAAATTATTATGAAGAGCTGAGATGGAACACCCGCTAAATCCATTTCATCACTCTTCGGATAGTAATGACTAAAAGGACTTACTTTGTGTGCGGTTTGTATCTAAATCCATGTTTGAGTTCCAGTTTTTGAAATGGTTCTAGTCGGATTTTGAATGTGAAATTTTGTCTGGCGGTGCCCCTGGACCTTTTGATTCCACTGAGCTGAAAATCTGGTTTTCTCAAATTTAGTGCATAGCGGGTTTTGCATGTCAGCTCTTCATAGTACATCAGTCATTGGACGGAACCATGTCAACTGTCATGTGATCAGGTGTATCAGGCGTACATGCAATGTGTGTTGCTAACCAGCAGAGCACAGCAGCAACAACAACAATGCCAACATGCAGGAAGACCTGGCAACGGTAACACAACATTCAGCCAGTACAATGCATGGGCGTACTTCATTCCAACCACAAGCTAGCTAACTACTAACTGTTTCTGGCTTTCCTATGTCAGGTGGGTGATGATGATCGGCTGCATTCTGCCACTGGCAACAACATGATCATCTTCTCCTCCCCTAGCGCACCAAAACTGCAATTTGTATACATATAAATATAAACGCGTACAAAGGTGCAGAGCCTTACCGCAGCGGAGCTGATTCCTGATTCACTTGAACATAGGAGGTGTTTCGAGTCGGGAGCTTGATCCTCCACAATTATAGTCAGCAAGAGACAGGGGATGGACGAGAACTGAGAAGGCACATGCAGGCACAGTGTATTAGGGGTCAAAGGGGTGTTCCGGGTACCCGGGTACCCGCCCGTTAATCTCAGGTATCGTTAGTAAAAGGGTGCCCGTTTGGATTTCGGTGATCCAATCAGTACGGAACAACACTGCTGGGATTGCGCATTCCAGGTGGGAGTCAATTATTTACAACTCCACGCTAAATGTCTGCATCGTTGTTGCATTTTTGCACCTAGCAGATCTACCTCTGCAACTATCAGACAAAATCAATTTGCGAATCATGATCTGATATCAAAATGCAACCTGAGAACAGATAAACTAAATTCAGGATTCATGTGGAAATTGTGCAAAAATTAAACATGGCTGCTAAAGGGTACCCGTTAACCCGCTCGTTAAGAAAATTACCCGTTCGTTAGTTAAAGATACACCCGTTTGACCACTACAGTGTATACATGTATTCGATTATAAAGCCATGGCTTCATAAATGAGAAACATTCGAAGTATGTTTTGTAAAATTGAAGGAATAAGTACAGTACAAACAAACTTACAGCCCAGCAGAAAGTGCAAACAAGTGGATGTTGATTGAGATTTCTGTATTTCTGTGTGGACTTTGGCATTTATGGCATGGCGCAGTGAGTGAGTCATTTTGCATCTAAAATAGCTAGGAAAGCAGCGGTATTTCGAATGTAAGGTCATGGTTTTAAAATGTGCAGACATACAGTATGACCTATGAGGACATCTGCACAAATTACACAATGTGAGTAATTCTGCCCAACTATGCAGTGCTGTATCGGAATCAAATGTAATTCAAGCAAGTGAGCGGGCGAGCATGAGAGCGTCAGAGAGGGAGAGGAGACAGGGAGGAGAGAGAGAGAGGAGACAGGGAGGAGAGAGAGAGAGAGAGAGAGAGAGAGAGAGAGAGAGAGAGAGAGAGAGAGAGAGAGAGAGAGAGAGAGAGAGAGAGAGAGAGAGAGAGAGAGAGAGAGAGAGAGAGAGAGAGAGAGAGAGAGAGAGAGAGAGAGAGAGAGAGAGAGAGATGTGGCATAGATTGACCAATCAACGGCTGCATTAATGGAAGAAGAAAGAAAGCAGCAAACGCTTACAGACTGCTCTCTGCCAAGCTTCTGCGGTTCTACATCCAGAGATAGCTGTGTCTGAGCCTTCTTTTTTTGCTCAACTGAACGTAGGACATAGTGGTACGTACCAGCCTTGGAAAGGTGCAAAACACCACAGATACTGCAGGCACATAAGACGACATTCAGAAACATTACGCAGAGCCAAACCGCACTGGTTATGTCCAAATCCATCTATGTCATGCTCTCTAGCAAGAACAAACATCCATGAGAGAAATGGAAGCATTCCACCCAAGTTGTTTGCCGCTCTCTCGTTCAAATAGTTCCACACCCTACAGCAAGTGGAGCTTTGCTGCTCACAGTCTCAACAATGCATCAGCCAACATATGGGGTACCGATGTAACAGAGAGTGTACACTAGAGGCTGCTGCCAACACCGGCTCAGGCCAACTTACTTGGAATCGGTTCCAATGAGCTCAGCACTTTCCGGCAAAACACACACTTTGGGAGAGAGCGCATCCTCAATAGGATGAAGGGTGTATGGCTGTGAGCCTTGCCACACCAGGCACACGATGTCACCGACGGATGCCACGATCAGGTTGGGTTGAATGAACCGATCGTCAACAAGAACACACCTGACCTGCACGCATGCAGCAACAAATCAGACAGCAGACAAATGATTCTCAATTTTTAAGTATCATGCCTCTCTCTCTCTCTCTCTCTCTCTCTCTCTCTCTCTCTCTCTCTCTCTCTCTCTCTCTCTCTCTCTCACACACACACAAGAGGAAGTTATGCAAATTGATCCTAGTGCTTGTAATACCAAGAGTATATACCCCCCCCCCCCCCCCCCAAGAGTGTGCAACTCCTGATACCATTTCTATAGGGTACGCCGACGGCGAAAACTCACATGATGTGGTGCAGTGTCGCAGTTGTACGTTTCCAGCCTGTTTTTAGCGAGCAGCAGAGTAATAAAAAAAGCACTCGGACAGAAACTCACTGCGGGGTATATGCAAATCCCCAGGATGATCATGGCAGATATTCGGATTGCGCGCACACTATCCTTCGTTTGTACGTAGTACAAACATGTCTGAGACACGTGATGTGAGTTTTCGCCGTCGGAGACCCCATATGCAGAGTTGCACACTCTTGGGGGGTTATATACTCTTGGTACTACAAATAGCAAAAAAACTGGTTGCTGTAAAGAATACCGTGCTTTTGTCAGCATTCGGTACTATCAAGAGTACATGGGGGTTATGTACTCTTGGTACAATGCAGTCAACATCATCTAGAGTAGTCAACACTACACATGATGTTTGACTGATGATCATGCAAGCATGAAACTAACTTGAGTCGCATGAAAGTCTTGTTCCACCCTCTTTGTAAGGAAGCTCTACCCTTTCGGGCATTGGGCAGTGTGTGTAAGCAGAGGACAACCTCTACTGTGTAGTCAACACTATGCAATTAGCACTATGCAGCGGAAGTACAGTGCTACTCAATGAGATCCTGTCGTGTCACTCAAGCACGCGCCGGGCATTGCGCAGCTCTAGAAGTACACCTGCTAACACTGGGCTGCGGAATGGTGCAAGGCGCAAACTTGAGTGACGCGACTGGATTTCATTGAGCAGCACTGTAGTAAAATAGTTGTACATGTATTTTAACTGTACTCCCTGCTGTGTAGGCAGCATCACACAGTGACAACACGACTTGGTGGATTGGCCAGTCAATCCTTTATAGAATGCGCCTCCAAAACAGAGCGAGACGCCTCCAGAGCAATGACAGCGGCCTGAGTCCACCAGAAAAATAAATTCCTCCTGGAGCCAACAAGAGCCAGAACATGTCCGGAAAGCGGCCATGACAGCCAAGGAAAGCTCCACCAGCCAGCACGGGAATGCCAGAGAAGCCGGGTTCAGGCGGCTGCAGCAGTTGGCATTGGCGGATGTGGCCCATCGGCTAGAACATTCGTCGTTTCGTGGTGTGTCCAGCTGGTTGAATTCGCTGCTGATTAGGGAAGGTGGTTACCACTTGTCGAAGGAGATTTCCAGGATGAGTTGGTCCGACTGGGACTGGCGGATGTGCCCAACACATGCAGGAAGGGCAGGAACCCATTCCCATTCTGTCTCCGGTCTCTGCTTGTTAAGGAAAGGTCTACCGAACTGAAAAAGAGAGAACACACAAATATCAGGCCAGTGAACTTACTCTCTTCACCGGCTCAACGTCGACTAGAGATGCAATGTCCAAACCCTGGTGGCCTTCACTAAGAGCATGGTAGAACATAGGTAGGCACAAATGCACACACACACACACACACACACGCACGCACGCACGCACACACACACACACACACGTGTACAATGATCAAGATAGATTCTTGATTGCACGCATTGCAAAACACTCCTACTTCCCACACCTATCACATACATAATATCAATAGTCACAGTGGCACACATGCACTATGTCATCTAAAAGAAGAGTGGAGTATTGAAACAGTGATCCCATTGCAATCACCTCACAACGTGTGCATACCTTCAAGTTGGCCCAGGACGCGAGCGACTCTGTGTCATGTATTGTAGCAGCTGTGTGTGTGTGTGTGTCAGCTTCGGGGCATCAACTACTTAGACCTCTGTCCAGAAAAGCCAGCTGAAAAAGCAGTGTAGCCATTTCCACCCTGGCTGCCGGGCCTGCAATATCATCATCACCATCATCATCATCACAATCTGTACATGCATTGCAAAGTGCCACTTTGGAGTACACAATACGGGGGGTCACTGGTGAACAAACCTTTTGATGAACACCGTTCCGACAGCATCCAGGGTGATGGCGTATGCACCGTGATTAGATGCCTGGCCACTTTCGAAATAGTCGCGGAGCTGTTCTCCATGCTCGTCGACCTGTCACAAGATCACAGTGAACACAACAGAGAACAGGAAACAAGCCATGCTTGTACACAAACATCACACAAAGTGTCAAACACTCAGAATACACTCGCACATAGGGCATTCATAGTATGTTATGATATAGGAGGTCTGTTTATTATTTCCAAAACTGCAGCAAGCTACAAGCAACCAGACCTCAGCTAACAACACGAAAGGGAACAAGCCCTGCTTGTAAACAAACAACACACCAACACTCAGAAAACACTCGCACATAGGGCGTTCATAGTATGCCAGGACAATACAAAGGCACAACTGCGGCAAGCTGTAAGCAACCAGACCTCAGCCAACAATAACCAATGGATAATCTTGGGTTCACAAGTCCCCCGTACGTACCTGCATGACATTCTGCATACTGCCGTTCCATCTCCACCAGACGGTATCGCCGGGTCGTATCTTCAGGACAGGTGGTTCAAACCCGTTCGGAGTTACCAGCACCGTGTGATCCTTGCAACGAGAAAAAAAAGGAATGCAGAAAACATAATTTCAGTCACAGTACGCTGACTTTAAGTCCTGGGCTACTACAGTGCAATCTCCCGATCGAGTTATTTCATATTGCACTATGTACTCATCTGTAACTTATCACACAATTCAACATAGTGGGTTCATTTAATATCGAAAAGGAGGAGGGATGTACAATCTCTGCGATCAGCCACTGCATTGGATCAGGTGACGTGCATGAACAGCGTTTAGTCATATGATGCAAATATCATGCATGTGAATGATGGTGAACGCCGTGTGCAGACAAATCCTCTTCCACCAGCTACACACACGTGCACACACACGTGCACACACACACGTGCACACACACACACGTGCACACACACACACACACGTGCACACACACACACACACACACACACACACACACACATGCACACACACACACACATGCACACACACACCACACACACACACACCACACACACACACGTGCACACACACACCATTGGACCATTGGACGCCCATCGCCGGAGGCGATGATAGCGATGCTACAACAGAAGCCACAGCAGCTTGTGCTGGGATTGCACCATTCAACAGCTTGCAAGGCTGAAGAATTGACCGCCACTATTCAGCCTGGTCTACACCACACAGCTATGAAGTGGCTTTTTCTGGCCAGTGAATCCCTACTTTTTGGTCTTTTTATTATTATTTTTTTCCGCACACACATCACACCACATACTCCGGCATGCACTGGCTGTTGGTAACCACCCAGGAGAATGAAAGAAAAGTCAGGAAGAGTCTGAGAAAGAGAAGAAAGATGTGTGTGACCATAATCGTCGGGAATCGAACCCGCAACCTATCGATTGGAAATCGCTGCACATACCACTGCACCATATGGGACACACACATGCACACACACACACACGCGCGCGCGCGCGCGCGGACAAATTTCAACATGTCGTCACATAGATTTGCAGAAGCTGCCGCACACTATCTACTCACTCGAGGGAATGGATCGATCACCGACACCATCCACGGGTCGCTGCCACGGCCAGTTGTGCGGAAGAAGAAGACACCGACATCTTCCATCGTGATTGATGAGCTGCCGAGCTCTCCATAGGTTTCTTGCCACACTTCGATCTGCGACGCATCATCACCCACGTTGTTCAACACTGAAATACAAAACCAGTTCAAACAGCAGTGTTCACTTTCTAAACAGTTTTGTTGAAGAAGAAGGCCAAATGCAAACGGCGCATTTAATCATGGATGTCTCAGGAAAGATGACTTGTCTAATTGTGAGTGGAGCTACTGTCTCAAACAAACTCAACCCTTCTAGGATACATGAAGTTTCACCCGCAATATCACACACCGCACAGCCAGGAACAACTCCAGGTAGGGTAGAATGGACGTTACACGACAGCAGGAGCACTGCGTGGAGTAAAGCTCTCCTGATTTCACAGAAGCACTGACTTCTACTATGCATTATAATGATAACACTCTCCTATCCACACGGGCATCAGTTCTGCTAAACCCTAGCCATCGCTCAAGCCGCAGCTGCTAACAGCGACAGATGGGATGGCAAATGGTGGGGTTGCTGGGATACGTCTCCCGGCCACTGCAATACTTACAGCCAATTGATGTTCTGGGTTCTGTACTGCCCTCGGATTTGTGTGCAGACGTGGAGGGAACCTCGACCATGGCCGACAAAGGCTGCAGGACCCAGCAATAAGACAATGAAGCAAAGCAGACACGCCTTTGATCAAAACCCTGCAAATATTTGTCCGTGAAAATCAAAGCTGTGACCAAAACTGCTGGCTAGTGTGGATAATATCAAGCTATCCCCACCCCCATCAGTATTGCACTGTAGACACAGACACCTGCCAGTCATCTAAATATGTGCACCAACAGAACCCAGAGTCAAACCATGGCCGGCCAGATACAACACAATCATACATGACTGGTAGCCAGGGCAGGACTGGGAATCCAGGCCCGCCCGAGAGTGTAGCCCAAGCCTGAAGGTCAAGGGCTACGCTCAAGGGTCTGAGCTTTACAGCTGCATAACAGTTACGAGGTAAAGTTCATGACAATACACCATGCTACATATGTCCCCTTGCACAACACCAAGACTGCGCTGTGGCATCATGTGCAAGCAGCAGCAAGACTAATATCGGAATGGTTTGCTAGTCTCTCACCTGAACGATAGTGAAGTTGAAGTTCAAGCGCGTCACATCCCAGCTCCAGCCCAGCTGAAGACCTTGGTTCAAGCAGATGATGTCTGCCAACACCAGCAAAGAGAGAGGAGATGATTCATGAGATAAAACCCACATACTGCAGCTGCAACTAAACCAACACATGCACAAGTTGAGCCTACAAGACCTGACAATCCTCTTTCATACAATCAGAAACTATATGCTGTACATGTACTATACTCGTGCTGTGGTAGCAACCAGAGGAGAGAAGGAGACTGTGTTCAAACTTACGCGGTGAAAAGCCTGCTTCGCTGAATGTGACAGTGTCCTGATTGACACTGCTACGCACAATGATAGCGCACATTATGTTGAATGGTAAGCCGAGGCTGCCATAGTGGAACACACCGGCGCTGGAAAAGAGCTGCGAGTGGCGGCCCTCGCGGACCAGCTGCACCTTGCGGCTCTTGAGCGCCGCTGCCGACTCCTCGGGCATTCCGTCGAGCATGCGCACCACGTACTGGCCTTTCTTGCACTGCTTCTTCTCCCAGCAGAACCAGACACGGTCCTCGGAGGTGATCTCAAGGAGTGCTGGAGAAAAGCCGTTGTCACTGACGTTCACCAGCCATTCCCTGTAGCAACAACAAGCAACAGCAACAACAGCAGCAGCGAATGAAATAACTTAGTGACATGGGCATACCTGAAGGCCACTGAAAAGTATGGCCGCGGTTTCCGAGAACATAGTCTTTGGTCACTGCGTGGTGGGTCTGATCTACTCACCTACCACCACTTTAGGAGCTGCATTTGCACCTAAAATTCAATAGGGCAGTAGTGCTCCTACGGGTACGCAAAACTCAATCTGACTGGGTATGATGCAAACCGTGGCATTTTTATCCGGGAGCAACAATAGTGATAGACTGGGAAGAATGCATAGGACATATCCAGATGACAAGTAATGAGTGAAGAGCACACGGAGCCACATGCCACATGCACTAACCAGCATTACTCATCTGCACTTCTTACAGACTGGCACAGCAGTAATCCAGACTACAACCCTCACACACACACATCAGTAGCCACAGTGTACATGATAGCAGCTCATAGCCTATTTGACCCGGATACACACTATCCAATGCAACTATGAGATTCAGCAAGCGGACACAAAGGCGAACTGTAGAGCCGGTACAGCTGCACGTGCAGCCTGTAGCCACCACTTACTTGACAGTGCGCTGAACAGCAACAATACACAAGTGCCTGGCAGTGCCATCCAGAGACGCTTCGCTAGTAAAGCAGTATTCACCTGGCTCACTGGGGACAGCAGCAGCAACAGCAGCATAAACAGCAGCAGCAGCAACAGTAGCAACAGCAGTAGAGACAATGAACAAAGTGAGACACGCTGCAATCCACTCTCTGAGAATGACACATAAACTGTATTAGTGCAAAGCAGAAATCGGTGTTCGGTGTTCGGTGCTCGTCTCTTGAATCACCTCCTTTCCCTCTCTCCGCTTTCAGTTTCATAAACTCATTGTGTACTTGAGTTGAGCGGATGTAGAATCATCACTATAACCAGGGCAAGCGCACTGTCACGTCATTCTACTGATATGCTACAATACAAAATTAGTAAGTGTGCTTTCATTGCACAACTGCATATCTAAACCCTGAGCTTGCTGCTACACAAACACGGCTTCTGAACTGACAGGAGTTGGGCAGAACAGAGTTGAAAAGTGAGCAGCACTCGGTGCAACTCACCTGAAAACCTCTTGATAGGTTCCCGATGTATCCCGCATCATCATAGTGTTGTTGTCCATGCAGTCGCTATCACACTCTCCCTCGCAGTTCCTGTAAGAGAGGGAGGGAGGGAGGGAGAGAGAGAGAGACAGACAGACAGACAGACAGACAGACAGACAGACAGAGAGAGAGAGAGAGAGAGAGAGAGAGAGAGAGAGAGAGAGAGAGAGAGAGAGAGAGAGAGAGAGAGAGAGAGAGAGAGAGAGAGAGAGAGAGAGAGAGAGAGAAGAGAGAGAAAAGAGAAACTCATAATTTCACGTCCAGTACACGAGCATGAGTGAGTACAGCCATGTACACACTCCGAAACAAAGCTACATTGTTTGTTGTGATTCTTGTGATGAGCAGACAAAAATATATTACAGTCCTGTACATGACTATACAGTCAACTCCACTTATAACAAACTCGCATGTAGATAAGTTTGTTATCTCGCAGGGCCGCATGTAAATCAAGTGCACTCATACTGTCATGGGTCCCATACCAGTGACTGAGTCAGGACATGTTGCTTGCATGGTGTGAGTGCATTTCTGTTATAGCGAACTTCGGCTATGAAGAACTAATTCTCCTGCCCAATGGTGTTCGCTATATCAGGAGTCGACTGTAGTAGCCATAGGAACAAGACACCCAATCAATGTGTAGTGCTGCTATACACATACATTCCAAGAGTCCAGCACTTCCCAGCTTCTTGGGGAAGCATCAGGCTTAAAAAACAAACAACAACAATTCAAATAACCAGTGACTCACCGCAGTGGTCTGACAGCACGTGGCAGTGAGCATGCTTCCCACACGAACATAACAGCCGTGCCGGTGTCAATCCGCAGTGTGCGCGGATGAAAGCCATCGTCAGCCACGCGGATTATCTGCGACGGTCGCTTCTGAACGGTGATAGTCAGTACAGAGCGACGTTTCGACAAGCCTTGACTGAAAGATTGGCATTTCACAATGAAAAGAAGGCAGACAGAAAGATCAGAGGAATGTGACGTAATCATGGGCCAGACCAAGCGGACAGAATAAGGTAATGTTACGACATAGCTCAAGTAACAATGTACATAACAGCATAACAATGTACCGTAAAGGGAAATAGTTTTACGGGACAAAATAAATACAGCGAAAAATACAGCGAAATTTCGCGAGTCAAACCACATTCGCGAAGTTTTGCCCCACACACAACCCGGTACATCAGAATCACGCGCCACTCAAAAGTTAATTTAGACGGTGTACCCGACCCATCAAACTGCTCAAAACACATAATATAGCGCCAAGTTCATTTTATGATCGACATTCACCTTTGTCGCAAAGTGACTACTTTTTTGCGGCTGTTCTTTGAAGTTAGAAACGAGCAAGTATTGTTTTGAAAAAGTATCAGCCCCCCCCCCCTAACAACTCGGTATGGTCAATTGTACCACCCAAAACACCATCAAAGTTGGCAGAACATAACATGTGTTAGAACAAACCTGATGAAGTGGTAGGCTCCCTGACAGCGGAACGTGTACGAGTACTCTCCTGTGCCGACGACCTTCCCACTGGTCAGGCCTCCCTTGACGACATGGAGGTTGTTTCCGGAAAGTGACACCTGTGTGGTACGGCAAGATTACCAATGCATGTCTTTAATAAAGGTGGAAAATGTAGAAGCAGACCTCACTACAGCAGGAGCAACGTGAAGTGCAAGACAGATGGGTGAAGTGCCAGAGCAGTGAAGTGCCAGAGCAGTGAAGTGCCGAACTGAAATAGCTCACATGGATGGATCCTTTCTCGTTAAAATGTTAGACTTTGCGCCCCGTTAGAGATTCAACTCTTACAGTAGCCATGATGTACTACATCATGTACACATAATTTCATAATGGCATTCGCCACCTCTGTCCATTCCATACATTTCATGAACAATTCATGCTAGACGTGTGAAGCAGGATATTCTCCATACCACTCAGCACTCATTGGCCCAGTAGGTGGAATGTAGTTTGGGCAGGGTCCATTCCCATGAACACACAGGACAATGCACATTAGATAGTTGAATGGGCACAGCCAGAGCAGTGGGGTAATCGAGATACCGTTGCTGCTTACATCAAAGATATTCCACCCACCAGCCATGGCATCAACCTAGAAGATAGTAGAGCGATAAGTACATGTATAAACAAGACGGCGTGCGGCGGTGGAAAGACAGAGACAATGGCAAGGACTCAACACCCACGCTTCACCCCTCAATTTACTACAGTATTAATCTGTTGGAAAATAGTGTTACCGGCAGATTGACGTGCACAACTTCTCCATTTTCCACAGTGTGTCTAAATCATCTAGAAATCGGTTGGACAGCTCCTGTAGTTGTATCTTCAAAAGGTATGGATGTGTGAACAACCCAGTCTCAAGTAACACTGGAATTATTCACACTGCTCTCCGTCCATTTTCAAAATCACAAGGTCTAACTAAATCATACCAATAACATATGCACACTGCTGTAGATAGAAAGGCAACTGAGCAGAATGGCCGTTTTGAAGTCTACAGAACCGTAGTTAATATCAGTTCTCTCTCCCTCTCAGCTCATCCTGAACTTGCACCGCTACTGCTCTACGTTTAGCATGTGGCTCCTACACACATCTCCAGTTTACGGCTTAGCACTGTGTGCTCTAACTGGGCTACACGGAATAGTGTAAGGTGGCAGTGTGGCAGCAGTGGCATGTGATGAAGTGACCTACATACGGGCATCCAGTACATTACTCCACTGGGAGTCTGAATGCCCAACACAGGGGGGTGACACGGAATCAAATATTATGCTATATGCACATGGCTACAAGGTGCATCACCATAGCCATGCACACCGCCATAGCCATGCACACCACCATAGCCATACACACCACCTTAGCCATACACACCGCCATAGTCATGCACATACCGCCATAGCCATGCACACACCGCCATAGCAAGAGTACATGAAAACCAGAGTGTGCAGCTCGGATGGGTTGCTGTCACGGCGAAATTCCGTGATTACATCATTTTAGTGATGTAGTGCGTACAAGCAGGATTCAAGCAAGTCTCTTTCTGCACAACTACAGCTCAGTTGTACGCACTACGCCATTTCCCGCCTCAGATCTGCACCAAATATGATGTAATCACGGAATTCTGCCGTGACAGACACCCATAGCAGAGAAGGCCCCAAGCTGCACACTCTGGTTTTCATGTACTCTTGGCCATAGTCATGCACACTGCCATAGCCATGAACACCGCCATAGCCATGCACAGTGCACTGTTCAGGGACGGCACACCACTCACCTGAACGACATTATGGCCGTTCGTGCCTTCATAGCTGGCCCATTTCCATGTGACCGTCTGTACAAAGAACATCAACCGCACAACATGATCATCATGTCACGTCACACTGAGTACAGTAAGTCAAGGCTATACGATGAATTAAAGGACCTGCTGTCAATGCCTCCCATAAACTAATCACGGCAGTATAATTCAACTTGCACAGAAAATGTCAGTGATAGCAACACATTCATTGACAGAACAGCAGCTGTGTATATGCATCAATAATGGTGTAGCACAAGGTGCAGGATAAGAAAGGTTAGAGGCAAGGAGAGAGAGAGAGAGAGAGAGAGAGAGAGAGAGAGAGAGGAGGAGGAGGAGGAGGAGGAGGAGGAGGAGGAGGAGGAGGAGGAGGAGGAGGAGGAGGAGGAGGAGGAGATGAGGGCAGGAGGAAGAGGAGGAAAGAATATATACGGAAATGAAAAGTGTGTGCGTGTGTGTTTGGGGGGGGGGGGGGGGGGGGTGACAAAACCAACGCGAAAATCAGCAGTGGCCAAAAGAAGAAAGAGATGCCATGGAATGACACTAGTCTACACATGGAACGGTCACATGCACCAACTCCCACATCCACACCCACACACGCACACATACACCCACACCCACACGTACACCCACGCTCGTACATAGAGCTATGCATACCTCTCCTTCATTTATGACCAGGGCCGAGGTGGAGAAGCCCTTTCGTGTGATCTGGACTACATATTCTGCAAGGACGTCAGCACACCAACAGACAGCAAAGTGAGAGTCACATGTACCCCATAACCATAACCAGTCCACTACAAACACCCCGGGCACTGACTGAAACAGTGCAGACAACAAACAGAATACTGTAAAACATGTTATTTTCGGTGTAACTTTAATTTCGGTGATTTCGGTAGAGAAAACAGGCACCTAAATTTAAATTACACCTAAGGCCGATTCCACACTACACCAAATCCTGCCTAAAAAGCCATTTTCAGGCACTTTTCAGGCAAGTTGCCATGGCGATCACTTTGAGAAACACGCGAAAGTGAAAAGTGCTTGTTGTCTACAAAGCAACACCAGCACCCTCTTTCAAGGCAACTTTTTACCTTTTCACTTTCAGGACACTTTTCTGACTTTTCTTCAGCCTTTCGATTTTTTTTCCGAATGTGTTCCCTGTCGTATCTTTCAGTTGTGGTGAGTTGTGAGCTGTCAACAATGCCTAGGGTCATGTTTAGCCAGGAGCTTGAGGGCAAGCTGATCGAGCTTTGGAGCGGACATTTGAGGCGACCTCCGGGCGGTACAGTTCGCACGAGCTACGCCGGAGGAGATCGCCATCAAGCTGATTTTGTTTGCTGAACAGCTCCGGAAGGAGGCAATCTATACTGCGTCGATCGTCCATTCCAAAATCGACAACATGAAAACGAAGGCGAAAGGACTGTACGAGATATACACAACGAAAACTGCCACCAGAATGCCTGTTGGCGAGGTTGACAAATATTCGACCTATGATCTGGAATCCGCCTACACAGCGCGCGCTAGCGTGGTCAAATTTCAAGATTGGGCACGCGAAAATGGGTGATATTCGAGGATTTGGACCAACAAAGAGCCTCACCACTATACTACCGCCGTTGCTACATCAAGCACGGGAAAGCCTCACAGTCTAACCTTCAAAGCAAAGTCCCGTGATCGACACTTGTAGGTGTGAATGCAGCTTCACTTTATAAGCCACTTTATGCCTTCAAGGCAAAGCCACTTTCGGCGTAGTGTGGAATCGGCCTAAAAGGCACTAGAGTATGCGCTGTATGTGAAGGAAAAGCTGGTCACCTAATTCTACATTACCCCTGAAACCTGGCAGCTCCCTGGCACCGAAATTTTAATGCACCTAAAATTACATGTTTTACAGTACTACATTATAGTACACGTCATGGCTTGTGTTGCAGTCCTACATGCATAGGCTTTTCTGCATACATAGAGATGCCACTACTCCTACCCCATATCCCCTGGTGGATCAAGGGTATGGGATGTAACTCCTAAAGCATAGCAAAGCCGTCGTTTTTACAGTGAGTGTCTTCTCAACAAACCATCAGCTGCTACTATCGGTTCTCCACTGTGCAATGCAGTGATGCACTCCACTGTGCAATGCAGTGAGTACTACGCTAGAAGGCCTGCACTGCAGCGCACCAAATGGTTTCATTGCTTTTCAAGCAGTCGTGTGGCAAGATTCCAGCAATTAAAATTTAATATCAGTGACCACAATGTGGACCGTTCAAATCTACCAGTACTCAGTATGCGTGTGTGTCACTGTGCTATGTGTACTAAACGCAGTGGGTTCTACTTGTCTGCTGTATCTTGCTAGACAATATGCTGCAGTATCTCTCTCCCTTTGCTCTTTCAGTGCAACTCGGCAAAGAAACGGATCATGTTCAGAAACAATAACCCGTTTGCCGGTATCTAGACACAGACCTACTAAAGCCAGGCACAGAAGGTAACAGATGCCTGGCTACCATGTCAATAGACTCAACACCCACGCATGCTGTATGTCGCACGTTGAATTACATTGAAGTTACAGAATAATTATTATTACTGAATGGAATTCTCATCAAAGTGAACGATACAGCCAACCCAGTCCTTGGCTTTAGTCTGCAATCTACAATTATGTGTCTTCTTCATACTTTGATAACCACTAATATTATGAGTAGTATGCAACAAGTACGAACATGACTCGAACTTGAAATCATGGCAATCTTGAATTTGAGGCCTGACATACATGTACACCTGGTATGTTCAATTGTGTTTATCATGTTTATGGGGCTCAGCTTGTTGCAACATGCATACCGGAACAACCGGAGCGTAGCTGAGTTGGGTCCCCTATTGCCAGATGCAATACCATGACACTCACTGACAAACGTGACTGCAATGAAACAGTCAAGCTGTCAGTCAGACACAAAATAACTAAAATTATTATCAATTTTATGCGCTACCTTTTCGCTCTCGGTGGTGTTGAGCAGTTGCACTTGAGAGCTCAGTTTGCACTGCGGGTTCACACACAAACATTCAAAGCAGCGTATGCATCAACAAATCACACAAGGATATGGCGTTGATGGCACCTAGGAATACCTCTCGCCTTCAGAAACCGCCTGGTACTGTGTGTGGAAAAGAAACGCGACGCCGCTGACATCGCGCGACCACTCAAAGTCTCTGCAACTTATTATCTCCGCCCTCCGACATGACAAGAGTCCACTTTAGCCTCAAGGGTCATCCGCAATTTTGATTCGACGTCCTTGACAGGCGCCTGTCGGCAAGTCAACGCTTGGACGCCTCGGCAAAGTATACAGAATAAACTACTCGTAGTAATCACAAAGTATGTTCTGAAATGTCCTGAACGAACACATTCCTGCACAGCAAACGGAACACCAGCTTCGTGTCGACTTTGAACAAAACGCTGAAAATGGTTGGGATCCCGAACCACATACATCAAGTCTGCTACAGAACGGAAGTGATTTTAGAATTTGGATTTGGCAGGGAATGCAGCTTCGTGTGTATGTATGAAGCGCGGAAAATTCTACTTCGTACTATTTTCGTTTGAAATCCTCCCAAAATCCTGGAATAAAACGTACAACAAGACGTGCTGCAGCGCTGGTACACACAACTGTACAAAATGCTTGTGTTCGTAGATCTACGAGTACTTAGGCTGTGTTTACATGAGAAATTTCAACCCGGGTCGAGTTCAGCCCGGGTTGAAAGTCTGTACGATAGACAAAAGAGGTGAGCGTTTACATGAAGACAGTTGACCCGGGTCAAATACTGATATGCCGCCAAAAGTCCACTTCTACAGTCCTGCATGGTCACGTGAATCCGTTCGCGCGAAATTTGCATCTGCAGTGCTGTTCAAACCTGGCGCGAGATACGCACAGAAGTACGTTTGTACGATTTTCTTGACCCGGGTTGGTTTCAACCCTCCCCTTGGGGGGAGGGTTGAAATCAACCCGGGGCGAAATTTCAACCCGGGTCAAGCGCAATGCGTCATGTAAACGCGCCATTCACTTTGTGCACATGGCGGGTTGAAATCTGACCCGGGTCGAACTCAACCCGGGTTGAAACGCCTCATGTAAACACAGCCTAATTCACCACAAAATTACTCCGTGCATGTGTGCAGTACCAGGGGGCCCGGGGGAGCCGAACTGTAGTCTTGATCGTAAGGCCACAATCATCAGACTCTGTGAACTCAAGGACCTCTCGAAAGGCGTTCGGCAGGCAGCCAGCATTCGGGCCATCCAGATCAGGGAGTATGTAGTACGATTGTATTTTAGTATTACATTTTACTACAATATTATTATGATACATGCTGATGACAGCACATCACACATACCATATAACGACATTGTACTACTCCCTGATCCAAATAAAGAAGAAGGAATTAGTAGTATTATGTTGACTCAAGACTAACTTTGAAGATCTTGCCAGCAGCAATTCACATCAGCTCTGGACCACATTGTCGACTGCAGTCCAAAACACTCAACAGGTGCATGCCGGCCAAAGTCTGGGCTGACATAGATCCACTCACTGTACGTACGCTACCACACGCACAGCACATTTCATGACAAGATAACAAAATAAACAGCCCACAGATTTGGCTAGAAGTTTTGGGAAACAAGACCCGGTGTGCGCTGGTTCCTATTGTTGCAAACAAGAATATTATGCTAAGGCAGCAAAAGCCAAAAAAAAGAAGAAGTGATTTCAGCCCTGCTGTAACGCCAGCAACCTGTGCAGAATAGCAACTACAACTGGTAGGAGGCACATAAAAACACAACTGAAGAAAGTTTTTAAAAGATTTTGACAACAAAAGTCCAAGGCAAGCCACCGCACTAGGAAGCGACTGCAACCGGTGCTTTAGCAGCACGTGTACGACGTACAGGACGGAACGCTTCGTTGTTGACGGTCCACGGTCCCAGGCTCTCGTTGGCATAGAAGTCCATGGGATAGACCGACTGCCATTCTGCCGTCCCCATAGCCACGTTCAGTTCGTACGGCGTAAGCAGTGGCTTGCTGAACGCGGTGCCCCAGTCGATGGAGAGGCGCGGGCACGCAACCTGCACCCAAGCATCAACATTGTCAAACAAAGCTAGCTTGGCGGGGAAGATTTCCGACAGCAGTACAGTCACACACTGGCGTCCCGAGTCCGTGATCCGCTGGCGCAGACTGTCGAGAATCTTGCAGCTGCCCTGTCGGCCCAGCGTACCCAGAATGAGACCAACGCAACGTGAAGAAGCGGCACGAGATATGGCCTGGCTTCGCATGGAATGCATCACCGGTGTGTCGTAGTGCTCACGGGAGAAAACCTTGCTGTACGGGTCGTACCGATAAGCAGGCAGATTGGGATTGGCAATCATGGCGGACTCCAAGTGAAAACGACCGTCGCCCACATACAGTAATGCTGACGCATCTTCTTTACTAAGACGCGGGGATGTGCAACCCAGGATCTCTCCAGGTGACAACGGTTTGCTCTGTGGCACAAGCACTTTGTAACCAAAGGAGCGCAGTGTCTGTGCAGCTGACTGCAGTGCAGCAACAAACTGGATGGTGCTGACCAGAGCCAGGCTGTCCTGCCCGGCGACGAAGTGCGTCTGCACGGTGTCAGTGAGGTGCTTTGTATCGATCTGAACATCCACAAACACGTACAGCATCTTCATGTGCATCGAGTCCACCGGTACCAGGCAACTGTGTCCGTAATGGACCAGCAGATCTGCACCCAGCGCACTAGCGGTGTAGTCATCAACACAACACGCTCCATACGTCACATCGCCCATCACCAACGTTTCAGCATCAGTAAATCGTTCAAGAATGTCGGAGATCGTGCATGCAAACATCAGAAGGCCCTCTGGAAACTGAAGGGCAACACATTTAGCCTCCAGCTGCCGAATCCTCCAAACAGTTTTCGAAATTTCAAAGTTATAATTACTAGGAAGCTGCTTGATAGCTGCTTGTAGCTCGACGTCATTTAGAATATCCTCAGGAATCTGACGAGCAGTCCTGCGATTTCCTCCAACAGCCACTTGTTGTGTGCTTTGTCCAGACGAAGCACTAGCACCAACAAATTTTCTCCTCGAGCTACTATTAGCTGATACGACACGAGGTTCTTCTGTGGAATCCATCATACACGAGCTCTCCCCTCTTGACTGAAAAAGAACCAGAAGTAGCAGCTTCTTTCCAATATAAAGCAACAAGAAAGTTGGTCGGTCGTAGACTGATCTGTGATCTATCCTCCAAGGTTTACGTTCTTTCGAAGATGTTCTTGTTTCTTGTGAAATGAATTGAATGTACGGTAATTCGATGTTTGCTTGGATTTTTTCATGGACAAAATTAATTCAAAAAAAGTATGACGTAATCATGACAGTGCGTTCGTTTGGGCCTCGTATGATCGACTCGTACATCGTGCCATTCGGGGCAGTGCATGCAGTGGGCCATGGCATTGGGCCGATCCGATCGATCGACCATGCCCCCCCCCCCCCCAAAGTGTGTACTGTCTGTACCGGTAGAAGGATATGATCAAGACGGTATGGAGCCTATTCACTCTTGCTGTGATTGTGCATGTATATCTGGTATACTACTGTAGTGGACATGGAAATCCAATCGATTGACCGGGGCCGACGCCCTCAGCGCGTACAGAACGCTGTGTGCAGTGCACATGTTGATCCGATGCGGCCAGCGCACTGCAGCGCAAAAATGCATGTGTGTACCGCTTATCCACGGCTGCATGGCCAGCGCCCTGGGGCCGCTAGACGTGCGACCGGACTTCCATGTCCACAACAGTAGAATACAGTTAATTGTACAATCGCAAGCTTGCGCGGCAAGAAAAGACCAGGAGTCTTGAAGAAAGGTTGTTCATGCTCTCTTACAAGTAATTTGGTTGTAAAGACCATCATTGCTTATCGGGGAGGGCTTCCTGCGCAAGACCAGTCACGGTGCCAGTGCCAGTAAAGTGTTTAGACTTGGTCCAGCGTTGTGACATCATCATCACTTGCCGTTCGGATACACCGTGACTGCAGCCGTGACTCTGCCTGCTACTGTGCATACCGCTGGTTGTACGGAGGCCGGCATCCGTGACACTGAGTTTGTATACCATGCCCGAGGAGCGCTGATCACAAGCACCAGGCATCACCTACCTTCAATATCGGGTAACACTTGAAATCGCCACGCAACGAGGTGCTGCGGGATACCGGGCCCCGGCACTGACTAAATGATGCAGCTTCATTGTCATGCCGGTATCTTTCAACACTACACCCCAACATCTGGGCCGCGTGACTGTCTGTAAGTATAATAAAAGTAAATTATCGCCAAATACAAAGAAAAGGCTGCCTCATTTGCCGTCTATCATACTGGACAGACAGACAGACAAGTTGTTAGTTGTTACGGCCAGAACGGTGATCAGGGGACAGTGATGCCATAACACTGTGGTGAAACGGCAGTAGTATCACTAGACAAGGTGCCCGTAAATTATGCTGTCAGTAATAGTCACATGAACATGTAGACCCAAGTCTCCGGCTCAGCCCGACATCCCGCCCTCTCGTCCAGAGATGGAAAGCAGCTGGATGGTGAACTGATGGATATTCGAAGCACTCTGAGTTAGCAATTTGGCAACAGTGACTGATAGTCTACTGGTGTTCAACTCGTATTGTCACGACTTAGACTTCACACACTGATAAGAGGCGTATCCGGCAAGGGGCCATTCATACTATCCATTGCATTCGGCACTGATTCACACAGTAAGCATGCATTCATGGTTTATTGCACATGATTGTATGGCAGACTGTAGCTGCAATCATAGATGATCTCAAGGCACGGCTGAGTATAGAGTCTGTCTGCCACGTCATACACTGTACACCGTGGTACTGTAACTGAGTGCACTCTTGAACTTCACTCCACGCACGCGCAGATCCCTACTGGTAATCAGTTCATGCAGGCATCTGTATACTCCATCAGACAGTGGTGCATCACAACAAGAGTACATAATGTAGTACTCTTGATCACAGGACTTCTGTGGCCTGGTGATGTCTACCTTGGGCAGCACTGGATTTTTTGTATAAACATGTGTATGGTCGTTGGCTAGGGAATTCCCCGAGTGATGCCACCACTAACTGATAGCCAGCTATAAGCCATTCGTTGCATTCTCCACATTTCGCCGCCTGCAGTCGGCCTTGAGTAACTCCGGACCTTGGCGGCAATTCAGCACGATCCAATCGTCCTCATCGCGGCCAACGTAGCGAATGTACTCTCCGCTGTCGTAGTCCGTGACGAGCTTTCGCTCGGGGTCATAGAACCCTTCACCGCAGTCATACATCCCTTCCGGTACGTCACGCACCGGACCCGGACCGGGTCCCATCATGGTCTCGCCCGGTTTGCCGAGGTCACCCTTCGTTGCCTCGGCGTAGAAACGCCGGTCAGTTTCGCCATTGCAGTAGCGCCAAAGATCCCCGCGGTGCTCCAGGCCGTCTTTCATCAGATACCTGCCCCCACAAGCATCTTGCCGTCTCTTCTCGTCATCCATAAGGTCGGTGTAGCAGGAATCATCGTACGGGTCGTTTGGATCCTTGAATTCCGCCAGGTCGCGTGGAAAGTCTACGGCTTTGCCTTTTTTCCAGATTGCACGAAACACACGGCCGTCGGACAAATGGAGAACGCCTATTCCCTCCGCCATGCCATCTTTCATGGGACCCACGTACTTGGAGCCCGTGCACATCGTGTACTCGCACGACTCGCCATTGGTCTCTGGCTGTGACCGGACTAGCGGTCCATCGTACTTGGCATCCAGCAGGTGTGTGGGAAAGCTGCGCCTATCGAGGTCTCCCATTATCACCAGCCACTGCAGCCGAACAGAATCTTGATGTGCTGGTATACAGCAGGTTGCGGTGTCTTCAACGACAACCGATATCGTGATGAAGTGTAGAGTGAGAAAATGTTTATAGGATCCTGAGCTGACACGTAGTCGTTGTGCTTACAATCCCAATTCTAGTTGCTACACAAATAGGAACAGGGAATAATGAGTGTGCAACAAACCTGGGCGGTGAGCGCTTGCTACAGCGAGCATGGAACATTAGTATCGGGAAACAAAACACACAACTGTAGTCTACCTCGCCCTTGTCTCGAGCCGTACCGTGTTCTTCGCTCCCACACTTGCACTTCGTGGCAAGATCCAGTCTGACTCACATTTTCACACTGGGTGCTGGTTTTCTTTGACTTGAGTTCGAGTTTTGACGGGCGCAACGACCATGACAACGACGCTACCCTGCAGCCTGCGCAACAAGGGAGTCGTGGAAACACGGGAGTCAAGGATCTGTGCTGTAGATCATCATCAATGACATCATGTAGATCTACACTGCAGTGCTGGCAACTGAAATCCGACCCCCTTGCCGGCCCGGCGCGCCGGCAAGGGGGTCGGATTTCAGTTGGCAGCGCTGTACATGTACAGTAAAACCTGTGACTAACGACCACCCATTGGGGCCAGAGAAAGCGGTCTTTAGTGGCAGATGGTCCTTATTTAGAGGTTTGCACCGCACAACCATTTATTATTATTATTATTATTATTATTATAGACAACACCTCATGGCATGAGAAGAAAATCAGCCAGTACGGGAGATGTGGGTGTTAACCAACCATGGTGAATAAAAGAAGAAAAGAAGAAAAGTAATGGTCAAGACGTGAATGTGAACCGTCCGTGCCTTGCGAAGTGGTCTTTAGTCACGGTGGTCTTTAGTTACAGGTTTTACTGTGCATCATTGTACACAATGACTATGTACATGTAGATGATACTAGTAAAAAAAAAAGAAAAAAAAGTATTACTTGTAGTATTAATCCATATGTCTAGGATCGATAGGCGTCGGACAGTTCATGCATTTTTGGTCACCACGGACACCTAACCATGGACATCAGTGAGTGATCGTACCGGCGCAGAATGATCCGGGTATGGTCTCCGTTACCATGGTTACCTATTGTAAGTCTATAAAGTGTAATGATAATTATGGTTTGAAGTAGTATAGATCGCTAATAGAGAGGTTAAGATGCACGTTATTTCCGACGTGACGCGAAAGTTCAGCTCGCGTTATTTGCTCGCACGTCGAAAAATCAACGTGAGTGACCTGCTGCTCACGTCGAAATTTGGAGTTTTACGCCAAATTTGACGTGAAATTGCGCGTCACGTCGGAAATAACGTGCATCTTAACCTCTTAGTTCTTCGGACCCGACGAGACCACACGAGCGACAGTGCAGACACCAGCACGCACAGTTCACCAGCCACACTCAACCGTCGGACAGCAAGATTTCCGTTGTGTTACTCCTGAAAAATCGTTCGTTTCATGTGAGGATGGGAATTCATCAGAGGAGAAGCAGTTGCTGATTGAAGCGAAAGGGTGTCGAGCTGAAATGCATGTTTATTATACAGAAGATGCTGGCACAAGGTGTGAGCACTCAACTAACTCACAAATCCCTGTGACTTGTGACAAACCCACACAGAAGCCGAAGAGAAGGACTACAGTGCAGAATTGAGTTGCCATGAACCCTACCAGACACAACTATCACGATGATTTCTCTTCACCAGACGATTTCAAGTCAGAATTGCTTCAAAACGCCATTGCTCTCTGTTGCAGGAAATGGGAGCGAGTATGAGAAACTGCCCAGACTCTTTAGCCTAGCGGCTTGAAGTACATGTACCGGTGCAGACACTGTAAATAGTGTAATAATATTATTGAATAATGAACATGGACGCGCGACAGACAGACTTAGCAAATCCACACATGTGGGTAGACTGACTCTCTGAGGGAAGAATGATATGGGTGCATTGCACAATGGAAGCACAAGATGGTGTTATTGGCTCTATTGCAATGCGATTATATTAGTACATATACTTCAAAGAAGAAGGGCTTGTTAGTAGCAGTGCTGTGCTGCTGTCCTCAATGCCAGCTGATCATACGCACTATTCCTAAGACTTAGTGTAGATCTACACAATCATCGTCATCCGGCTTCTCGTATCGGCCTCCGCAATATCATCAGTTTCGGTGTGATCTCGCACTATAATATTCTCCTCAGTTACTGGCACTTCCTGTAGTCATCTTGAAGCTTGTAATTACGCTGTTTAGTTTCTCAGCTGATCTCTGTATAAAACGAAAGAGTGCTTCTCAGAACTCTTAGTCATTCGCTTTTCTTTTCTTATAGTTATACCTTCACTGATGAGATCTGGTTGGGCGTCACAGCTGTCTGAAGAATCCGGCAGTATCGGAATTGGAGTGGTATTGGTGCTGGTATGGTGAAAGTCACAGTTAGTGGTCAGCCCAAGAGCACATGCAGTACCTCAGTTTCCTGGATATACATGGTGTGAGTATGAGGTACCTTTTTGGGCATATTCTTGGTAAAGTGGACGATAATAGCGACCGTGTGGCCTAGCATGCTCATAGGCCCTCAGAAACAAGGACCGGGATCTTTTTCAAGATGAGATGTTCGTCTGGATCGGGTCTCCACAGGCTATTTCACCAGTCATACGAGATCTGTAAGGCCTGTTTGTGCGTAATAGATCACCGGTGAGTACCACCCCGAGAGAGGGCCCAGGCCCCTGGTATAGACTATCCCCGGTATCAAGAGTACATGTACATACAATGTAACTGCATAAAAATTAGTCTACCCTTGCTGGTACTTCGAAGTATGGACGAAAGAAACTCATCAAGCATGCCTGGGCTCATCAGTGGATAGGTGTAGCTCCAAAATGCTCCCCCCCCCCCCGATTTGGTTTTAAAGACTAGTGCGCGTATGTGTGTGTCTGTGTGCTAGAGAAAGAGAGAGAGAGAGAGGGGGGGGGGAGGTTGAGAATAGAAAGAGGACTCACGCCAAATCTAGAATCACAGTGACTCGTGGATCATGTGTTCCTCCGAGTCAAAGCTTGCCCGTTAACATACTCTGCTTACCCGACCATCGAACCATCGAGGTCCTTTGGCCCATCACTCCAGTATCGTTCCGAACATTTAGACTGCCTTGTTGGGATATCCACAGCCGGTCGTCCACAATTGCTCTGACTAAGGTGTCACGGCACTGCTTGCGGGTTCAACAAAGCGCGTGTGCCGGCTTCTCCCTTTCGAACCGAAATTTGTTGACTCAAAATCAAAAGCTGTCAACCATTGTGATCATGAACTCGAAGCAGCCTAAAACAAAACGTGTGGCATATAGCAACAGCAACCGCAGCCCAGCAGCGTTCCAGAATAATGCCTGATGACACTGAGAGACTGTGAGATAAGTAGTGGCATGTAAACACACGTACGTACACATTGCAGACGAAGCAAACTGAGGTCGGTGCTGGTATAATGCTCTGTTGTATCGGAAGCTGCGATATGCTGTCAATCCGTGTTTCGAAGGCTCCTCTCTCATGTGCAATTATTAGCTTGGCATAACCATGATAACAGTCTCAGTGTAGTTACATCCAGAGTACGTAGTCCCGGGTTGTGGGCTCTTGGTCACATGAAGATCTACATGTACATCTACGTCGTTCGATCTAGGATAGTAATAATGATGATGATGATGATGATGATGATGAACTGGTGCTCTTCTGCGGCTTCCCTTCAGCCCGTGTTTTACTTTGCGGGCAGGCGCTTACAACACTCAACTCTGCAACATTTCACCCAGACTGTCATCACTGGTCACTGAGAGTTCAAGATGGCAGATAGATAGAGGTGCTTGAATCCGTGTTGCCAAGAGCAAAAATGGTACGTAGATCTACTCCTATCGTCGTATTGCTGTCCGTTTATTCGGGTGTATGATCGTACTTCAAGCACATGTACATAATTGTGTGCCTACTAAATGCAATACTAGCCTGATATGGTTGATGTCTATCTTGCTGCTGCTAAAATACGGGAATGAGCCAATCTAAATGGTGCAGTCTGAAGACGTCTCCCGCCACACCACGCCGTGTCACAAGGTGCAAGTCAGGGCCATCTCCAGCTGCATAATTATAGATCTACCTGAGCAAAAGACGCTTTGGCCTAGGCATCAATAGTAGTAGGCAATACAAGCAAACATGCCCAATGAGTCGCATTATTTAGAAAAGCGATCCTGTCAGCTTTTCTATTATTGTGTTCACATGGCAAGAAAAACGACACCGCTATGCTACGTAAGTTTCTACGTAAGGTGCTCGGTATTTCACTTAGGCTACGTAAGTCTCTACGTAAGGTGCTCGGTATTACTATTAGATCTACCAACGGGTGGTAGCCGCGTGCGGTGCACGTGCATGGCAGACATTGTGTTGCATGCATGCAGTGCAGTCCGTGTTCGAACGTTCGGATGTGCATGCGCGAGGAACTTCCTTCTTTGGAACTGCTTCTTTTATGAGCTGTTTCGGATATTTCGTCTCCTGGCCTGGCTTATTTCGTTTCGGCGCTGCTGAGACCTCCTTTCGCGGAATATTACTCAATGACAGGTGAGTTGACCAGTTCCCTTTGATTTATTTGCTTGTGTTGACTCTTTCATTTACGAAAAGTGTGCTGATTTTGGGCGGAATGCAATAAAATTAATAATGGAAAAGCTGACAGGATCTCTTTGTTTCCTTCGATTCATTTGCTTATACTTACCCTTTCATTTACGGAAACGTGTGCTGATTTTATTCGGATTTAGATCCATTTTTATCTCTTTGCCCTTGTCTACAGTGTGCGAAGAACGCGAGTTCACCTTCTTGACGGTAAGGCTTATGTTAGATGTGTTGTCGAAATACTCATATTCATTGTACATTGGTACGTTACAAGTAAGGCACTGGTCAGTGACATACTATCGTTGGCAGTTCCCAATCTGGAGGGAAAGGTTCAAGGACCCATTGACCAAGTTTGCAAAATATATTCGCATATCAGGGAAAATCTCCATTGTGGAGAGGATCAGTAACTTGTTTGCTTCATACGAAACAAGCCAATGGGTGCAGTCTCGTCTCGTGAAGATCTTGTACTTGTATGATTGGATTTGTTTACTGGAGTCTGGGCTGTTTGATTTATTATTTGTGAGTACCGCCGAGATTGCACTGCCCCAAATAAAGTTTCGTGCCGCCAAAGCAAGAATTACGATCTGCAAACTGTTTGTAGTACATGTACCTGCAAGAATGTGCTGTACACGTATCGTACTTTCTCTGTTGCTGTTTCAGTTGCCGTCATGTTTCTAAAGAAAGGTTCTGTAGAGAGGTTCTGCAAAACGAAAATTCGAACGAAGTTTCGCGACAGTCCTTGCGAAAGTGTGTACGAATGTTTGCACGAATTTTACGTTCTGCACATTTTCGTAGTTTGCGCGGGCCAAGTGCACATACGCCATGACCCGATCTCACGAATTTTCCTACGACACTTCATTTCGCGTTCCCTGCAAGTTTCGCGTCCAAAGTTGCGAAAATTCGTGCGAAGTTTCGCACTTCATGACGTAGAACGAAAGTTTGTACGCATTTTCGTTTTGCAGAACCTCTCTAGTGACTCATTTGTTTCATATGAGACGAGTCAATGAGTTGGTGTGGCTTAGAATCATCTTTCGCTGTAGAAGAAATCTATTCGTATGTCTATTGGAGAAATAATTGTATTCACTGGTTATAAAATAGGTTCAGACAAACTCACAGAATAAATACCATCGGTTCCTTGGTGTTCGTCCTAAAGAGGTTCGACTGGATATCATTCATACTCACCAAAAGATGTGTAAGATTTTATTATTATGGAGTGCCTTGTTTATCTCTCAGTACCTCCAACCATAGCCTTGCCCCTTTATCCTCAACATCAGTGTAGTTGCTGGAAGGAGGTGTCGGACTCAGCAATGTATTTGTTTACATTTTAAATACATGTTTATTGTTCCTCTTTTGCTGTGTTGTTTTAGAAAATCGTGGACTAACAGTTTGAAGTCATTGAACTACTTCCAAAAGTTGTATCGACATCAACAGGATTACGATTTCAGTGCAATATGATGCAGGATGACCTTATCACGAAAACCCATCATTATAAACCATTATAAACACAGAATCAACAAAAACATCTGCGACACGCACCTGGTTACATTTCTCAAATAAATCTGATCGAGGGTGGGGAGATCTGAAATATCTGAAAGGCAAGCCAATTTTATGACAGAGTCATGAAATTCTGCTACAGCAACATGCACAGAATGACCTCCGTATAAAAAAAGTATCACCACGGTCCACCACTACGTACTCACATGTTTCCCCGCACAAAGAACATGCATTTTGCCATTTTCTGCAAGAAAAGGCTTGCACATCAATGCGTATAATACGGTATTGATCCCTTGATATGATGTGAAGGCCATCATTTAGTTTAAATTTACATATTGAGATAGGGCATTCCATTGATTGGTGACAGAAAAAACAAAAGAAATTATAGCAATAAAAACTGCTTTATGGCAGTTTTCTAAAAAAAGTTATTGTGTTCTAGTCCATGGACCCCGTCTAAAAAGTAAGAAATTAACGAAATGTGATAGCCGAAAATTAAAATTTCACACAAAACCTCACAATAATCACACACAGAATGAAAAGCTACATGTAGAAGACCTTTTCCCCTCGTGATCCTCTTTCCTATGCATGCATGACATGCATGTTGCCAATTGTTGGTGCAGTACAAGTTTAGGGTTGAAAGCAGCATTTCAAGTGCTGTGATTATTGTGAGGTTTTGTGTGAAATTTTAATTTTCGGCTATCACATTTCGTTAATTTCTTACTTTTTAGACGGGGTCCATGGACTAGAACACAATAACTTTTTTTAGAAAACTGCCATAAAGCAGTTTTTATTGCTATAATGCAGTATGCGAGGGGTGACGTAAGCGCCTTTGGTCCGGCCGCTAGGCGCTACCACCACTGGCACCAGGTCCAAGCGTATTATTTTCACATGTGTCTAGAGGGAGCCTGGCACAGGCTGTAGCGCTGGCAGACATAAACCTTGCTTGTACTTGAGTAGCTTGAGTGTTGTGTTGTTGGCAAGAGTTTGTTTACGAGAGAGAACCTCGTGCACTGTTGTATCTACAGCCTCGTCGTTGCCAGCTTGAAGATGAAGGTTGTTTTGCTCGCCTTGCTCATTGGAGCGTGTTATGGCGCCCCTGCCCAGCCAGAGATGAGTGCTGGCTTCGGCACGGTCGAGGAGAACCCGGAGATGGTGGAGAATCAAACCTTCGCAGTCGGTAAGAGGCCATTGCGCTGGGTCGCAAAAACACACAAGCAGTTGTCCGTACTTTCGGCATAAACAGCGGAGCTTCGGTTCATGCGAGAGTGGAGCCCGATGTCCGCGATGATCTTGAGTCCGGGCTACGAACAAGGTTGAAATATTCGGAATGGGAAGTGATAGGCTGTTATGCTGCGCTCCGCCTCTAAAGCTAAGCTTGGAGTCATTCGCCGTTGCATGCATGGCAGACGTAGCTTGGGACTCAGCACTGCCAGCAGGCTGTTCTATTTCATTCAATCAGCTCTTCCTTGCAGTAGTGGAGCACTGGAGGTAGACCTAGCGTACCATCGAGTGTCGGTCGCTAGATTGATAGATTAGCTGGCCAACTACTAACTATGCCATGCTATCCTTCTTCGCTGGTTTGGTGCAGTGATCTACACGAGCATAGCTAGCACCTGCGATACTAAAATACTTACCTAGTTCACAAACCGAGCGAGGCACGCTTGCCGCCAGAGGATTACATGTCTGCTTTTACGTCCCCTCGTACTTCTTGGTGCACCTTCATTCGCTTCCTTGTCATTGAGCACCTCTGCTCGTTTGCCAAAATTGGTCACAGCGAATTAAAATAAAATCAACGACAACAACATGTACGGGCATGGGTTCTAACTTCCGTGCTTCGTCCCATACATAAGTCATAACGGCACAGGCTTGGACACGGAGTGAAAGTGTTTTCTTCTCGAAAGACGCACTTTCGAGTTTCGTGCATGGGTACTCCTCACTTTGCGGGCTGTGACCCAGTCTAAGAATAGAGATCATGGTAATAATGATCTTGGACGTGGTCACCTGGTCGTACTGTACGTGTGCTTAGGTATACAATGACATGATTGTAGTAATGGTGTAGGTGCCATTGCAGTGCCGTACACCGTTCTTTCATCCAGCAAACATGCCTCACACTCTGTGGTGTGAATCTGCACCTTCGCCATTGTGTTTCTAACCATTCAGATCCTTCCTGCCCGCCCAACTCCAGCCAAAAGAAGTGCAGCTCTGGTTGCCCACCTACCTGCAAGAACCCCAAGTCGACATGCATGGTGATGGTATGCGATAACCGCTGCGTCTGCAATCCAGGATTTGTCCTGAATGGCGATGATGAATGCATTCTACTGCAAGCATGTAAGTCAGAGAGTCTTTTAAACTATAATTAATTTATTTTTTATGTATGCCAGTGGGAAAGTGCTTGTAGTCGAATGTTTATACAATCTACTTCAAGTGCATGTAGAGTCTAAAGCCGCATACATGTGGAGCTCAAGATCATAGTTCCAACACCGGTCGGCACGTTCGAAGATGAAGCTATGGGAAGGCATGGGATCAGGTCTCAAGCAACATAACTCCCAGAGTAGAAAATAAAATTGCATCTGTTATCGAGCATCATAACATTACTGTAATCCGATAATGTACTGTTCCTTTTATCAACAAGACTTCTCAGTGAGATCGAATATATGGCTGCGTATGAGGTTCACCATCTGTCCTGTCCTGTCATTTGATTTCCTTGATAGGCCCCGGCTATAACCCCGATCAGGATATCGGATTTAATGATGGTAAGCAGACAGAGCAGATCTAGTGGCATGATGCCTTCTCTGTTACTTCTGTGTCGTTCACTCTCTTCTTCTCCTCCCCTTCTTACCTTTCCCGGACTCCTCTGTCTCTCTGTCTCTGCCTCTCTGGCTGTCTCTGTCTCTGTCTCTGTCTCCGAGTCTCTGCCTCTGTCTCTGTCTGTCTCTTTCTGTCTCAGTCTCTGCCTGTCTGTCTCTCTGTCTGTCTCTCTCTGTCTCTCTCTGTCTCTCATTCACTCACTCTCTCTCTCTCTTTCTCTCTCTCTCTCTCATTCACTCACTCACTACTTTCTTCTTCTCCCCGATTCTCCCTATCTCTCTCATTCATAGCATGACTTCACTTTACTGCAATATCTAGGGCAAGCTGATCTGGAAGAAGACCCTTTCTCTGCGTCACTTCATTGTCCATGCCTTTTTGAGGCGGAAGAGAGCTTGGCAATGATACACGGACATTTCCGCTATACTTGTTTTCTTGTTTCCACACATTTGTAGGTCAGGACCTTGATGAGCACAGTGTCAACAGGGAGGTTGTTGAGCCCGGAATGATGTCCGAGCAGAGTGAAGAGCAGATCAACTTCCCAGGTGAGCAGACTAGAGACTCAGTATCAGGAACGAAAAAATCAATCAATTGTTCTCCGAGGAGTATACGTGTATACAGGCTCTTGCACTCAATGCTTGTCCTCACCAGAATCATCATTTACCAGGATACTGTTGAACGGCCCCTGCTGGGATGATGACCACACCATTGCTCATAGCTTAGTGGTAGAGCAGATGGCCTCCAGCGAAGGTCCCTAGTTTGAGTGTTGGTGGTGATAGTCACTTTCTTCTTCAGAAAAGTTTCCTTTTCGCATCTCTCCAACTACTGAATTACTACTCCGAAGTACATTGTAGTAGCATAGTATCAAGAGTATAATTAAACGCCCCAAGAGGACTTATATTATTCATATACTCTTGATACTATGCTTAGCTTTAAGGTATCATGTATATGTATGTTGTACTCTCGTTTTTGTCTTACGTGTATATTAAAATGGAAAGTACATAAGGACAAAGGCCCGAGCTACTACGGTAGTATGTCAGGCATTGAAACGCGTGCTAAAATAATAACAATAATGTCATTGGCCATGACTTCTATGCAACTGAAGGTGGTGTAACCGAGCGGGTTGCTATGCGGGTTGCTATGCGGGTTGCTATGCGGGTTGCTATGGTAGATACATGTACAGTAAAAGCTGGTGTAAGCGACCTGTCTTTAGCGACCACCTGCTCTTAACGACGGATTTTTCATGCCCAGACAATGTTGGACCTGGTTCTAAAGACCACCTGGCTTTAATGCCCGATTTTGCTTGCACCGTGGGGTGGTCGCTTAAACCAGGTTTTAATGTATGTGTACAAGCCTTGAAGCATCAGCTGTACAGTGTCTTGTTTTCGCCAGCCAAATTTCCTTCTCCGGCGGTGCATGGTCGTGACTGTGTATTTTGTTGTTCAGACCAGAGAGAGTGCGCCGCTAACCAGGTCTACTCGGAGTGCGGCAGCGCGTGTCCCAAGACGTGCGCCAACCCAGACGGCCCGATGTTCTGCGAGCAGATGTGCGTGATTGGCTGCCAGTGCCAGCAGGGATACCTGCTCACGTCGGACAAGACGTGCGTCGCCCTCGACGACTGTAAGTACCCATACGGTTTGCCATTGGACAATTGTGTGCTGGTGCTGCCATTAAACGTTGTCATGTTAGGAATTTTAATCAAGTCTCTCAGAACAGCTCAGTACAGCATAGTGATGAAGAGGTAGGTATACACTGTAATACAGAGTAGAATATGTAAGTCAAATCCAAATGATGCTCAAATCTGTGGACAGCAACTAAGTCAAATGATGTGTAGCTGCCCTTTCCGAGTGGGCAGGACAATAATGGTGATACTGTCCGATCATGTGACCTGCGTGCATCTAACAATCTGACACCAGGAGTATGTTGTAGAATGGCATAGACGCTGGAAATGTTTCATTTTGTGACACGATAATGCATTACAGGATGGTTGGGATGGGCATGCACTGGATGCATGAACCACTCGCAATATTCTCTCTCTCTCTCTCTCTCTCTCTCTCTCTCTCTCTCTCTCTCTCTCTCTCTCTCTCTCTCTCTCTCTCTCTCTCTCTCTCTCTCTCTCTCTTTCCCGATCTTCTTCTCACAGGTTACTAAGTACAAACGGCATGGGTCCATATGGATGATCCCAAGTGCATACCTGGGCAGCTGATGGACACGGCACTACAACAAAACATGTAACGTGCATAACTTCTCCTAGCTTGATAGCTACAGCAATAGCAATGACAAGCGTGTGCCTATATCATTGCATTATCCCATGCTTTTTGTCCACTAGAGTGGTTGAGCCACTGAGCAATGGGACTAGAGATCTTTTATTGAATATGTTTCATATACATATGCACTGCACTCATTGCTGCCTGCACATCATTATTTTTATGACCACAGTTGCTTCTTTCTCCCTTCCTAACTACCGGTACATGTGACTCACTGTCAGTTTTCACTTGTCAACAAACCTTGGTGCAATAGACACAATTTCAAGCGCTGCTTTGATTTCGTGTGGCCGGGGAGCCGGGTATGCATGACCCGGGTGGTGGGCCAGTGCGGCCGGTTGGAAGAAGCTAGCGTGAATTACCTGATATCAGTCTTGTGTACAGTTGGTGCATCGGAGCCAAGAACTGGGAGTGCCCAACCAAGAACAGTATCACGTCAGTTCGACGCGGTTTCTCACAGTGCCGAGTAGACAATACCTCTAATCCAACCTGACTAACACGGTTGGCAGGTGGAGTACATCAATTTTTGTCTCTTCTTCCAAGGGAACCCACAATGACTACTACAACCTGGAATAGTCCAACTTAGTGAAACCTTTCCCCTCACCTCCACCGCTCAGAGGCACCATGCACAGCAAATTATCAATGTTACTTTTGGCCATGCAGCTAGGGTGAATGCAATGAAATCAGCGTGTAACTCCGCCCCGTCCGTCTAATGCGTCTATGCAGGAGTTCTTTCCTTCAGAACCACCCAGCCTTTTAAAGTGGTGCCGTAAGATTCGAATGATCGAATCCCCATCATCCCCATACTGATATCTATAGCGGTGTTGTCAGCACATAAATGAGAACAACAACCTGGCCAGGACAACTACAGTACTAGTACGTGAGACTGTGGTTCAGAGCCAATGGGATCTTTGCCAGGACGCTGCTGCCATTGTGGACTCAATGGCAAACCACGAGGAGGAACTGCAAGGATTAAGTGCCTGCATGGGCCATACCCTTCGGGTTCAATGCGTGGTCCAGGTCATGGTCATGTCAGTCTAGTCAGGCTTTGCCTTTAGATCCCGTGGCCCTCTGGGTCCTGGGCCAGCTATTGGCACTACCCCAACACTCACCCGACCATGCCCACATGCACAGCGTAGATCTGCATGAATATCATGTACACATATAATTATGTACATGTGCGTGAGCATTCTACCGAGGTCTGCTACGGGATGGGACGGATTATTACATTATGTACTGGGAGGTTCGTATACAGATAGTAGATCTGCACGTGCTGTAAGCCATGTAAGCGTAGTGCAGAAGTACTAGCAGCTGGAAAGTGGAATGCTGGATTGACGTGAGAAAGGGATTCGGTAACAATGTCAGCCGGACTAACTACGTCATAACTTGACATAAGTGTCCCAGCTGACTACATATAGACGGATAGACCTACGCCCCAGACTCGGTAGATCTACAACCAGCCCATGGTAGACGATGCGAGAGGACTATTGATTGTATTATGCTTTTGTATTCATGATGTCATTTGTATGAGCATGACCCGGCCCAGTTCCGCTGCGCCTCCAAGTCCGCGGGCTGACCAACCACAGAGCGATAGTAGATCTACTACTTACGAGTACTAACTTAGTAGATCTACTACTTCTTACACCAATTATGTACACAGTCTGCAGCCAGTGACAGTGACCTGTTCGTTTTTGTCTGGTTCGTGGACTGCATTGCAAATCTCCATGCACATGTTTGGTGTTCGCAAGCGCTGGGTCGACTATTGAAGTCCCTGCTTGGTGGTCGGTCCTGTCGTCTGCATCATGTGCCTTGTGCGATCGTGTCTGCAGATCAAGTCTGGACAGATTTGTTGTAGTTGTCAAGAAGACCTTGGCTTCATTGCCAGACCCAGAGACCATCATCTGCATCAATCATCATGCTTTCATTAGTCTTACCTACTCGATTGTGAGCGCCTCGTCATATGGCTCGAAGCTGTGCTGTCCTATCCCAGCCGAGCTGAACGTGTCCCGCAAACCTTACCACCACTTTTCCCCGCTCTGGAGCGATTACAGCTTCACCCTTCCATCGGTCTTTGGCCTACACCGTGCGTTGCTCGATCGCAGTCTCTCTAGCTCTGGACACGCCGTGAATTTCTGCCTCGGAAAGTGCTGGTCGCTGGTTTGCTAGAGCCGCTGGCGGATGGCCAGTGTCGTTCCGGGACTGGCCTCCCGGTCCTCTGAGTCGGGTACGAGGCGTGATCTACTCAAGTGCAGTTATCTGACCAAAGCACCACCGGGCAGCGATGGATTCACCTTCCGGCAGTGGCGACGGCGATGGTTCATGCTGTGCGACTCGGCCATCGTTTACCCGATGGCACCACGCTCTGTACGACTCGAGTACTACGAGAACGAAGAAGCGGCCAACGGTATGATTGATCCGAAAGGTAAGGCCTGATTTATTTGGGTAGATAGGCATACTACAATGGAAAGGTCGGGTAGGGAAATGTTGAAAGGAGCCCGAAACCGGGGACCCTTTGCTAGCGAAATTCGTGGTTCTACAGCTGCGGAGCCAACACTTTTCTATGAAAGTCACTGGGCATTTTACTTCTGGCAATGATGAAAGGACACGCAGGTCTCTCCGAGTCAGTGTACGAAGGCTACACTGCACTTACCGTAGTGACGCGCATATAACTTATAAGCACATGTGCCTATACCCGGGCATAAGCACACCCTCACAAATAAGCGCATGGGCTTATAAGTGAACCTAAATGCAATCCATCCCGCGACACACAGACACCACAAAAACACCATGTTCACATAGTTCAATGTGCATTGCGGTATTGCACTATGTGCATAATTATGCAAGGCACTGGTACACTAGCAACTGAAGTGCATGCGCCTATGTGTGAGACAAAAGGACCCGCAAAAAAATAGCAAAAACGCAAAAACTCACTCGTAAGCGCATGTGCCTTTATGTGCGTCACTACGGTAGTGCTTCACACTGTAAATGCTTAGGACATGCGAGTTGATGAGGGCGTCAAGACCGGCAGCGAGCTGGACTAGTGACTAGTGTTACATTGATCCCGGCCTTTGCACTCATTACAGTCATCCTCTCCATTGTTTTGTAGGTACATGTACATGTACTTCTCATTCTAAAGAAAACCTCCACACTATGAATAATGAAAATGACAGCACATGCCATTAAAATTTTACTTACATGCACCAGTGGGGGAGGTGTGAGAGAGATGCTTTCTACCTCCTCGTGCCAGAGAAAGGTTGTAATGTGCCATACATTGCGCGTTTAGTCGCAGTGACGCACTTTATAGCGTTAGCATTTAGGCCATCTCGCCCCATTTTGGTTGCACACTCTTTCTGGTTCGCATCAAAACTCTCTGACCTTGTGCAAGCAAAGCGTGCTGTGCTTCTCGCTGTTAGAGGACTCTGACAGTTTGATGCTTTGAGCCATTTAAACCATGTATCATTTGTCAGTCACTAGCCTTTAGTTGTGATCAGTCCCACCAGTTACTCTGAGCTCTGCTGTTGGGACATAGCAATAGTGGAACAGATACTAACTGTGCGGAGATTGAGTAGAACGTGTAGTGTACTTCTCAGGAGATTTACTACAATGTTTGGGCGCAGCCCACTGAGCTAAGTTGTGCTGAAAGACAAATCAGACAACTTGTTTCAGGCCCACCGGAACCGGTCCGGTTGGTCGGGTTATTACCGGACCAACTCTTTCGGCCACCAACACGTGTTTCCCACTGTGGAGGGTATGTGTACTACCCGCCATATCACTACTGTGGAGGGTATGTGTACCCGCCATATCACACACAAAGTATGATACTACCAGACCAATCAAGAACTGCTTCCGGTGGTCCTGTGTTTTAGTAAGACCAGGACTAACTACGTGTTGACTTGCCCTCATCTCGGATCACGCGTTGTACCCATTCTGCCCTCTGGTTTGTCCCTGAGTCACTTGGTCGCTCCTCCGGGTTTACAGCACGAGTGTAAGGATGGCACGCTTGACAGAATGTTGAATAAGCAGATTGTTCCGTCTTGTTTGGAAGAAGTTTGAGGCATGTATACATTTTTTCCATGAGTGAGTCACATTCGCGCATGCACCAATGTAACAGAGCAAGCAGCAGGACGATCCGAAAATGTTAGGCACACTTTTAAAAGCTGTTCGGATCGTCCTGCTGACTATTTCTGCTGCGCCGGTGCATGCGTGAGTGTCACAGTGACATTGAAAGTTTGGTCTTGTGTTGTTGTTTCCTGTTTGCGTGTGTCTAATGGTCCATGCCGCTGTGTCTAATGGTCCATGCCGCCGCTGTCCGCTGTAACAGGTATTATAGACCTTAGTGAGTGCACAGCGGTCAGAAAGTCGGATCGCACGGTCAAGGGGCACAAGTTTGTCTTCAGCGTAATCACCGACCACCGGGAGTATTACCTGAGTGCCGACTCAGCAGCCGATCGTAATGCCTGGGTGGAAATGCTGCATGCCGTCACGGCAGATGATTTCAAGGTGAGAGAGAGAGAGAGAGGCAGAGAGAGAGAGAGAGAGAGAGAGAGAGAGAGAGAGAGAGAGAGAGAGAGAGAGAGAGAGAGAGAGAGAGAGAGAGAGAGAGAGAGAGAGAGAGAGAGAGAGAGAGAGAGAGAGAGAGAGAGAGGGAGGGAGGGAGGGAGGGAGGGAGGGAGGGAGGGAGGGAGGGAGGGAGGGAGGGAGGGAGGGAGGGAGGGAGGGAGGGAGGGGAGGGAGGGAGGGAGGGAGGGAGGGAGGGAGGGAGGGAGGGGAGGGAGGGAGGAGGAGGGAGGGAGGGAGGGAGGGAGGGAGGGAGGGAGGGAGGGAGGGAGGGAGGGAGGGAGGGAGGGAGGAGGGAGGGAGGGGAGGGAGGGAGAGAGGGAGAGAGGGAGAGAGGGAGACAGAGAGACAGACAGACAGACAGACAGAGAGGCAGAGAGAGAGAGAGAGAGAGAGAGAGAGAGAGAGAGAGAGAGAGAGAGAGAGAGAGAGAGAGAGAGAGAGAGAGAGAGAAAGAGAGAGAGACAGAGAGAGACATAGACAGAGACAGAGACAGAGACAGACAGGGACAGAGACAGGGACAGGGACAGAGGCAGAGACAGAGACAGAGACAGAGACAGAGACAGAGACAGAGAGAGAGAGAGAGAGAGAGAGAGCGAAAGGGAGAGAGAGAGGTGAGAGTAACAAAGTGCTGGGAAGACTAGCACTGATCTTGCACTGTGCTGCACTGCATCTGTATTGATAGGCACGGGAGTATCGAGATTACTTACGTCAGTCCAAAATTTACAACAGCGATCCTGGACCAGCAATGATGTCCTCTACAGCAACACATGCAGGCTTGTCATCTTCAGGTAGCTCACCGCCACAGAAAGATACCCACACCGAGAGAACTGAGCGGTACGTATTTTCCTTGGGGACTCACACTACTCCCCCGCTGGCCTGAGAATCATCTTGAAGCTTATCTGGTAGCAAAGATAACGTTAGACATGCTGAGCCATTTGCCAGGCGTATCATACTGCCACTGCACTGCTTGAACTTAACATGGATATGCTGTGGGGAATTCCCCTCGAATGAACACCTCCATTCTTGTCACAGTCAAAACTGTTGTTTTCGGTAGGCTCTCTTCTGAGTGGCCTTGGAGCATCTCCGTCGCATTCAGACTATGACGTATGCGTACAAGTACAGCGCAGTGATCGCATTGTGACGTACACATAATTATACCGTACATGCACGTGCATTTGTGTACTCGGCAAGTGTGCCGGGACTTTCTGTGTGTGTGTGTGTGTGTGTGTGTGTGTGTGTGTGTGTGTGTGTGTGTGTGTATGTGTGTGTGTGTGTGTACTCGGCAAGTGTGCCGGTACTTTCTGTGTGTGTGTACTCGACAAGTGTGCCGGTACTTTCTGACAACTAACATGAGAAGTTTGCTCTGTGCACCACCATGCACCAGCAGGCCAAGACCTCACAGTGTGGGGGACATGCACCACGTCCAGCAATCCACCGGCCGACAGCCAAACCTGGACACACTGCCTATGCCACCGAAAGGCAATTCTCAGTCCACCGGTGCCGCCGTCGTCACCCCCGCTGCGGCTGGCAAAGTATGTTCTTCACTCGCTTCTCAGTGGGATCTCTAGTTATCACAAGACCAGTGCAAGGACTGCTGTAGTTTCACAAATTTTCGGTGTACTTTTATTTTCGGTACTTTCGGTGCGTCTGTTTCACACCTAAAATTTCAATACACCGAACAAACACTAACACACACAATCCAATAGGGAACTGCTTCTCTGTACCTAAAATTTCCGTTTACCTAACCTGGCCGTTTGCCCTCATACCGAAAATATTGAGCACCGAAAATTTCTGAAATTAGAGTATTTGATCAGACCCACCCCACCCCTATGGGATGTGCCTTCACCACCCATCCCGATCCACACCACCCATCCCGATCCATAAAGTAGAAACGACTGGTGTTAGTAGTGTATCCAGCTAGGACGGCCTCAGTGGCAGGCGAACCCGACAATTCCTCTGCCCTTCAACGGTCCCAGCATGAGTTCATGCTGCTCCTGTGTGCCCATGTGCTAGGCGATATGACTAGATTTTTTACCATTGCATCACTGTGCAGCTGTGGTCATACCTACACACCTGTTCCCCGGTTGAGGGTTCAATGAAAAGGCCCAGTGAGTGCGTAACTGGTACTTCGAAGCACGTATTCTGGAACTGAGCCACTGAGGAGCTGAGCAAGAAATCTAGAATCGCTGTCTAGTCCAGAGTAGCCACTAGCCACCATATCCCAAGTACTGCACTGTATCCACTGGAGAATATCAAAAGGAAACATGGAGATGTGCTGCTAATGGGGAACATGGCCATAGGCATAGGGTTGCTCTACAGGCATTCCGACGGTCATGCCAGTGGATATGCTAGTGACTCTTTCTTGCCATGTCTTTATGTGATGTGATCTGTACCCAGAACGAGGTGTATACAGTCGTCAATCCCAAGCCTCCAAAAAAGTGAGTACGAGTGCGGAATGCGGATGCATACGAAAGTGTATGTGCATGCACACACACACGCCCCCCCCCCCCCCCCCACACACACATATGCATACGCAAACCCACAGACACACAGTGCACTAATAAGGTAATAGGAATGGCCTTTAGACTGCTTAAAGCATGACCCTATACTGGTGAAACACACTGTACCACGCACTTGGACACTTGGACACTTGGACACTTGGACACTTGGACGACACTGGCAAGAGTCGTTGAATTACGCAAGGCGTGGCCCTCCTGGTTGGCAGATATAGTGCTATTGCCCCTACATCGCCCTGAAGGTGTTACCAGTTGCATCCAAACTGTACAACTCTGCACGTCAGTTGATACTCAGATGGCATAGCTCTGTTCCCCCCCCCCCCCTCCCCACAGAATGAGGCCGAGTAAAGTTCTAAAAGCCAACCCATCAAAGCTACTCGGCAAGTAGAGGTTTCAAGCCAAGACGACAGGCAGGGCAGGATCACCAGTGACTGTGCCGATCCCAGACAGGTGTACATGGCGTCAATTAATTGCTCTCCCTCTTCCGTTTCCTGTACAGCAGGCTTCTTCATCAAAGGCAATCCGCACCGGGGATATTGATTGAAAATGAGCCACCCCCAGTACCCAAGAAAAGCTCAGGTAAGGAACATGTTCCATGAAATGCCGCTGCATCATATCAATGCTGCCTGCAGTGCCTTGGTGTAAGTCACTTGATACTGCCTACACAGCTGGCAGACTGCAGTCACATTACGTGAAATCCGAGCCAAAGTACAACGCTGGTGCCCTGCACCAGCCAGTCCGATTACTTCACTGTTCATACATGTGTACAGCCAGCAGTGTTCACACCACTTCCCTGAGTGTGTCAAGGGCCGTGCCAATCCAGGGCGCCGTGCAAATGTGCACATTGGGTTGAATTTCACCAAGCACAACTTACTTGTAGAAAGTAGTTGGGTGGACACACCCATTCCCTGTGTGGGTACAAACATGTCATAGTCAGCTGGTGAAAGAGCACAGCAGTTTTCAGTAGTTCCACACTAAATCCAACATGTGATGCACGCTGTGGCTGTCCCGGTATACCGTGACTTGATGCTGTCGTCATCAGAATTTCATGTTTATCGTTGCGCTTGGCACGAGTGGCTGTATACATTCTCGAGCCCACGTCAAAAGGCTAACTGTAGGTTCTTTTCAGGGTAGTGCATTTTCACAACAGAATTTTGGAAAGGGACTGTGCCAATGTGAGAATTTAAAACTTTGAAAAAACTTGACTCCAATGCAGTTCCTTTGATTTCATCAATTTTGAGAGTTAAATGCCGCCCACCAACAATGTTGAGCTAACTGAACTGATACATTTCTACCATGATCATCTTGTGGCCTCCGTGCTCTGCCAACTTGCAGATATCTATGAGGATGAAGAGCCACCATTAGGTCGTGCACCAAAACTAGGTGAGTAGAGACACTCCGAAACTATTCAGTATAGTTTCCTATGCAAGTGAGCGAAATAGTGGCAGTGGTGCTTCCATGATACCTTCTGGAGCTGCTCAAGAGTCCATGCACAGTCGTTCACACCTCATCAGTTGAGCTTGAGTTGGCTGATGAATTTTGTGCAGGCAGGAGCACTACAATTTAATTATAGGATATCAAGCAGCCCAAACATCATTGTGACCGTCGGGACACAGACGTGACAGAGGCACTCCGTTCCAACACAACAGTCAGTGTCGCCCATGGAGGTGCAGAACACGTGGCATGGATCATTGCGTTGGTCGTTTTCAATGCTGTGCCCCCAAACCAGCTAGTTGCAACCTCAGCCTTCTCTGCTCTGGGAACAGCAGCGGCTTGTGCATAGAGCCGGAGTGGTGCTTTCTTGCAGGTTTGCCGAGTGAAAGCTTGGATGCGGCACCTCTCATCTGCTCTTGATGGCAGTTGTGAGTCGGTCAGGCGTCAAGTCGTGTCAGCAGGAATGAGAAGGCAAACTCCCAATAGGGAGCAACACGCGATTCTTTCTGAGTTCGGGAAAATTCTTATTATTCTCGTACGCACTATCAAAAGCTCTCAGCACCCAATAGTCTTGTCCCTACCAACACCTTGCAATGTAACTCCACTATCTTGCAGTTGTTCCTCTTTACAAGTAGTGATCACCTCAAGTTAGCTGACCCAAAGTCGCTTTTTGTCCCATCAGTTTTGTTTTCTGGTGCTGTGTTCTTACATGCCAACAGGCACAGTTGGATCAAACGAGAAGACATTAACGATAGGTAAGTGGCTCAGCAGGCCTCTTGCATGCAGGTTCACTATAAGATTGCCATGGAGTGCTCCACTGCCTGAACAGTACCCTATGCCTTGAGACAGCAAGGGGAGAGAAGAAACCATTGTCATTCCGAGTTTTTAACTTAAAGGGGAAGTTAAGGCAAAAATTAAAATTTCACCAGTTGTAGTCTTCGGGGTGCTGAGTCGAATGGTCTTGGTCCGAGGAAGCTGAGACGCTCCCTTCCTACTTGAATCCCAATCGAACTCGCGCACTTCCACCGAAACTGGGTGACTGCGCCCTACTAGATGGGGATTTGTATGCAAAATGTCACTAAAAGCGCCATTTCGTTCTTATAAAAGCACGGATGACCGCGATTGGCCCATATGTTGTAGTCTTTGGAACGCTGAGTCGACTGGTTTTGGTCCGAAAAGGCTGCGATGCAGCGTTCCTCCTTTATTCCCAATCGAACATGGTTGAAGAAGCGGTCACGTGGTCCTGGGTGCCCAAATCACCTGGTCACCACGCCAGCAGGTGACAACTTTCACACCAAGGTTCAACTCGGGTTCAACTCGAGTGACAGGACTGCACCCAAAAAAGGTCAAACAGGCTAGTAAGTTGTACCCTGCAGGCACGGTGACCAGGTGACTGGCGTACGCAGGAGCACGTGACCGCTTGTTCAACCATGTTCGATTGGGAATAAAGGAGGAACGCTGCATCGCAGCCTTTTCGGACCAAAACCAGTCGACTCAGCGTCCAAAAGACTACAACATATGGGCCAATCGCGGTCATCCGTGCTTTTATAAGAACGAAATGGCGCTTTTAGTGACATTTTGCATACAAATCCCCATCTAGTAGGGCGCAGTCACCCAGTTTCGGTGGAAGTGCGCGAGTTCGATTGGGATTCAAGTAGGAAGGGAGCGTCTCAGCTTCCTCGGACCACGACCATTCGACTCAGCACCCCGAAGACTACAACTGGTGAAATTTTAATTTTTGCCTTAACTTCCCCTTTAAAGCGCATCTGTCACACATGATCATCAGGCGATGTTGCCTGATGAACGCGAAACTCAGAGCTGCAGCGGACAGTCCTGTTCTTGCTGTGTGCTCGCCATAGTGTGCAACAGAGAGTCCACATGCTGGATTTCACTTTGGCAGTACTCTCTGATGTACATGCTGGCGAACTCATGGCTGCACTGCATGCCGGGCAGGGCAAGGTGCCGTGCATTTGTGACATTCCGAATAATTTTGTCTGTGGGTTGGTTAGATGTGGTGCCCTGAGCAGATGCCATAGTAACTGTTGATGTTCCTGCTGGTTTACCACTCTGCTGTTTCGTTCAGAACAAAATGGATTTGAAATCGAAGCACTACAGCCTCGGCACTTTGGAGATGGTAAGAGGTCTCCTCTCACTGAGCAAGTCACATGCATGGAATAGAGTAGCTCTTAATTTGCATTGTTTCCGTGTTTGAGTGATATCATAGTGGGAAGGTACAAGGAACCGGCGATGTACAGTCAGACCTCAGACGTCGAGGAAACCGGATAATCGAACACACAGTCATACTGTGTGTATGCATGACATATGCTGTAAATCAGTAACCAACGATTTTCTTCCAGATGGCGAGGATAAAAGAGGACGGGATAAGTGAGGTCTGACTGTACCACCGAGCCCTGATTGCAACCCTGTAGCTTTCGGCTATACATGTACTTATACTTGTATTTCAGCAGCACAATCATTATGATCACGATGCATTTCAACCTTGAACAATGACCAAAACGTTGAACTACTGTTTCCCATTGACGTGAAATTGCTGTGTAGCATTTTAAAAAGTCAGAGTTGACCAGTGTTGTCATCACTGAACCCATGTGTTACAATGACTCTGGGCTGTGTGAAGGGACATTCAGAATCTTCAACAAAAAGATCACTGTTGATTTCGTGTTGCCATTGAATATCGCTGCTGCTCTCCGACTTCTGCACCATCGCAGGCTGTGGGTTTGAAGATTCTGGCGAGGCAATGTCACCGGCAGCCGCAGCAGCAAATCCGTATCAGAACCTGCCACAGAGTTCGAGCATGGATGACCTGCTCCTGATGGAGTCATCCTCGGCTGGCAAGCGTTCCAGCGGTACATACGACCATGTGGTGCACCAGCCATCGGTCAGACACCGGGGACCCACCAGGCAGAAAGCACAGGATGCTGCAGACCACGACAGTGACGAGTACTGTGAAATTCCCGATGACCCGCTGGACCTGGATGGCTACAAGCAGGTGCGGCACGCCAGCGCTGTGCCTCTGGGTACTAGTAACCGACGGGCGTACGAAGAAGTGCCGGCGTTCCTGGGCCAAAAGCCGCCTGCATCACCAAATCAAGTAGGTTGAACAGCATGATATTCCCTTCTGAATAATTATGTTCACAACATGATCTTGAACTGGATAACTACACGAAGTGCTAGCGGGCATCTCCGGCCTTGAGCGCATGAACAAAGACCTGTGCCCGAAAAGACGAGACTGTGGTTGCCATGAGGAGGTTGGGATCTTGACTTGTCGAGATAATTATGTTCATCAACAAACGTGGCCTTCCTTTTGGGGAAAAGGTTCTCATCTGAAACACGTGCTCGTCGAACACCAGAAGACTTGCACTACTCGTCCATGTATCGAACTTACAGCACTTGTAGGGCAGGATTTGTAATGAGTTTTCAGACCCTGGCTCGTTTTGTGCTTGTTGCTCTGCTTCTGTACAGATCAAACCCCATCTGAAACGTGTTAGCTCACTGGATATGAAGAAGAAGTTGGGAGTCAATGTAGCAGCATCAATAGGTATGACGTTTATGCAGGATACGCACCAACGAGATTGACGTTGAAAGTGCTAGAACCCTGAATCTCCCAACCTTGGTACGGCTGTACCGGGTTGAATCTGATGGCTCATGAGCAAAGCCGAAACGTGTTCCCTGAACTTCCCAGTGTTGTGCAGTTCAGGCTGTCCGGTCGCAGGCATGTATGCCTTTTCCACAACGTCTTGACGGACAGTATAGATATAGGAGTTTCTGGAATTAATGTCGATACACGGTACTAAGTTCTACTACCAGTTAAACCACAGTAGACATGCCGGTATGTAATACTAATATTAGCGGGATCAGCGTCAGCATCGCTTGAATGTTCAGAAACACGCAAACTACAGTCTATTCACAAAAAGATGGGCCCTGGCTCTGGCGAGCTCCCGTATTAGGCGATTTTTCAAGATTTTATCGTACACAGTGCAGTGCTGTGAAATTTGAAATTTGAAAAAAAGGGTACCTGAACTGGGGTTCGAACCGTACAATGCACTGTTGCAGGCAGGGTCAAACGGGCTGGATTTTCCCAATTCAGTGCTCTTGGGGCAAAACCTGGCCGAAATCTTATTCTTGCTATGGCTTGCTTTTTGGAGAAATAGACTTCAGAAACATAATTGTAAGAGGATTCCATAGGGGATTGCAGAAAAAATTCTAAAAAAATCAACGCTTGACCCATTTATGGCCAAAAGCTAGAAGTCCATCTTTTTCTGAATGGACTGTAGCCTTCGCATCCGCAGGCCACCACTATGCCTGTCCGTACACCTTAGCGGCGAATGCAGACCTCATGAGTGAATCAGGGGAGAGGAGGTGAGTCTCTCAACCGACCAGGCGTGTAGCGGCCCATAACCCAATAAACTGCATCATTGTTATCCTCACGCCGAGCTAGCTGTGAGTACCCAGTTGACTGTGGGTGTCAGCGCAGTTCACCACACATACAAGTCACATTCCCTGCTACTAGCGCGGGTCTCGAACTCGGGACCTCATGATTTGCAGGCAGGCATGCAAACCAATCGGCCATATGCGTTATGTATACAAACTACTAGTATGTTCTCTCCTAATGTTGCCTGAACGTTTGTGTCCGCATGTACGTATGTTTGTGTGCATATGCGCATGTGTGTATGTGTGTGTATGCATGTACATGTGCATGCACCATGTGTACGGGTGCATGTGATTGTGTGAATGTGCGGGTATGCGTGCATGTGTTTGTGTTGACTAGACATCCCGTCGCCCACGGCGCGATCTAATGCACCAATAGGCAACAGCCGAGATGCATACGATCACCTCGCACCGTCACCGGTCCCATCGCCCAAGCTACGACATCATGCTCCTCCGCAACAGTCGCCACACAAGCCGTCAAAGCCGCCCAAGCCACAGAGTGAGTGCCACGCCAACATTCACAACAACATTGACAAGGAGGTGACCTAAGATGGCATCATAAAAGTGTAAAGTCATGCCAAAGTGAATTGAGTTCATACCAACCAAAGTGGTGCTGGCCTTGAGTTGATGTTGATTGTGAATGCAGACATAACCTTGCAGTACTCTCTAAGCCACCATGTGCCCGGACAACGGCACTAGATCACAGTCTACACTTGTGCCCGGCATATTGAACAGCAATTTTTGCGTGCGTGTGTGTGTGTTGATCTGCAAACCCAGCGAGACTTGCCCTCGGGAGCACAATAGCGGGACTCCCAGCGGCCATAGCAATTCAATAGACGCCTTTCTTTGTTATCTATTACAGAGAGCTTGAGCCCGCCAAGACAAGATCAGGATGAGTATGACCACCTGACACCGCCCGGGTCACCTATGGGTCCACGTAGAGCATGTAAGTTCTTGGTCTGGAGTGCACGACACACACACAGGTGACGGAATGGTTAAATGTGTGGTTCGGGCCACGGATATGCACCAGACATTGCAGGGGCATCGGACACGGTACGGTCACTACGGCAAGTTGACCGTACCACTTTTTGCCCCAGATACCCCCGTGAATCAATAAAATACACTGATCTGGGATCTAAATTTCTGAAATTTTCGGCTCAGCCACCACTCTCCCACGAGTAAATTGTACTTCAGATGGCTGACCGTACCACACTAAAATACCTTCCGACGCCCCTTGTTTTCACACCTACATGGTGTTACACACAGCTTGCCATACTTGCCACTGCGGCAGTACTGTGCTACTCAATGATATCCGATCGAGAGAGTCAATACCATGCCGTGTGCTGTGCAGCCCTACACCTGCGAGCACTTGGATGTTTACTGGTGCAGCGCGCAAACTTGAGTCACAAGATCAGATTTCATTGAGCAGAACTCTACGAGGTGAATAGCAATTTCTGGACATGAAAATAAAATAGAGCCCCACAGGCTGTGTGTTTCACATTTTTCATATCTTTTTGTATCTATTGTATGGCCTAATCCTTCATCTTTCCAAATATGTGACAATTGCTCATGCTGTGATCCCAGAGACTTTATAGCAGGACGTTTTCGACAGGCCAATTTTTTGGCCTAAATTTCAGTGTATGGATTTCTGGTAGGGGTGAAACGATTAGTTCGAATATTCGAGTATTCGTTCGAAAATTTCAAACGAGCGAGTATTCGAAATTTTGCACTCGATCGTTTTTTTTTTTTTTTTTTTTTTTTAGTATTGGCATTGTATTTTTCAAAAACTTTTGTTGTACCGCCGGTCCACTGGTATGCATGCGTTATGCATGGGTTTGAGTCAGTATTTTAAGACTTGGACGATGCGATCACCACGGCAAGTAACGTTCTGAGATATAAAAGTACTGATGAAAATCGTTACTTTACACTCTGTACAAGACATTGGCGACTTTTGTTCTATGTTCGCAGATAATTTCTTCCGAATTGGTCGAGAACTCGCAAATCTAGTGCTTTTGAATTTTGATAAAATACTCGAAATAATCGGATACTCGATCGAATATTATGAACGAGTGATCGATTGGTCAAAATAGATACTCGTTTCACCCCTAATTTCTGGACATGAAAGTAAAATAGCGTCAAAAGGCATCCTATACTGCACCATTTTTGTTATTTTTTCTATTGGTGGACTGCAGTTGGCCTCTTCACACTTCCAGCCAACAGGTCAAAGACTATACAGCGTCTGAAGTGGAGTGCACATGGGGAAGCCAACGATTCGTCCATTACTTTTTATTTTACTCAAAATTCTCATGCGACATAGTACCACAAAACTCGTCGAAATGCCTCACAAGCAAAGGCTATCAACAAGGCATCGACACGAGGAGAAACTACAACAACCCAGCTGTCAACTACGGCAAGAAAAAACTTCATCAACCTGACTGACTTGACTCTACACGCGACGAAAAATTATTTTACTCGAAATGTCCAGAAATGTACAATGTCCAGAAATAGCAATTCACCTCGTATAAAAGAAATTCTTCAATTCCCAACTGGTATGCTATGATAATTATGATACAGGACAACGAGCTGCTTGTCTGACCTTTTATACTTGCTGATACATTGTTGCAGCTGCGGCACCCGATCTACCAGTATCGTACGCATTCTCTGGGCTAGGAGGAGGTACAGTATGTGTGTGTGTGTGTGTGTGTGTGTGTGTGTGTGTGTGTGTGTGTGTGTGTGTGTGTGTGTGTGTGTGTGTGTGTGTGTGTGTGTGTGTGTGTGTGTGTGCGGGTGTGTGTGTGCATGTGCGTGTGTGTGTGTGTGTGTGTGTGTGTGTGTGTGTGTGTGTGTGTGTGTGTGAAGTACATGCATGCACCGTATGATTAAAATGTTACTGACTACAATGTAGAATACATAGTATATGAACAGTGTGCTGTTTAGTTCTGCTAAGTGATAGAATAGGGATTTCAGCACAAGTACAAGTCCAGTAGGGTCAGTGTGCAAGAATGTATGTGATCATCTTGAACCCAGCCGCATACATGTAGCTGTTAGCTGCCGATTGATTTCCGGTACCCTGATGCTGTCTTCCTGTGTACTGTTCTGAGGATGAGCACGTTCAGCGGGGTTTACGTTTTGTCTTCACACTGGACAAATGCTTCTGGTCCAACACCCCCATGGATCTGTGCAGACTCTTAGCATACCCCCCCACCCCACATATGAACATACATGTATGAATCTACAGTTAAACCTGTATCTAAAGACCACTGTGACTAGCGACCAGCCTGGTACTTCGAAGTACTACAGGCCACTTCGCCAGGCACGGACGGGCTCACATTCGTATATAGTTGTGCGGTGCAAACCTTTCACTAAGGACCACCTGCCACTAAAGACCGCTTTCTCTGGCCCCAAGGGAGGGGTGGTCGTTAGTCACAGGTTTTACTGTAGTTGTATGTGCTGCACACGTTGCAGATCCATCACATGGACCACTGCTTACCCCGCACACTGCCGCGCATAGACGGGTATCCTCACCCAGCATTCTCGATGAAGGTAAGGGAGAAGTCCATATCCGATCATCTGTGTCTTGATGAACATTGAGTAGAAGCAATACCAACTTTATACGTATTTTATCATGCCATATATACATGTACCCTGGTGCCGAACACAATGCTGGTAATAACAGTTACATGTACCGCATCAACTACACTACTGGTCCATGATCTAGTTGTATTTCACTGCTGCAAGTCTGTGACTACAACACACTGACAACAACAGCACACCTATTCAGTGCAGGTGTTTGCTGTCACGTGCCAAGTTTGATACATCCTGCTGTGACGTTTGCACATAATTATACAACCAGGAGCACTGAGCTGGTGATCAACTTGCTGTCAGCATGTGTAGAAAAGTTGTTTTAACGTGCTGGAAACTGAGAAACCTTTGAGATCTGGAAACTTTCGCGATTTTCGTGATGGGTGTGACATTGCATAAATCAGGCGATGCAAATACATGTAGTGGAACTGTAGGGAGTGTAGTAAAAAGTAAAAAACCCCAAAAAAACATGAAATTTACTCTACTCGCAAACATTTCCAGGTGCAAGTTGGTCTGTATTCGCAAATCGCAAACTAAAGCGGAGCAAACGCTTCCTGGTTTACAGCAGGGAGTAGTAAAACAACTACTCCTTGGTTTACAGTAAGCAAGATGCCCGGTATACAACCTCTATGACCTTTCAATCGCAACAGCTACTTCAGCTCGCGAGAAAAGTCACATAATGGTTTGCATGCGTTTGCTCCCCACACTGGAGCTCGCGCTTTTCCGCCGACTTGACTTGACACTTGGCTGGCTCACGAATGCCGTCCAGAGCACACGAGAAGTACCTCGAACCTTCGACTCGGCACGCCTGGCAGGCTGCAAGAAAGCACCACTCCCTGCTCAATACACAGTGTTTCGGGGAATTCACCCCCCATCAGTTGAGGTTGGGTAGGCTGAAGAAGACTGTGCCTGAAGAGCACCACTTATGTAGTGCTCTCCACATCACCAGGGATACAAATTTACAGGCATGCTCCGTTTCCAGCGGAACAAACACTCGTTAACACCAGATGGCAGAGTGAATCGGCGTCAGAACACTTTCCCGTGAAATTATTGTCGAAGTCGCTACCATTATAATTATATTTATTCCGTACTTTTCGGAATACTTGAGGAATGCATAATTATGAATATGACAATAAATGAATACTTGTATTATGTTGTGCAATTAACGTGATCTCCTTGACAGGTAACAAACGAATGCACATGGCAGGTGCCCGTTTCCAGCCGGATAGCCACTCAGCCAAGAGCTCTCCCAACGTACCGCCGCGCAAGCTAAAGCCAGGTACGTCTTCAATATCTACAGCCTTTGTGATACAATGTACAGGTTGCAGCAGCTGTTTAGCCTAGATGGCGTCGCTGTGGTAGAGATCCCAAATACATGCTGGCATACTAGTAAGCACTGAAAGTCGTCGAGGCGAGATAGCAGAGAGGTTCCGGGGTACTGGTATTTCCCGTACAAAAATCCGTACAGGCGCTACAGATTTTTCAAGGCGTGCTTCATACAATTTGTCGGCATGGAGAGTTCGTGTGGACTGGCTTTTATTCGCGTCTTTTAATTTTACGCCATGATGCAATCTTTCACGACTGCTGTCATGTACACTGTTTGCTTTGTGGGTATATAGACCAGTATCCAGATTTACACATTACTATTTTCTGATGATCGCTTATTAGTGCTTGAAACTCGGAGTAAAACCACTTTTTTCATCCTCTTATTATTGTTTGGACTGGCTTTGGACTGGCTTTCATACGGACCATGTTTCGTAAGGAGATTATGCGTCAGCGAGTGCAGAAGGAATTTTCGCGCACCATTTTGATAATGAGAAACATCGTAGCCTGGGCAATGACGGCAAACACTTAATTTTCGTACTCCGGAAACGCTCACTACTGGAAATGAAAACGACGTATGAAAATCTGTAGCGCCTCTACGGATTTTGGCACGGAAAATTGTACTCCAGAACCTCTCTAATATTGGCTGGCATGCTTTTGCTATCGTTCTGTCACGCAGGCGGCGATCCGTCAAACTTGGCACCTCCGCGAATGCCGAAGAGCAAGTCTACCCAGGCACTCGGGAAACGTATGTACTTCATGTGCATTCATCACTGTATATTCATGTGTATTCATCACGTGATGTGTACACGGCCTTACAGCATTGCTTCAGACCGGTGGAGAAAGCAGAGGAGGAAAAGACGGTGAACATTGATGCAATCACATTGTTCAAGCATGCATACACGAGCTCATACAGCAGTGCCTGTTCAGGAGTATAATGCGTATTATCATTGTGGGGTCGTTTTCTTCCAAAGATCTGGATCATCCATTAAAGGTAGAGAAATAAAGTGTAGTACATTTCGTGTGCGGAGTGGAGTGTATCTTGTGATCCGCAACACCCAAGATGAAGGAACACTTGATACTTCATTATGTCCGCAGTACGGTGTAGAGTGTACCACAGACGTGTTGGGCTTAAACATAGCCGTGTTCAACTATACCCGGGCAAACGCGATACATGTTGTATTCTTCAGCCTGCTCGTGTTTGCTAACTGAGTAGGGACTATACACAGGTCATTGTAGCCTGCTCATTTCTGTCTATGCCAAAGACAGGTGGGATACACCATAGTACAATGAGCGTGGACACAGATTGTTATTACGCTCTCCCTGACCATGTCCATGGTGCACTGTTTCTCGTTTCCGCGTACAACAGAGATGGGACTGGATGAAGTGTTACAACAGCAGCATGCGCACCCACACCACCGCGGGCACCGGCAAAGTTCTGGCGATGCAGATGGTAAGTAACGTACATGTACAGGTAGTTGGAGAGAGAGCAAGAGAGAGAGAGAGAGAGAGAGAGAGAGAGAGAGAGAGAGAGAGAGAGAGAGAAAGAGAGAGAGCATATGTGTATGTGTGAGTGTGCCAATGCAACTCACAACAAACACACTGATCAATAGTGGTACTAGGTATGCTAGTAGTGTATGTAATAAGTATCAGGATGTGCAGGTGAAATTCCAGCCATATGAGAACAGTACTGGTGATGACGGTCAAGTTGTTGTTCAGACTTTTCTCTCTTTGATGAACTCCCTCGCTAACTAATGAATATGGGAACAATCCAAATCTGCTGCTGCGCAAGTGGGGGACTCACACACGTGTGATGTGGAGCGAAGGCCGGAGATCGTATTATTACAGCCATCGGCACTGATATGCATGTACGTGTATCTCTGCTGCTTTGCGTTGCTGTTGTGTTTGTGTTCATAGACCGAGGACGCAAAGCACGCAGTCAGGAGGCAATCTATGATATGGCTGCATAGCGCGGCCCTCAGAGCACCCTCGCATCGGGAAACAGTCAAAGAGTCTACGACAGACAGCAGCAACTAAAAGTTGCTAGCTGCGCGACACTACTGGGCTGTCAAACGAGACACAGTGCAGCAGTTCTTTGATGATGGACCACTTTCCAATCAGCTTTCATCGAAATGGTAGCCAAATGAAAGAGGTGCTTGGACCTCTAAGGCGTGCCACACACACCCTGTGTACATTTTAATACCCAAGAAGAGACCATCCTTCCAACTTGAGTTCCAGCAAACATCATTGTACATAAGTATCTATCTATAGAGTCCCCGACCTCTGACTTGAGCAGAAGGAACATAGATACACATTGCTTTTGTTGCTTCTAGAGTCTAGACACAACACAAAGGCAACTTTTCAGGCCATCTTGCAACACAAGATCTTACATTGTGTAATATGGTTTCATCTCTTGTACTGTCAATTAAATAATAATTATGTCACCTGAAAGTAATTGCAGCAACAAATGAAATAAATATATGCCGGCAGAGGATCAAGTCGAGATGGCACGGGGATGGGGAGCTGGGTGTGTGTGAGGGTTAGCATATGAGAAACGAATAGCTATGACTATGAGTCATCCTACTTTGAATAAGCCACTCAGCTTAGCTCAAACCAGGCAGCAATAAATTACACGAATAAGAAAGTAGATGCTAAAAGTCTGATAAAATTTGAAGGCCTATGAGCAATGGAAGCAGCAGGATAGCAGCAGACATAGGACACACGGTTTGCCGTGTTTGGCCTATGTGGATTGAAGTTTCTCCCAGGCAATTTTCCGCACAGGAAGCCCACCATCTAACTTTAGTTAGCCTGCTGCACAGTCAGTCGCCATTGATGAAAATGACATTGTTAAAGGGCTAGAGATTCTCGAGGGTTATGACGTCTTCTTTTCGGCCGCTGCCGGCTTGCCGGAGCCATTGCGCTTTGCCATGCCTTCGATGAACAGGCCAGAGAAGACAAGCGCTACGCCAAACCATTGGTGTGATACCAAGCGATTGCCAAACAGAATCACACTGAACACGATCGTGAAGAACTTACGTGTCGTCGTCACCAGGGAACACACCAGGGAGCCAAACGTTGTGACGGTCATGAAGATGAAATTCTGACAAGCGGAGAAAACGAAAAGAAAAGAAAGAATGTTAAGGCCAACCTTTCTTTTTTCGTTGTTTAACGTCCGCGCCCGCGTACCTTTTTGCCTCCGACCGGAAAAAAAAACAAGAAAGTAGTAGTACCAATAATATGCGAAGTTGTAAATACATGATTGTGTAGTTTCACAGTGTGCCGATCATGACCTTAAAGGGGAAGTTAAGGCAAAAATTAAAATTTCACCAGTTGTAGTCTTCGGGGTGCTGAGTCGAATGGTCGTGGTCCGAGGAAGCTGAGACGCTCCCTTCCTACTTGAATCCCAATCGAACTCGCGCACTTCCACCGAAACTGGGTGACTGCGCCCTACTAGATGGGGATTTGTATGCAAAATGTCACTAAAAGCGCCATTTCGTTCTTATAAAAGCACGGATGACCGCGATTGGCCCATATGTTGTACTCTTTTGGACGCTGAGTCGACTGGTTTTGGTCCGAAAAGGCTGCGATGCAGCGTTCCTCCTTTATTCCCAATCGAACATGGTTGAACAAGCGGTCACGTGCTCCTGGGTGCCCAAATCACCTGGTCACCACGCCAGCAGGCGACAACTTTCACACCAAGGTTCAACTCGAGTTCAACTCGAGTGACAGGACTGCACCCAAAAAAGGTCAAACAGGCTAGTAAGTTGTACCCTGCAGGCACGGTGACCAGGTGACTGGTGTACGCAGGAGCACGTGACCGCTTGTTCAACCATGTTCGATTGGGAATAAAGGAGGAACGCTGCATCGCAGCCTTTTCGGACCAAAACCAATCGACTCAGCGTCCAAAAGACTACAACATATGGGCCAATCGCGGTCATCCATGCTTTTATAAGAACGAAATGGCGCTTTTAGTGACATTTTGCATACAAATCCCCATCTAGTAGGGCGCAGTCACCCAGTTTCGGTGGAAGTGCGCGAGTTCGATTGGGATTCAAGTAGGAAGGGAGCGTCTCAGCTTCCTCAGACCACGACCATTCGACTCAGCACCCCGAAGACTACAACTGGTGAAATTTTAATTTTTGCCTTAACTTCCCCTTTAAACTTATAATCTTGCCTCCCGGGCATGCCTTTGTCTTGTGTTCTTTTTCTTTTTTTGTTGGCTTTTAAATATCGTACGGTGTGTGTCCTAGTAAAAATCCAGATGTAATGAATTCATGACATGCTAACTCCATGCTATGTACCGGTTTTGTTGGAATCATCAGGCATGTGCTCCAATGTACCATCAAAGAGTGTTGTTCTATGCCTGCAAGTGCCGTTAGACCCAGAAATATTGTATATATCACATGCTTTACTGGTCAAAATGTTTGATTGGGGTTTCCAGTTTTTTGGAATGGGCTTTTTTTTTTTTCGCCTCCCGCGTACCTTTTCGCGAAAAAAAGGACGTTAAACAATGAATTAAATTAACAAAGGGTGGCCTAAAGGTGAACATAGATCTCCTGCGAGTCTTGTGCTTCGCAAGACTGAAGCTGGTGGCAACACACCGTAAAGTCTTGTATAAAAGCCACGGCTTCTATGACTTTCTTGGTGAAATTTTGCAGGCTTCTATATGAGACAGGCTTCTATACAAGACAGGTATTTCTATGTATGTCAACACTAAAACCAGGCTTATGTGTGATTTGATGGGCCCAAAATTGCGGCTTCTATTCGAGGGCGGCTTCTATTCAAGTGCGGCTTTTATACAAGACTTTACGGTACACATGGGACACCCTACATGGGGCACCATACTGTGTATGATACATCATCACGTGCAGGATTTTTTTAAACACCGTTGCCAGTACTTTGGAGGGAGAGCACGACCCAATGTACTCGTGCGCATGCCCAGAATGCCAGACATTCACATGTGTCAACACTGAGTCAATATCTTACCTGGCCCAATGAGCTCAGTACACAGAATGCCAGGACGTCCTTAATGACGGCCGGGTTACGCGAAACGAAAGCCATGAACTTGGGCACCTCTCCCAAATAGACCATGCCTGCAGGAAAGACACCACACAGTGGCTTGGCTATGATCATGTGCTCGGTGTGCGTGTGTGTGTGTGCTCGGTGTGTGTGTGTGTGTGTGTGCTCGGTGTGTGTGTGTGTGTGTGTGTGTGTGTGTGTGTGTGTGTGTGTGTGTGTGTGTGTGTGTGTGTGTGTGTGTGTGTGTGTGTGTAATACAGCTGCTCTATCATGTTTCCATACTCAAATTTGAACATGGCCAAACACCCAACTGTTGCAAAGTGGCTGGAACAGGGTACTATATGCTGCAGTGCTGGGAAAGGAGACGAGACTCCACCAGAATGACAGACTGCGGAGCCACGGGAAGAACTTGAAGTTTCCCCTTCAAGCCAATCGAATCTGGATATTTGAGCTGCCAATTTAGAGCATTATAAGTTATAACCTGAACATGTGTAGAAAGTCGAGCTACCGAGGTAGAAGTACAGAGAGAGACAGAGAGAGAGAGAGAGAGAGAGAGAGAGAGAGAGAGAGAGAGAGAGAGAGACAGAGAGAGAGATCTAAACAGCCAATAGGCAAAACAACAAAGCAATGACAGCACATACCAGAACCTAAATAGATGAGGGAGTACATATTGAGATTCAGCATGAGCGTGTGAGAACTGACGCCAAAAGCATTAGTTTTCTCTTGAAGCGCACCAGTCAGACCATCGAAAAGGAGCGAAGCAGCCTGCAAAAAAACAAGAGACATAAAATTACATTGCATGAATAAAGTACACAAATGTAGGTTCAGCTCATTTTATTGATTGCGGTTATCAAAATTTTGTCTCCTCGCCGTTTGTATAAAAACAAAACTATGACAATGTGCAAACACAGCGTAACCGTAAAAAGATGAGGCCTTTATGGCCGAGACAGCTTGCTGTCTACAGTATTGTGTACACCAGTAGTCAAATTCTAGCACACCAGTGCAGACCCATTGCAGCAAGAATGTTCACCACACAGCATGCAGTTATTATACTTAATTTATAGTACTTACAAGCAACATGTTACCCATCAACTCATTTCCTTCAACCTTGGCGGCCGACGGCTTGTCCTGCAGAAGAAGATGATGAGTAGGGCAGTAGCCATTAGTATACACAATTACAACACCATCGCAATGCACAAATGGTCTAGTCTGATTACACTCATGTAACGCATCCCCACTACAATCACTCAAGTGCGACAAGGAGAAGGAAGGCCTTTCAGTTTAGCAGCCGTGACTCTCTGAATCACAGCATTGGCAAGACATCCAAGCGCCGGCATACTTCAAGCATGTCTTTCACCACACTACGAGTAGGGGTGAACTTGGAAACCCAGTTAAACCACGCTACACAGTACATCAGAGAATAGAAAATAGCAATGCTGTGAATATCGTCATTCCAGTGTAGTTCCTGCAGCAGACTAAACAGCCAGTACCTTGGGATAGAGGAAGATGGCAGCCCCGCTGACAATGAGGGCCACGCACAGGTATCTGAAGAGAGGGTAGCGCTTTCCAGCAATGAGAATACCCAGGAGAAGAACTGCACGCACAGAAACACAAATAGACATATCGCATATTAAAAAATACTGTAAGTGGAATGTTTGCAACAAAAATCAAAAAAGCTTCCGGGGTTTGCGATGTGGCACCCCTGGCATAAATCGCAAGCATGCATGTGACACAAACATTACCCAGTCTCCAGTACCGAAGTCGGACCAATCGTGTGTGTGTGCGTAACAGTACTAACTTGGTCGGACAAGACAAGCATACGCGCACAAGAAGGTATGACCACATCTTCCACACAAAGGGACTACACCCCATCTACAACCCCACATTGACTTGCAGAATTGAAAAGCTACCTAGCCGAACACACTGCATTGCTATTCTAAACATAGACAGCTTGAACAAACTTTACCTGCAACAGGCTTGCAAGACTTGACCAGCACCTACACAAGAAGACACACACAGAAATGAACATTTCAGGAGAGTGCAATGTTACATGCCATTGTAACACAAAGTGGAGCTCATGGTTACTTTACATGGACGCCGCATATCTCCAATACAGGACAAATACACTTGCCTATCCGTACGCAGTCATCCACAATGGCACTCGACGTGGGTGATACTATAGCCAAATTTTACATCACATATCATGACAGTGCAAGAGTGTGACTCCAGGACACCCGGGAATTGTGTTGGCACCTGGGTGATTTTCAGGCTCGAGTGCAGCACAGATTCTAGCGGTCTCTATTTCGTAGTGTCACAAGTGCATACTGGGTCTTTGCACCACTGCAGATGGCAACACTATCCCTATTCCAAGTATATTGATTCAACCCTATTAAATTTTGTTGTAGGAGCATGTGTGCTTGGAAGCTTGCTCTTTTGGAGAGTGGCATCCATTCCTATCATGGCAAAACAGTGTGTAAGTGATCGGAGATGTATCGCATTGCGGGGATAAGAGACTCGCGGTCCGCAAGGCATAGCCTCTCATACCTGAGTAGGGTAAGAGACGAATCTTAGAGACATATTGCTGCACATCATGGCGGCCACGTAAGTGAACGCAGCCATGGCGAAAAGATACCAGGGTACATTCTTAGTGGGCTTCTTGTTAAGGGCTAATGCTACAAACACGGCAACAACAAAAGAAAGGCATAGAACAATGAAGATCAGCATCGATAATAGTAAAAAGCCCATCCGTACAGCCATCCGTATAGCTACCACCACTATCGACCACTACTCAGTCACATTGTCAGCAGCCCAGCGTGTACAGCTCGTCACTACTCCGTCACATTGTCAGCAGCCCAGCGTGTACAGCTCACCACTACTCCGTCACATTGTCAGCAGCCCAGCGTGTACAGCTCACCACTACTCCGTCACATTGTCAGCAGCCCAGCGTGTACAGCTCGTCACTACTCCGTCACATTGTCAGCAGCCCAGCGTGTACAGCTCGTCACTACTCCGTCACATTGTCAGCAGCCCAGCGTGTACAGCTCGTCACTGCCTAAGGCCCAGTCACTTAGAAATGCCATGCTGGCTCTGTCACAACACGGAACTGTCTTGCACTATACCGGCGCATGTGCATGTAGTACACAACCTGGTGTATGATATCTAGTATCCATGAGTATAAACACAGCTATGTGTCAGTCAGCATTAAAAAAAAATTGAACTATCCAAAATATTAATGAAATCAGTCTACCAAAAGTGAAAGTCAGGAAGAACAAAACTCTGCAGATGAAACTGTCCTACCTCAAAATACTAGCAAGAGTACATAGCCAGATTGCGCAACTTCACAATACGGGTTCAGGACAGCGTAAAGATGCGGTAAAACTGATGTCCCACGTCGTACATGACTGTATTGGTGTAGCGCAACACTATAGGCTGTAGTTGCGGCCGCGCCTCTGATAAATCAAAAAAACAACGTTACGTCGTAAACAATGAATTCCGCTCTCCCTATTGCCAAGCCGATACCGAGTTGCACACTCTGGTTCATGTACTCTTAATACTACTTGTAAGTACTTCGAGTAGTACTGCTAGTAAGACAAAGGGTAGATCACAATAGACCTGTGACATACCTCCAGCAGCAAACAACGAATTCGTCACACACTGTACAAACACCAGTGTGGCAGTGTATGTGAACTTCTCGCCGTCTTCATACTTCCCTTTCGTTCTGTGTCCACAAAACACGAGAGTAGAAGAACCAAATCAGATTCATTATCACTCAGGACAACAACATTCGGAATCTACAACAGGTAGAGACAACTAGTAGTGTACTAGTACACAGTCGTCGCCAAAAAATCCGGCCAATGCTGTGCTAGCTACCGGTAGATGTATGTGGCCGCATGCACTGCCACTTCTAGTGCTAGTACTCTACCATGGTCTGCTGCTGCAGGGTCTGCACTCTGCACATTCTGTGCTGTGCTCGACTCAGCAGGCAGAGAGCAGCGCGGACTGTTTTCACCGCTGTGCTCGTGCATGGTGCTGGTACCGAGTCTGTGGACCAGTGTGCACCCTCTACTGACGCATGCATGCTACACTACAGGCACCATGCCAATTACATCTGGTACATGTATCCACGCCATGGCATTGGCCGGATTTTTTTGGAGACGACTGTAGTTGCCATGCAGTGCAATGCATAGGACTCACAGAGACTATCTATAGAAGGTAAACCATCACGTGACAGAATATAGCAGACAAAAGGGTCAACATTATTGGTATGATCCTTTCGTTCGGTAATCATGATGATACACAGCAATTTCATCAGAAAGTATTTTCCAAAAAATTGGTCATCAGTTCTACAGGTATACAGACTTCAACGCACTTGTGAACCAGATGCATGCAAAACTAAAATTGCTTCTCTAACCAGATACCACACTTTCCTACACAGCGTACGAAACTCCGGCAAGAGTCACATGAAAACAATACAGAAACAGGGTCTTACACTCGTTCTTGGTATACACCATAGAAAAGGTAGCAGACGAAGACGCCCGTACAGCACACGCACAGCTTCAAAATATCGTTCATGGCTACACAGCAGAAACTGGGTGCTAAAATGATATAAGGAACCAAGGCAGGGAGAAAATAGAACGCGAAACTCCACTACAGGCACGACTTCTCTCACAACGACATCCAAATGAAACCAAACCATTGAAAAAGCGAAGTCCACGTCAACCTTCAACTTTTTCAAGATTTGAATGCATGTGGCGTGTGGTCACCGTGTTTTTTCCTGTGTGGTATGTGGCCCTATCGAGTATCGTGGGTGTAGTGGTGGTGTACTCGTACCGGCCGGTGGCACTGGCCTGGCGCTGCACTGGCCTGGTTGCATGATTTTCCTGAAAAATCTGACGCCATTTCCCGTTTCCATGACACAAAACAAGATTCACTGTAGATCCAGGGAATCGTAAAAACCTGGCTCAAAACAAAACGGGCAGGTCGCGGCAGGACATCCTCCTCTACAACCAGGCTACATACTGTAACATAGCGGTACGACTTCTGAATAGCTCGCCTGCACTGAGCCGGGGGGGGGGGGGGGGGGGGGCTGCAGCTTTCCGACTTCAGAATCACCGTTACAGTTTATACGAACATTACCAGGATAATGCGCGGGGATCGGGAGCATGCCATGAGGCAGGTCAATCCGGTGATACTTATTTTATGGTGTATGCATAACATTACATGCTTTCATTTTGGTCTTCATCAGAGAGTTGTACCCATGCGTGCGGGGAATTGGCAGAACTTCCTAATCTTCATCCGAATCAGAACAGGATAAACGGGGTCTTCCATTCAACCAGCAAGACCGCCGTGTTCATGAGCCACACTGCGGCATAATATTAGCAATGCCCGTTTGGTTTGCGATGTAAAATAAAACTTCAAACAAACAAAAAAACAGAACGACTCTAGTGGTCCTCATAACTCTTCACTTGCCCGTGACCGCACAACATCTCGGCCCTGGCTTGGTCTAGGTCGACACAACATGCATCCTCAACAGGACCGTCCTTCTCGGAATGGCTACCCCGACTGGCCAACAGGGCACCGGCACAAGTTGCGTGATACAGTGGTGCTAGTAGCAGAAAGAGTACCTGCTAATGATTCGGTGGTTAAAAGATAATCATATACTAGAAGAACACAACCACAAAGGCCACGAGGCTTGCGCATCTGGGTCGGATCAGACCAAGACTACTGAAGTACTAATGAAGAATATTCACTTCTACAAGTGAAATGTATCATTTAAAATAATAATTGACAAAATCCTGTACAAGCAACTAATTACTTGAATTAGTACACAAATCAAAACAAACTACTGTGAGCTGATAATATTCACATAATCATGGGTAGAATGCTGCACAAGGAATAGAACACACAGGGTCTCTAACTACACCCCTCTGCCAAGCAATGATAAATAGAAGCGCTCTATGTACATAGCTGATCAGGCGGCGGCCGCAGCCCGGCCCGTCCGGAGTTTCGCCTACGCCTGCGGTGCCTCGTCGACGAGTTTCTGCAGAGTCCGGTTGACCTGTGCACTGGTCATGTCCGTCAGCTCAGCATGTGTCTCCTCTCCCCGTGCTGAGCCAGCCATGCAATCACAAAACAACACCAACACACAGTCAGCTTTGTTTTAACTCAAGTGATATGGCCGTCACTCTTTAACCCAGCACCGCCTTTATAAACCAGCACCATTTTCAGTAGCCAAAATGTCCTCTTCATGCACATTGCAGCAGTAAATCAGATTTGTTTTAATCCAGCATAATTTCCGGAGCACGAATGGTGCCGGATTATACAGGGACCACTGTACTACAAGAACATTATTTTAAAGTTTCACATCAACATGTCATCAACCACTAGGGACTATGGGCAACTATACTACTGTGTTGCACATGCACGCGGAGCTATGCATGCACTGCACTGTCCAAGTACTGGGCCTGTTCTTCCACCCCAGCACTGCTTTGTCCCGGCTTTGTGAACTCACCAGCGCAGCACAGAGAGATGAGGCCGAACCCGGGTGGCAGTGAGAACGTATTGAGCCAGCGTTTTGCCGGTCATATACCGTACTGGCAATATATGTTGCCGCAGTGAGGCCATGAAGCGTTACATTGGCACATGTTTGCCGCACGCAGGGCGTTACATGCAAAGTCGCACAGGAGCCGTTACACAGGTTTCTATATTGCCGCAGTCCTTTTTTTGCTATTGCCGCATCACTTTTTTGCTATTGCCGCATCATTTTTTTGCTTTTGCCGCATCATTTTTTCTTTTCATCCATATTGAAGGCACAGAAATTCAGTTGCTATCCAACTGTTACAAACCCGACGGCAAAGGGCGACAACGATATCAATAGAAGACTGTATATTTTAACTATCAGAGTGATCTGTTCACAAAAAGATCATCAAAAGGAAAGTGACATAGGGGAAGAGCGCTTCTCCTTTCTCTCCTCATCCTTTCCTTTTTCACTTTCCTTGGGCGTGATTTTCTTCACGCCGAAGGCGAGACTTCTGCATTAGAGAGGTTCTGCACAACGGAAGTTCGAACGAAGTTTCGCGACAGGCCTTGCGAAAGTGTGTACGAATTTTCGCACGAACTTTGTGTTCTGCACATTTTCGTAGTTTGCACGCGCCAAGTGCACGTACGACATGACCCAATCTCACGAAACTTCCTACGAAAGTTCATTTCGCGTTCCCTGCAAGTTTCGCGTCCAAAGTTGCGAAAGTTCGTGCGAAGTTTCTCACTTCGTGACGTAGAGCGAAAGTTCGTACACATTTTCGTTTTGCAGAACCTCTCTATTGTCACAAGGAAACTGGTAAACACATCGCTCTTCTTCGCAAAACGACCTCGGGAAAGAAGAAACCATTGAGATCGCCAACCACTGAATGATGCGCCTTCGAGTGTCAGGACTTCCTGCTGCGTCCAGTTTTGAACTTTTCACCAGGGAGTAGTACAATACCGTGTACTACTCCCTGCTTTTCACCACGCGGTACACGTGCTTTCACAGTTTTCACTTTTCAGCCTTTTTTTGCAGTGCAAACTGCAATGAAAAGATCGCCGCACCCCGCCGGACGCGCGTTACCACGCGGTTACGAACTCAACGAAAATTTGTCGCACTAGCCTGGTCGCGCGTTACGCCGCACCCCCCTGCGTTACGCGTTACGCGGCAACATATATTGCCAGTACGGTAGTCCCCCCCCCCCCCCCCCCCCCCCCCCCCCCTACTCGGCTTTGGCGACCCTATGTGTGCCCATACATGCGATAGCTGTTCAGAATGGTACAATATAGGGCTGAGTCGGTAGCATTTTCTTCGGGTATCGGGTAGTTTTCCACGGGTAGCACGGGTACCCGATCGGGTAATGTTTCCATGGTTACACCACAATGCACCCCTTCCCTTATACACTGCGGAGTATTACATTATTTGTACACGTGCACTGTACATGATGTTATCTGCTACTTCGGGTTTTTTGGTACTATTCTGTACCCGTCTACCCGAGCTCCTCGCGGGTAGCACGGGTACCCGGCAACCCGTGCACATCACTAGTACAATATTTATTGCCGAAGCTAGCTCACGAATTTCTGTATCAGGACGTGTAAATGAAAACAGTACTGCCGCCTCACAAACTGCTCAAAAGCGGCAACCTTTGTCTACATGCTGCACTGGCATTGATTCCCATGTAACCATTCTGGACTCTTACCAAATCGTGTGTAGAGCTTTGGCTGTATTCCGCTGCACTCCCGGATCAAGATCGGAAAGCTTGGGTTGGCCTTCTTCATAGCCACATAGTTCTCCTCGATGAATTGCCTGCGCACAGCAACACGGAGTGTAGTGCACACACTGGCATTGCAGTTGCGCTCGGTGAAATCCGACCCAAAGTGCAGCACCGGCGCCCTGGACCCGTTCCCAGTACAGTACACTGTATCTATACAATGTGTACGTCCAGCAGCATTCCGAATTCCTACCAGCACCAGGGTGTAAAGGGCCGTGCAAGTTCAGGATGCCAAGTACGCACTTTTGTGTCGGATTTATCTAGCACAGTGCAGTGCACGGCCAGTGGCATACAAACTTTTCACTGAGTGCTGAACATTGAAATTTGAAACAAATAGTCAAATATGCATTGTGTAGTAGCTGCTTCACAAAGGCACTGCGGCCTGCTAGACACTAGAGTGTTTGATGCCTGTTATGGGCAGAGCGCAGTACACGAGCTGCTCAGTCAAGGAAAGGAATCTGTTTCTGAATTTGTTATGGCTGGTTTGGTGAGCGAGGTGGGCCGACGATCACATGCAATCACTGCAGTTTGACTTTCTAAACATATACTAGCTACTACGGTATGCTATAACCCGCTGCTTCTTTTCAACACTGCATTCTCCAAGCTTGATGTCAGTTTGTTCATAATGTGATACTTGGATCCTACCTCACACCATTGCTACTGCTCGCTGTCTGACACAGGTGAATTCGGATCTCCCTCAGATTTCTCGCCAGGCCCTTCTTCAGCACATTAGCCATGTCTTCTCCAAACCACAGCGGCTGTACGAGCGTCGCTTCAACAGATATTCAACCAAGAACAATTATTTGAATACTTTCAGTGGATTGCCAAACGTAAACACGAAAAATGACAGTATTTTGCTGGATACTAGTAGCGATATCAGACGAAAAATCTAACTTGAAACCAGAGGAATGAGTGATATACCAATCGAATCAGTATCCAAAACGCTCCGTACTGGTCAAATTTTAGGTGAATCCAAGCTATGGAAGCGGTATTTATACGCCCTCGAAGTAGGATGACAGGCACCCGCCATTTAGACTGTGAGCCAAGTGCATGAATTCATGATTTTCGTTCCCACTTTGGGTGTACCGCGATTTTGTTCTTTTAGCATGTGGAGAGACCTAATAGAAGATCATTTTTGATTGTTGTCAGTTTGGGAAGCTTGCAGGGAAGTCAAAATAAGCAATTATCTTAACATACTCCGTTTCCATAGCAACTACATAGCAACTGACATAGCAACATGCTATTTTGAAGGTGTTTCTTACTTTTTTCAGCAGGCAACGGCACTGGACGAAGAAATGTATATCAAGCGTCATTGCAGCTGGGTTAAAATAACTATACGAGGCCAAAAATTATAGAATTGCGCATAAGTGCATTGTATAAAGTACGGGCACATTTTAAATATTACTCGAAGTGACGATGCACTGGTAGGTAAGTGCACATGAAATGGTGCCGACAACCACGAAATGCACTTCAGGAATGATAATGTACAGAACAAACAGGTGGCATTCAATATACAAAGCCCAGCAGCAGCGAATTCTCCAGACAACGGTTGGAAAAGACCATCAACAACAGCCAGGAGAATCTGGTTTAATCCGGTGCAATGCTCATTTCACCCTCTACATCTCTATAATATATACATGTACAGTATGGCAGAATAATGTTAATTAAAGAAGTTGCTGGATACAGGATTTGTATATTTGCACTCATATAACTGATCAATGTAACGTTACTTCGTAAGTACTGCTGTATTGCTTCCAAACTTATAAGTGCAAAGGGTAGAGCAATGACCGTAACCAGTAACGTTAGAGGACCGCAGGGGTATACCGGTAGATACAGATCTGTAGTTTATTTGAACTATAATAATAATTATTTTGAAACATTAGTTACATTACCCATTGTATGTACAGAACACAAGCGGAAAGATACAATTAATCATAGTCTGAAGCACTTCAGTATAAAAGGTCGAAACAGTTATTAGCTCTCCGGAGATAAGGTACATTGTACGTTCTACATGTATTTCTGCTCCAACAGATTACAAAAACCTTTAGTTTAGCTTGACTGATCAGCAGCAAGCATGCTAGCACACTGATATGATTGACATGATGATGTTCGTACTGCCACTGCACTGCGCTGCACTAGCACTGCACACAATACTATAGAAACCACGAAAAAACATCGTCATGATGCGGCTGGGTTTGCACCACCGTACATTTTTGCGAGGTCAGTGGTGCAACAGAAGTCCGCTCCAGCTCTTGTGACCTTGGTTCTTGTCGATGGCGGCTATTGATTTGGCAAAAGTAGTTTCTCCCTTCTATTTGGGCATGTTCGTGCCTGATTTGGAAGTGACAACAAGCTGAATTCGTATCTAGTCGAGTAGATGAAACGAACTGGGGAAAAAAATTGCGGTACGCTCAAGGTCGGAACGAAAAAAAATTCTAACAGGATTTTTGGTGCCTGGCTCACAGTCTAATTGTCGTGCTGAGGGATGCACCACTGCATACAAACAGCAAGAATCGATGGCACAAAAGCCGTCAACTTGCCCAGTGCGTCATGAGCGGTTGCCATGGGGAACAAAGTGCAGTGCTGAGGGAAAGTGCAAAAATTACGACGAATCCGTACTCCAAGCAACAAAATTAATTAGTTCGTCTCGCCATGGACGGCAAAGGACAACACCTTGTCGGAATCAAGCATTTTTGTTTCTCTATCGCAAAGCTACTAATGTAGTATCGAACAACTACGCCAGTGAGAATCCAGGAACATTGGGACGTGTTTTGTACAGTTATTTTCATCTTTCACCTTGCTCTGTTCCAAGACCAGTCCATTCGATATCGTGTCGATTTGGTTTACCTCGAGCTGCTTAGCCAGAGATGATCCAACGCACAAATCACGTTGTTCCTCTGGGCCTCTCATCAGAACTGAAACCACTACTTGAACACGCACGTAGACCACTCATATGTACCCTGTTCACATAGGTGCGCAGAAAAAGATCAAAAAACTATGGTGCGCAAGCAAGCACGGCGACCAAACTTTGCAAGAAACTAAATTCAAGGACGCGGAAGACGATGGTGAGCGAATCCAAGGCGTGCACCGATGCGCAGGGACCGAAAAAGCCAAACGAAAATAACCTACTTTGGCTCAACGGCAGCTTCGCGAAAACACAACGCAGATTGCTAGTTCAAACTCTGAACAGGGGCTTTCTCTTTGCTCTTCGCCTTCTTCCTCTCCAAACATTTCAAAAACAAGCTTGGGCTGCTGTACGAGTCCATGGAAGTATGCTGCTTGGACGCCCACGCGATTTTTTCAGCCTGTTGCAGGATCATGGTCGTGTGCCACGCGTGACTGTAGCTGGTATGGTCAGCCCTGCGACACGATTTTAGGGCGATTACGTAACCACTCTGACATCTCTAATACTAGTAGTAGTACAATAATCGATACGACGACGATACATGAACATGACACATTTTTGTAGCTACAAAGACAAGCCTCGGCGGCTTTCGCCGAGGTCGAGAGATCGAGTCGACTCCCTGGTTCGAGACGTAGACTAGCACTAGCAGGATCAGTTCACTGTCACTAGCAACTACTGTCACTGACTGTCCGTGCATGTGCCTGCTTTGACCCGGGTAGGGGGCCGGGCCGGGGAGTTTGGGTCAAAAAAAGTTCTTGCACGCGCTGCACGGATCGCGGAGTGCACGCGCGTAGAGTCTACGCTAGTACGCTATGCGCTAGCGCTCTGCAGATCTGGGCAAAGGCGGGCAAATGACCATGTGCGCGTGTGGCCTTGGAGGCGTCACCCCCAACAGGATCTACTTGGGCCACGCGTGGAATCATGTTTTTGAAATACGCATGTACTCCCTCGCGTGGCAGTCTGGTTTTGAGAGTGCAAGGCCACCTTCTTTCCTGGCGATCTTCACTTCTAGCAGTTTGATCAGCATTTTATATACAGGCACCTTAGGAGAAGAGGTGGAAACATGTCGTCTTCCGAAGACGAGGATGTGAGTATTTTGCTCAGCGTCAAGAAAACGTGAGTTTAATTTAGTTACTCATTTTTCCCAAAATCTGTCCATTCATCAGATCAAAATTCCTTTCCGATATTATTTCCATATTCTAGCGATAAACAGTCATGCATGGCAGTATGTATTATCACCCACGGAGGAGCACTACATGTACATGCATCGCATCATAGAATCCCATTCGGCAGTGGGGAGCCACCAGCACTGCTCAAATCGGGGATGCGTACATTGGTTGGTCCGAGAATCCTAAACGTTGTTCTTACTTCTTAGTCTTACTCGATTTTGAGATAGATAGATAGAGAGAGAGAGAGAGAGAGAGAGAGAGTCTGTATGGGGTTGATCATTGCACAGCATGCCGGTATCTGTGCATACTAAACAGTCACGTGACTCTTTATGGAGTGCCTACAAAAGCCAGTCTGAAGGTGTATGAACGTCACAGAACTCGAGCGAAAATTGCTAAAATTCCCGCTGAGATCCGAAAAAATTACTTCAATGCAGTGTGACTAATCCCAAGCACATTCCTAGCTCCTGTGTAGTCAGACTTCACTTAACCGTACACGTTTGTTTTCCACGCAGATATGTGGATAGAGGAAGAAGTCTTGAATTTAGGCTTCTTTCAGCTTCATCGCCGCATAGGCGAGGGAACCGGAAAGCCGAAAACAGTTATGCTGCACTCGAGAAACTTATAGTGTTATGGCAAGGAAAACAACAAGCTTGACTCTCTTTACTCTTTCACCTAAGGGTATTGAAGGTCAGCCAGCAAAACTTGACCTACCCTATTCTCTGGAGTATAAGTCGCACTGGAGTACAAGCCGCACCCAGATTTTTGTCACGAATTCACCCTGTTTATCACAGTTAATTTGACCATCGTAGTAGTGTATAAGCCGTGCTGACTTTTTTGGTTGAATTTTTTGTTTTGTTTTTGTTTTTCTACGTTTAATACAGGGACACAGATGCGCTCAATTATGCGCTATCCCAAGGCCCGCGTAAGAGCGAGGTGATGGAGCGTGGCGAGGAGGGCGAGACGGCTCTGCATTGGGCAAGCTTGCTCGGTCGCCTCGACATGGTGAAGCTGCTGTTGCAGCACGGCGCGGAGTTAGCGTGCCCCGTCGAGGGTGCCGAGGGCTTTGGCCAGCATCCCATACATTGGGCGGCCAGCAAGGGACAGCTGCACGTCGTGGATTTCTTCCTGAGAGTAAGCGCCTCTAAGTATTAGTTCTTGGCTGTCCAGTGTACTAGAGCTTATTTGGTTATAATGTCTTATACTTTAGTGCAGGTGGAATCCTCAATAATTTGAACCCCGAATTGCTGGGGAAAAGTTCTAATTATCCAAGCATCTATCCACAACGTAATGCCATTATGCACGTCAAAATGCAAGCATTGTCACATAGAACGGCGATTTGCGCCTTGGACACAGATTCCATGCACTCTGAACTGACTTCATGCACACGGAGCGGAGCTGACCATTGCTGTGCACTTGAATTGATCCATGTAGCCCACAGACCGTTTTAAAGAGAGTCTTCTGTGGATGTGGATGGTTAGAGTCTAACTGTACTTCTGCGGTATGTACAGTCAGACCTCGCTTTTAAAACCGCACACATTCGTTTTCCACAAACAATATCCGGATAGGCGAGGGAACCGGATAACTGAACACCGTTAATGTTGGTTGCATCACGTATGTTGTAAATCTGTAACCAGCTATTTTCTTCCGGTTTGCGAGGGATCCGGATTAAAGAGGACCGGATAAGCGAGGTCTGACTCTGACTGTATATGCAGGAGGGAACTAACTTACCTTGTGTCTCGCTTGGCTCCGTTTCAGAGGCTGGTGCTGTGGCAGTTGCACAGCCTGGTTGATATTTAGGATCAGGCGATCTATAATATCCCCTATAGGATGACAGTACAACAGTGGAGTAAGGCTGGTTTGTTGCAACTCTTGATTTTCATGCTCAGTACAATCATCAGTGGTTGCCTAGTATTGTACATGACTTGATTGTATTGTATTGTTTATTTACGGATTCTCCGAAGGTAAATGGATACCTATCTTGGGAGCCTCTCCAAACCAATAGAATAATGAAATAGAAGTACGTAGGGAGTGGATAAAACTAGTGATTGTATTGAGCAGAAAACAGAGTTGCAACAAATCAGCCTTGTTCCACTGTGTTGTACTGTGTACTACACTCTGTCTTCACGGCACCCGAGCACTGCCAGCATGCTGGGTGCATCCTCCTGTGGTTCCCTCTAAAGATTCATTCCACTTTGAAGTACTTGTGAATGTGGATACTGATAAGTTCGGCGATAGCGCAGTGTCACCATCATAACTTCACAGTCCAATAATTATGCAGGTACTTTTTAAAGAGCCGTCTTCTCCCCTGTCTCCCTCTTTCTTGTTACCAGAATGGTGCTAGTATAGAAGAAATAGACGGAAAAGGCTGCTCACCATTGCTGACAGCATCTCAGAACAATCACGTCACACTGGTCCTGTTCCTGCTGAGCCGTGGCGCCAACTTGCAGGCACGTGACAATGACGGCGACTCGGCCCTGCACTGGGCAGCGTACAAAGGTAAGAGAGAGAGAGAGAGAGAGAGAGTGTGTGTGTGTGCGTTTGTGTGTGTGTGTGTTTGAAATTTTGCATTTTTTCTTTCCTGTTCTTTTTCAGTCGTTGTCACTGCCACTGTCAGGTTGTTGTTACAGTACAGCAGCCGTCCGTTCTACTTCATTGTTTCATCTGTTTTGCCAGTTCTGCTAGCTGATTCTCTTTATTTGCCACTGCCCCTCATAGTACCCATGCTTGGGTGGAGGGCGGCGTAACCCGTTTAGAGTAGCTGTGTCATAGTACTTAGTAGTAGTAGTAGTAGTAGTAGTAGTGTGTGTGTGTACGTGTGTGCATGTGTCTGTGTGTCTGTCTGTCTGTATGTGTATGTATGTGTGTGTGTGTCGTATGTGTGTGTGTGTGGGGGGGGGGGGGGGGGGGCATGTACTATCATGCTCCAAACCGTTGTGATCCAGGTACTGTGGTGCATACTGGAACTGTCTGATGCATGTCAGCCTAGCACAGTTGTTGCTACTGTTGCTCACTTCTGTGCTAGGTCAGCAAGATGTCTGTGAAGTGCTCATCAGTAAAGGACTTGATGTCAACTCATTGGACAAGTGTTCACAGGTATGTGTAATTCTGGCTGATGGCTTACTCTAATGGTGAAGTCCACGTGTATGCCGCCACGCTTTCCAGAAAGATGTTGTCGTCTTTTCTGTGTGCTGATCCTGTGAGGCAACCCCTGGGATTATGTGTTGTACTGGTGAAAATCTGCACTTCCTTTTTGAAGACAAATGAAGGACCTCTGTTTCTACCACATGTATTGTAGTATTTCAACTTGAAACTTTTATAGGCCATACCAAGAATACATAACCCTCCAGAGTGTGCAACGCCTGATCCAGCTCTGCATAGGGTCTTGGTCGAGCGTAATCGGATCTTTGCGTCATAACACCGTACACATCTGAGGGGAACCTGGGGAGTCGCGGGGACTCTCGGATCAAAAACAACGGTGCCTTGCCTCGAGACAGGCCTTGCGCTGGTGTGGAGTGTACGCATGACATCAGAAGATCCGACTACGCTCGATCAAGACCCTATGCAGAGCTGGATCAGGCGTTGCACACTCTGGAGGGTTATGTATTCTTGGCCATACATGTACGGTATGCCACTGCCTGGAACATACCAGTACAAAAAGCATGGTTGTGTACGTGTGTGCATTGAGGGCAGGTTTGACAGCTCATTTCATGTGAATGGTAGCGTGGCCGAGTGGTCTAAGGCGCTGGATTAAGGCTCCAGTCTCTCCGGAGGCATGGGTTCGAATCCCACCGCTGCCAGCCTTCTTTTTTCTGGGGTTCATCTTTTTTGAAATTTTCATTTCCTGCCCACACGTGGTATGCCCACTCTTTTCTCGATGTAGCGTTTACTTTCTATTAACTTTTTTGCTCTCTTTTCTTTTTGGCTGCCTTTTCCACTGCAGAATCCGCTCCACTTGGCGTGCGTGGAAGGCAAACCTGGTGTGATTGATTGCCTCTTAGACCATGTAAGATTTATGATGATGGTGGTGTATGTATGTTCTTGCCAATAGTGTATGTATGTCCTTGCCAATCTCAATGTGTGACAGTGTGAGTGCGTGACGCTGCCTCTTTGGTAGTAGCCTCTCACTTCCTTACCTCCTCACCTCCCCACATCCTTACCTCCCCACATCCTTACCTCCCCACCTCCTCACCTCCCCACCTCCTCACCTTCTCGCCTTCTTCACAGTGTACAGCGTAGCGCCCAGTGAGTTGTGCAGCCTCCTCGCACACACACGGTGGAACGTTGTTATGAGAGATGGCCTGAACTCTGTATGTGTACTGTATGCTGAGTGCTACTGGTGTGGTACGTGTAGTTCACATGTCTGTGTGTGCATCCAGTTAGCCTACACCTACACCTACATGTACATGACATGTATACACTGTCCGTCAAATTCACACTCTTCACGCTGTGGCACGTTTCTCTTGCATTGTATACACCCTTCTCAGGGCTGCAACCTGTCTCTTTGTGTCCAGTGTTGTTGTGGCATGTTGTACCCGTTTTACTGATGGTTTCACCCTAGTTGTTGCAGTGGACTCTGAGAAGATGTTGGGAGAGAATGGCTCTGCAGGATATGCCAATGTTTCAAGATGACACGGTGTTGTTTGACTCCAATCGCCAGTGTAGCTTAGCGTACAGCTTGTGTGTATGTATCCTGCTTCTGTCTTCTGTTATCTTGCCGCAACTTTGGTCCAGAGTGCTGGAACAAGATGAAATGTGATGTGTTTGCAGACTACCGGGGAGTATTTCCCCATGCACTGCTGTTGTGTGCTGTGCTCTGCTGCATGGTCGACAGGGTGTGGACAAGACGGTTGTGGATAAGAATGGCAACACGCCGCTCATGATTGCCAAGAAGAGAAAGCACGAGGCCGCCGTTGACATGCTGGAGAACAAGGGCATGACGTTCGGTGGCATGTTCAAGTACTTCACACCAACGTTAGTACCGTGTCGGAAAGGGTGATGGCCACCTGGTCTGTGGATTGTGTCGTCGTTTGCGAGTTGTTGCTATACCCGAGACCATTGTTCACGATGTGGGCTGTACCTCGGCAATAAAGTACTGATGCGTACGTCCCTTGGAGGTACGCTATGCTAAAGTTTATGAAGTACTGATTTGCCCAGTGCTGTAGACAGCAAGCTGTTTCGACCATAACGGCCTCATCAGTTCAGCTACGAGCTAAATAGGCCGAGCTACCAGCCATGGTGCAAAGGAGGCACCACAGACATTAAGATAGCTCGTCGCTCTAAAGTACTGATTTTTACGTCCCTTGGAGGCACGCTATGCTAAAGTTTCACTATGCATGTAGGGTTGCGCTCGGTGAAATCTGACCCAAAGTGCAAAACTGGCGCTCTGGACCAGTTCCGATTGCATTATGGTGATACATGTGTGGGTCCAGTCGCGTTCGCACCACTTCTAAGGTTTCGAGGCCGTGCAAGTTGAGGGCGCCAAATATGCACTTTGGGTCGGATTTCACCGAGTGCAACTATGCAGGCAGCATGTACAGGCTAACAGCTCAGTAGATGGCACTCTGGCAAAAAAAATGACTCACATACTCATTCCTTTATCTGCTATTCATTCGTTATCTGCCTCCACCGAGGAGCTCTCAATGAGCGAAATAGCTGTAGCATCTACTTTTGAAGTATCCAGGGATGAACGTCCTCGCTATGGTGTTTAGAAAGTGGGCCTAGAGCGCAGTGTGGAGAGGTGGACAGTTTCAAATTATTTTCAAATGGTCGAGTTCGTCGCGGCTTCTGAGTCACATACTAGTACACAATTAGATCATGCTGGACCTAGTCCCGGATTAGAGTAGAGTAGTTGTGACAGTGCCGTTTCTTGCCTTGTGTGTCTGTTACAGTGGGTTCTTCTTCGGTGCCCCAGGTCGGTACCAGCAGCAGCTGAAGCTGTTCCTCTTCCAGGCATTCTGCATTGGCTATCCTTTCTACTTCTACAAAGTAAGAAATCTCAATGGGTGATTTGTACTCTCTGAGCAGCGCCTGCCCTTCAATGTGGATGTTTAACAGGAGAGCCAGTGTGTGTGTGTGTGTGTGCGTGCACGTGTGTGTGCACGTGTGTGTGCTGTTGCCTGGACATTGCCTGATTCAGTCTATGCACTCAACGTTTGTTTGTACTGTCTGTGTCTTCTGGTAGCAACACCGTCCTGAATTGGGATCTGTATGGAGAGGAAGAGCATGATTCGTGTGACTTCAACTTGACCATTGTGCATGTGCATGCTGTCGTGTAGGTGTGGGAACTGAACTGAAGACCACCTTGGATGTTTACTAGTCATGTGGGTTTGCTTTCTAAATTCCGTTGCTCTCTGCTTGCTTGGCCAGATTTTACCGCTGACGCTCAACGAATGCTTTTTCGCACACATCCTATTCTGGGTGATGTGCGGGGTCATGTGGCTGTCGTTCTGGAAAATCCGCCGCGTCGATCCTGGCTTTGTCCCATGCAACAGTGCCGCGTATCAAGAGGGTATTGATGAGGTCAGTGCTAGTGGTGTGCGTAAATTGTGCCACTGTTGTGGATATGTTGTGCGACGCATGTAAGCCTCCTTGACTAGTTTAGCAGCTCAGTTGAGTTCTTCCAGTGAATGCTGTAAATCCCAGTTCCAACACTGCAGCACAACACTATCCGAATCATCAGGTCTTTAAACAATGCAATGCGTAATCACCAGACTGCATCAGAGCATCAGGTTCTCGGCTGTCCAGTATGCTGAGTGTGTATCAGAGCTTACGTAATGTGTGCATGCGGTGTGCTGGTGGCATGCAGCTGATGCGCCGGGACAACTACGAGGACTTGAAGATGCACACGCTCGGGCAGGGCCGGCAGATCCTTGCCCTGCCCGACTTCTGTCACGCGTGCAAGGTGATCCGGCCGCCGCGCTCCAAGCACTGCAAGTTCTGCAAGCGCTGCGTGCTGATCCACGACCACCACTGTCCATACCTTGACCGGTGCATTGCATACAATAACAGGTAGGTGAATATTGCAATGGGTGGCAATGTGCAGGAATGTGTGGCAATGTGCCGTAAGGCCATCATTTTTTATATCTATGTTTCGCGTCAGTTCAACTTCCAGAATCATATGCGAGAGGTGGAAAAAAAATAAAAAGTTGCAAAATAATAAAAAAGGCTCATCAGAGGTGTATGCACTGTACATAGCACAATAGCTAGCTCGTGCATGGTGTACATTCGAAAGAAAAATCGTACATCGAAGCACAACATCTGGGTTATCAGCATGAGCAAATATTCACTTTGGACAGAGGAGGCAACCGTTGGTCATGGTGCCTATGCTTCGCTGGAATATTGTACTCAGACTTCAGCAGCGGTGCAAAGAGCTCCGGAACGACGCATCCTCTCAGCTTAGGCGATCAATGCGGTCTGGTGTAAGCTCATAGAATATTGCTCCCAGATGCCGAACAAACGATTTACCAACGCTGGCCTAGGCTAGAGGCCATTTCTGAATCCCAGCTTCGCCGTATGCAACCTGTCCACACTGATGACTCGAACGATCGTACACTCACTGTGCATGTTCGATTTTTTATTTTTTTCCGAAAAAAATCAAAACGTATGCGTGCGGACGACGCGAAACATAGCTATAAAAAATGATGGCCTAATGGGTGACAATGTGTGGCAATGTGCGATAATGGGTGACAATGTGTGGCAATGTGCAGCAATAGGTGACAATGTGTGGCAATGTGCAGTAATGGGTGACAAACTGGCAATGTACTCAATTCAAGTGCATTCTCTGCACTCTCCCCACTCACCCCAAACGAGCCTTTCCATTTTGAAAAAAAGTTTAAAAAACCAAACTGGTAACTTTGTAACCTAAAGTGAATAGATCGGGGTATTGAGCCGCAGGGAGGGCTTTTGGCCTGCTTTGAGAAATAGATGTGCCGCTCTGACCTCGGAAATACGGTAACCCTTTCTGAAGGCCATCATCTTACTGTATTTGTCTGGATGAACAGGACAGGCATGGGCCAGGAATTTGATGGGATATATGTAACGTTATCTGCAATACTGCTTCTCTTTGACCGTAGCTGCCCCGCGAGTACGATGATGCCAAGCATGTAGTGTACTACCGTGTACTACTGTAAGACATGTATATATAACGAGGAAGCAAACCTAACGTTTTAACGGATGACATTTCTTCGTTATAATAAGATCCGTTGAGGCCGTACTGCTTCATATATGCTGTGTGTGGATATGGCAGAATACTGCAAGATCGTTAACATATCTTCTCGTTAACCTATGAATTTTGGACAATCGTTAAATTTGCGACTCGTTATAATAACATGTCTTACAGTATGCTGCCATCTCCAGGGCTGTGTGCAATCAGTGCCAATCAAGTACGTGTACCTCGTATCTCTTTCTCTTCTGCTGTGGTGTTGGTGTTGCGTTGCAGGGTGTATTTCTCCTCTTTCATCTGGTCTCTGGAGGTGATTGGCTTCATTGTGCTCTACTTCTTCCACACCATCTGGAAGATACAGGCGTTCAGCTACGTCAACCTCATCATCCTCCTTAACGCTCTCTTCTTCTGCATCATGCTCAACCTGCTGTCGTTGGGTCATGTAAGTGACGGTGGTGGCCGTGCTGTGCTCTGTGTTGATGAGACACTCACTACAATGTAGGCTTTGCACTCAAACATGACTCTACTAATTCATGGAGCAGGGTGAATTTCACTAGCATGGTACGTTGCCTGGCTGTGTCCCCCTTGTGAACTGTGTGAGTACTTGAAGTAGTACATTCTTACCTTGTACTGCAATTGGCTAGTGTTATCCAGTTTGAAGGATGGATACATGTCAAACAAGAGCCTCCTCCCCGTGTTGACATGCGATGCTAACACAGGCCTGTAGCACACTCAGTATGCAGTATGCAGTCAGTATGCAGTATGCAGTCAGTATGCAGTGTGTAGTCAGTATGCAGTGTGCAGTCAGTATGCAGTGTGCAGTCAGTATGCAGTATGCAGTCAGTATTCAGTATGCAGACAGTATTCAGTCAGTATGCGGTGTGCAGTCAGTATGCAGTGTACAGTATGCAGTATGCAGTATATGCAGAGTGCAGACAGTATGCAGCGTGCAGACAGTATGCAGAGTGCAGACAGTATGCATTGCACAGTCAGTGCTGCAGCAATGACTGCTGGGACAAGTAAACTGACTGTGTCATGTTCCTCCCGTTCTGCTGCAGGTTCTTCTTGTCACCGGTAACTTCACGACGTATGAGTGTGCAGCGAGTTCCGTCTTGCCGGCATTCCGAATGTTTGGCGGTCGCTATCACAACCCGTACAAGCGGAGTGTTTGGGACAATATACTGGAGTACTTCCATCTGAAAGCACCGCTTGACCTGCGTACAATACAGCCTGTGACCGTGGTGCAGTCTGTGTAGTACTAATGATTGAGAACAGTAGGAATCATCAACGGCGTAGCAATGCCGTGGAATCCCAGCGAACATGGCCGTGTCCACGGTTGTGTGTGTGTGTGTGTGGGCACGCCCAAGTGTGCGTGTGTAGCACGTTGGCTGTTCATAGCTGCAGCCAGCAGGCATCTTGTATATAAGCAGGAACTGGTTTAGCGCATACCATACAGGTAATCAACGACTTACCAGAGCGTGAGGGGATTGAGACCCTTATTCCTTCCTTTCTTTTCTTTTCCTCTTCATTTTATTCTAGTTCAAAGAAGCTTTTTCTTTACTTTTCTTGTACATAATTTATAGCAATTTCGGGAGCTCTTCTTGTACGCTGCAATACAGGCGCTATTTTTCAGAGAGATTTTTTAATTGGCACTCCTGCATTGTTGTTGTCCAATTCCCACTTGGCTAGCTGTGTACATATGGCATTGTATAGAAAGTGAGCTTTTATTACCTGTGAAGCAGGGTGGAGTCGCCGACTGCGTCACCTTGTTTTAGTAGTTATAGCTTGCACTCATTTTACCACCTATTGCAGGTGTTAAGTTTTCTTCGCCCTTCGCCTCCCTTTAAAAAAATATATGAACAACTAACCACCATGCCTCCCTTAGGTTCAGTCATTTCGATCAGAACTTTATAATCATTGCGTAGTGTGCAGGCAAGTTGAGTTTTAGCTCGCATCAGTTCCTACTTCTTTTGAAGTAGTCAGTATTGCTCCGCTCATCGTCTTCCTACATTATAAAAATACTTTTTCTATATTTTTACTTTGGCCAATGTTTAGTTCATGATGTGACTTGAAAGCAAGAACACCAGAACTCGAGCTTGCCATGTCTTTCTCTTGCACAACCGTGGCTAGACCATTGGACTGAACAAGCTTTACACCGTACGGTGATTGCGTCATCTTTGTTGTCCTGCAACAAGAATGGGCAAGACAACCACCGTACGCACAGCACACATCACAGTCTTGAAGACCAACAAACTATGTACTACTATGTACTACTAGTACCTTCCAAAATGGATTCATTGTTACTCGCATGTTCACAAATGGTATCTGAGCACCACTAATATAAAAAAAAGATAGCATGTGTTTCATGATAGATAGAAAGGGAGACTATTCGTGTCTATGTGAGGGCTGGGGCATAAAGGATTGTGAGAAGATCCACACATTAGCTGACATGGGTATGATGAAAGCGAGTTAAAATAATGAGGATTAAAACAAGTTTTTAAAACTGAAACCAGCCAGTTTATTATTAAACACACAACACACAATAGCCATGCAGTAGCATATCAGAAGCAAGGCGGGAGTCTCATTCGGCACGGATGAGGAACTACGGTGTCAGAGTTCAACTCCAGCAATCATTCCTCTAACTGTTGTCCGTCACCCTGAATGCTTCGGCGCCACACCTTGGAACAATGACTACAGTACAGGCAACACAAGACAACAACAAAAGAAAAAACAGTACAAACATTGTAGGGAGCGCAATTGCTTTCTTCGTGGGGCACCAATACTCCAGTGAGACAATCCTGGAATCCAGGAACAAAATGAAAAAGTTGAGTTCACCACGGGGAGCATGGAAAGGTACTCGTCCACGTCCTATTTCAGGCAAGCACACAACGTGTGTGTGTGTGTGTGTGTGTGTGTGTGTGTGTGTGTGTGCGTGTGTGCGTGTGTGTATGTGTACGTGTGTGTGTGTGTGTGAAGAAGCGCTGGCGGGATGTTGTGTCCTCGGACTTTGCTGTCGTCGGTTTCCCTGAAGCGGACTGGTATGACACAGCGCAGGAGAGATCCACCTGGTTTCAGTGTTGTCGACAGAGGGTCGAGAAGGAAGCCCCAGACATCCCGTGCCCCAACTACCGCTGTGACAGAGTGCTCCGTCGTCCTGGTGACCTCCAAGCGGCATGCGCCATACTGCAGATTTCGAGTTTAGAGCCTCAGCGTGAGGAAGCCATCGCTATCATTGCTACGGCAATGGGCGTTCAAGGTTCAAGGTTCAAGGTGTGTGTGTGTGTGTGTGATGCATGTTAGCGTGACTGAGAACTGAGTACCACGTAGAATCAGTGCACCCGCTGTACACAGCAATGAGCAGGAAAGCACACAGGGGAGGGCACCTGCAGTTACTTACTTGTCAAAGCACACAGGGGAGGGAGGGATGGCACGTGCAGTTACTTACTTGTCAAAGCAC